CGCGCGGCGAGTTGCTCGTGAACATTCTTGAACCGAGTCTCCATTTTGTGGGCGAACCACTCAAAACTTTCGTAAGTGGATTTGAGTTCTTCTCCTCGCATCCTCTTTTCTATCTTTGTCTCCATCCACTCCGTTCTGAAGGCAGCCGCTACTCCTCCTGTCATAAAAGAAAGCACATAGGCGATCTTTCTCTTGTCATCCGCGAAATACTCTTCATCATCCTCGTAGTTTAGCATTAAGGCCTCGCGGAAAGCCTTGTACTTTTTTCGGTCTCCATCGAAGTTCTCAGGCTTCTGGAGTGCCGTTCTTGTTCTGTCTACGCGTCTTGGCTGCGTATTGGGTGGCGTTGGTGCGGATGCGGCGGGAGCGGACGTAGAAGAATTCGACGTAGCTAACCTCAGCTTGGCTAGCAATTCTTCGACTTCTTCTTTCGCCTCTTTCAGCTGCATTTCGTAAAGGTCGTGGAGCCGTCTCTGCTCCTGTTCTATTCTGGTCTGAACGTACTGTTCCAGTCCAGCTTCCCTCGATGTTGGTGCTCGTGGTTCCAAAGGTGGGAGTGCACCTGACAATTCTCCCATTCCTATCTCTGGTGTGTCCGGCTCTTCGCGCGGACCTCGCCACTCTCCATATGCTTCTGTTGTCATGGTCTGGGTAGGGGGTGTGGTATCGGGTTCTGATTGGTTCTATTTCTGGGAATGTGAAGTAAATTTCCCAAGCTAATCTGTTCTCGGAGTGAAAGCGTTCTTCTGCTAGCCACTCTTCGAATTTCCCAGGTTGCATACAAAAGAGTTTCCCGATGATAAGTCGGATCAACACTTTCTAATGTAAGATCAACTGGTCTATCTGTTTCCTTCTTTAGTCAAGCGGTTCCTCTTCTGTCCCGCACTGACTATGTACGTAACTAATTCTACTTTGATATATCGGTGTTCTAAAGTATAGTAACTGAGGTCCAGACGGTTGTCTCAGTGATACCCAGCGAATAACCGCGTGCAGGTCTTTTCCAACTGGCGGACTCAAGTGAGCGGCCTGGTCAGAAGGGTAAAGAAGCTCTTCTAAACTAAGTAATACCTATCGGGCTCCACGCCGTCAAGGGTTCTAGCTAAAGGGTTGGGAGGGGGAGTGAGGGGGATATCGACAAACGACTCTGTGGGTGAGACGTTGGCAGGAAAAAATGAAGCAATGGTAGATGGTCGGGTGATAGGTGTGATGATGGTTGGTTTAGTGATATAGACGTAGAGTTTGGCAATGCCAAAGAGTATGATTGCGATGAGAGGGAATAGGGTGATGATTAGGATAGCTGTGCTTTTGCTCATCAACAGGTGTCGTTCAAAGTTGTAGATTATGTAAAGACCCTAGCTGTTATGCCGGTAACCCGAGCAGCGTAGGACTTAAATCACACAACAAGTGTCTGACAAGCAAGTATAAGAGTAAATCTACAACTAGGGTTTTACATGGATATCGTGCTAGTTATATAGAAGAAGGCATGAGGCTACGGTGAGGTATGACGTAGCGTATTGGTAAGTAACATGTGTAATGCGTGAGGCTGATTGGTAATGAGTATTACTAATGTGTCACGTGATTAACTAGATTAGATAAGATCAAAGAGAGATTAGATTAGGTGAGATAATGGTCTCTATCTCGCGATTAGATAAAAAAGATGAGTCATATGGATACGATCGTGACACTTTTTTAACCATCACTACCATTTTATATCACAGATCAGAGACTGAGTATCGCTCCCCAGCCAGCCAGCACACTGAGTAGGGACTGGTAGTAGGCATCTTGCCAACCAGCTCCAAGCCCCAGTAAAAGCCTGGATATACTAATAAACACTTTGTTCAGGATTGTACCTCATCATGAGGATACAGTTCCTGAACACGCGTAACAAACCTCTATTATTAGTACAAATCTCTCACCGCTGATTAATCAAGTTAAAAGTCGTACGATAGTTGTTCTCTCTTCTTCTTATTGGCCGATTGATTCCTCAGACCACTTTTCGTATATTCTCTTTTTAGTCTGAGGAATGAACAGTTCACTATATAAAGCCTTACCTATTCATGTATGGCTCCTTAGTTTTCTATTACTGAATTTACCCGTTTTACTCCTCGACGAAAACCTTTGAAGCTTACCTCTTAAAGTCCTCTACTCGCTATATTTACTAGCGTCTGTCGACCTCAAGCTCATTGAACCCCTTACTCCCTGCAAGTGCAGAAGGAGACAGGTTTCGTTTTTGTTATAGTTTATTGTTGCCTCACAAGATAGAAAACTCACTCTATAATCCGTTCACAGCGCACCATCTCGCTTGAACCCATTATAGCCCTAACCTACCTTTTCCTTCATCCCTCGGACGTGCTGTCATTCACCGTCCTCCTACCCGTTAAAACATCCACTTGCCTTCTAGCTAAGCTAGCTAGTTGTCCTCTCCAACATTCCTACCCACCTCGAAGTAATACTCCTACTTGTTACTCAGGTCCTCACCCTAGCCGTTGTCTTTGATCACTTTTACAATCGTCAAAGTGTCGAACATCAGAGAGAGTCTAGTAACGGACGAAGAACGCCGTTCACTCGAGGAATTCCACTGCGCCCTCAACAACAGAGACCTCCATGTTGTAGTACCTGTCAACGCTGCCACGGACCCCCAGCCTGCCCACAGCGACACAGAAACTGAGTACTTCGAAGACTCATCAGCCACCTCTTCCCCCATCTCTGAACTAGAAGGACTAGTTCTAGCTGTCGACAATTTAGCATTTGAGATCTCCCAACTCCGCCAATACATTGCGCTTACTCGTGGACGCATCCGCAGCTGCTCGAACCTGCTTTTGGGAATCCGATCAAGCATCCAGAGAATTGTTCAGGTTCAATTTGATACACCTAGAGCACCTACTGATCGAAGTCTACGAACAGAGAATTCTAGAACCCCCTCGTCGGAACAACAGTGAAGAAAGACGAGCCCTCAGACAACGGGCGGCAGAACATAAAACAGCTCTTCTAATACTATGCGACGGAATCTCCCCACACATCTATCACCTCCAGAACTACGTCAAAACTCCCCAACTCGCGTTCTCACCAGAACAGGACGGCAGAGAGATTCATTACCTACTTCCCTGTGGAATCATCATCCACCGACGACCCTACTCCGCACTGTATCTAGAATTCCTTACACCCTATCTTGAACCATCCAGAATTGACGTATATGTCACAGCGTCATTCAATCCTACCCCTCTTGAACCTCTTTTTACAAGAATTGGAATTTACGAAACCGATCTCATCAAGTTCTATCGGGAAATACCATTTTTCTTTGACCTTCCTCTCACTCCCGAACAAAACGACGCCTTTAACCCAAGAGACTATCTTAAAACAGGAGTCCATGTATTAGTTGTCACCCCTTTCTGCTGCGACGCAATACAAAGGATAGTAGCCTGCATCTTGCAATTTTGCAGACTAGTGTTTAAGATCGGACACGAGATCCTTGAAGGAAGAGATTGGGAACGAGAACAAAGACAGATTAGGAACGTCTGCCAATTGTTCAGAGAAAACCAAAACTACGCAAAGGAAGTCTTTGACTTAGTCATCTGCCACCCCACAGATCGTTTCATCGTTACCGAAATCAACACCGAGTTCTGGGGAGTGCTTATTCGAGATAACAACAGAGTCTACTTGCAGTACAGACCAGGGTACCATCTGACTAGAGGAAATTTCTCTTATATCCCTCCTGTCTCATTGTTGATCCAAGGGAACATTCTTATTGAAAGGACCCCCTCACCAGACGAAGCAACCTTGAACTTGGACAGTAATTCTACCACTAGCTCACAGGTAGAAAGAGATGAAGAAGAAGAAGAGAATATTTTTGGGTTTACCTCTAACGATTGGAGTGACGAGTTCGATTACGATTCAAATTAAATAAACCTCGTTTCTATCTTCAAAAGTGTTTTCCGAATACCGGAACCCAAAGCCGTCCATAGAACCGGAAACTCCGCCCAGACAAACCCTACCTACACGCCCACCTCCACCTCCAATTCCTCCAAATCCCTCATCCATGTCTAATCCCACACAGTTACACGGCAAAGTAACTCTCGCAGCAGAACCCTTCGAATTCAAAGGAGAAAAGGAACAATTCATAGCATGGCGCCAAGCACTACAGTTGTACTTAACCGCCTACGCATCCTACTTTCCAGATGAGAAGATGAAGCTCATCTACCTCCTGTCCAAAATCAGCGACCAAGGAACGTTGACAGTAAAAGCTTGGAAAGAGAACGTGCTTACCAAAGAAGCTCTCGACGCAACTACCCCCGTATGGCCGACTCTCTCGACCGTCCTAACCGATCTAGCCCAAGTATTCGGGAATCCAAACGAAAGATCACAGGCGGTAAACAAGATCAAAATATACAAACAGGAGAATAAGCATTGCGACGAATTCTTTAGCCACTTCACAATGCTCATGGACAAGGCCGGATATGACGCTACCACTCACTTTGACGTGATCAACCGCATTCTCAAAAAGAATCTTCACTCTTGAATCTGCGATTTTGTCATCATCCAGAAAGACCTACCAAAAACATTTGCTGAGTGGAAAACGCAAGCCTACGCATGGGAGGCGAGGAGAGAAGAGTTCCAGTTAGACAAAGACAAAAGAGAGAAGTCACACAGCCGTTGCGACCTATCTACAGACAACAGACGTATACGCACCAGCATGTGCAACAGCCGCAGCCACAGCAGATGGCAAAAACCCAGACAAATCAGTATGCAAAAAGGTTCGAGGATCAACCTCAGAGAGGTGTATTCCCCGGACAAGGTGTACCTATGGATACAGACCGACAGAGTCGGTTCAGATTATGTTACGGATGTGGCCAGCCGGGTCATATCGCAAGGAACTGCCCTCTGAAGAAAGTTGCAGCTAGAGAAGCAACCACAACCCAGGAGGAGACAAAGACAAAGGATTTTCTCGAAGGTCAGGAGTAAGCACGGTTCGGAAAATGTATTTGTAACTGATAAATCGAAACATGTTTCCCAAAACCTACGTGCCGAGAAATATGCTAAGCCACATTCAGCGGAATGGTTGGCTCGACGAATTAAAGACCAGAAAGAAGAAAGAGCCAAAGCATTGGCTCGGAACTGGACCTCACCCCAGTGTTACCCACATATCACGATGGATACAATCAATTTGCTCAAGCAACACAATGAAGATTACATCATAGAACAGTTGAATGTGATCAAAGATTTCGCATCCCTTCCCCCATCTCATCAACGCAAACTCTCATTACAATGTCAATTATCCACCATCGACGATCACCAGACGCATGTCATACCAGTTCTGATAGATTCAGGATGCACAGACTCCATCATTGACGAAGCCTTTGTTTGGCAACACAACATTTCCACAAAACCACTTCCAACTCGTGTTATTGTTTCAAATGCAGATGGAACCAAAAATTGCACTGGGCCTCTGACAGAATATGTGACACTTTGCCTAACAGTGGTGGGTCGCACAGAATTAATGAACTTCCTGGTTACTGGACAGAGGGAGACCAGAATTTTATTAGGACACGACTGGCTAAGACGCACGAACCCCAACATCAACTGGCAAACAAACACTATCACATACCCTTCTGATGATATGGAGTATCACCCCGAAGATGGAGATAGAGTCATTGCTGTAGACTTACAGAGCAGGATTGACAAAATTTCCGTTGAAAGCAATGTATCTCAGACCAAAAGCCAACAGATCGCAGAAGAATCAGAACGAGCAAAATCAACACTCACGTTCAGAGACGTCGTTCCCCCGTTTTATCATTGTTTTGAGCCCGTATTCACGAAAGCGTCATTTGACAAACTACCCCCACGACGGGTCTGGGACCACGCAATTGAACTTCTGCCGGAAGCCAAAGGTCTAGACTGTAAAACGTATCCACTTAACCGCGATGAACAAATCCATCTTGACGAATTCTTAAAAGAAATCCTGGAGACAGGGAGGATTAGAGTGTCAAAATCCCCTTATGCATCCCCGTTTTTCTTTATCAAGAAAAAGGATGGATCTCTCAGACCGGTACAAGACTATCGGAAACTCAATGCCCTTACAATCAAAAACCAATATATGTTACCCCTCATTTCAGAATTGATAAACCGGCTCAAAGGTGCTAGATTCTTCACCAAGCTGGATGTCCGTTGGGGATATAACAATGTTCGAATCAAAGAAGGAGATGAGCACAAAGCCGCCTTCAGAACTAACAGAGGACTGTTCAAACCTCTAGTTATGTTTTTTGGACTTACGAACTCCCCAGCCACTTTTCAAACAATGATGGACCGACTTCTCCAAGGCCTGATAAACGAAGGATCTGTTATCGTATACCTTGACGATATCATGATATTCACTGATTCGCTAGAAGAACATAGGAAGATTGTATCCAAAGTTCTTCAAATACTCGCAGACAATCAATTATATCTCAAACCAGAGAAATGCGAGTTCGAGAAGAAAGAGGTCAAATATCTAGGAATGATCATCTCCCATGATACGATTCGCATGGACCCGCTGAAAGTACAAGCAGTCGCAGAATGGCCGATACCACGCACGAAGAAAGAGTTACAGTCGTTCCTAGGATTTTCGAACTTTTACAGACGATTTATCAGAGACTATGGAAAAATTGCAAAACCACTGACAATTCTCACCGGAAAAGTAGATTGGGAATGGGCTGAAGACCAACAACAAGCATTCAATGTTCTCAAAAAGACAATCACCACCTCGCCCACACTCGCAATCCCTAACGATGAAGATCCGTTCAAAGTTGAATGTGATGCCTCCAACTACGCCACAGGAGCAGTATTATCCCAGCAGCAAGAAGGGAAATGGAGACTGGCCGCATTCCTATCAAAGTCAATGAACCCTGCAGAGAGAAATTACGCTATCTGGGATAAAGAGATGCTAGCGGTAATGCATGCGTTAGAAGAATGGCGACATCTCCTCATGGGAGCTAAACACCAATTCACCATATTCACCAACCATCAAAACCTCACCTACTTCCGAGACCCCCAGAAAGTAAACAGACGACAGGCTAGGTGGATGGACACACTAGCCAGATACAATTTCAAATTAGAGCATGTAAAAGGCTCAGCAAACACAAAAGTGGACCTACTTAGTCGAAGAGTAGACCATCCGAGAGGCGAGAGAGACAATGAAGGACAGGTCCTTCTACCTCAGCTCGCGGAAGCAAACATTCATACTATGGAGGACTTGTTAGAAGAACACTACCTGGACAAGCTGCTAGCTTTGCAGCACAAACTAGATGATTACGTTGTAAAGAAGTTGAGGGATGATCCAAAGATTTGGAAGAAACGAGACGGAATCATCTGGATAGGAAACGAGAAAGAAGACAAATTGACCTTAGGGCCATTCAAAAACAACATCTATGTACCCAAAGACCCAAAGTTAAGGGCACGTATTATCGAAGAAGGACATGACACCAGCCTCAGTGGACATCCAGGCGAAAGAAAGACGTACGAAGGAATAAACCGATCTTTCTGGTGGCCTAGTCTCAGGAGAGATGTCAGGAGATATATTGCAGGATGTGAGATATGTCAAAGAACAAAGTCACATCACCATAAGCCGCACGCTCCCCTCCATCCAAACCCAATCCCTGATCGCCCTTGGCAGATAATCACGACGGATCTTATTGGAGCGCTACCAGAGTCCAACGGATACAACGCAATACAAGTCTTTGTTGACAGATTCTCCAAAATGGCTCATTTTGTACCAACACATGTCACTCTCGATTCATCAGGCTACGCCAAACAATTACGAGATTCAGTCATACGACTGCATGGTATCCCGGAAAAGATCATATCGGACAGAGGACCTCAGTTCATGTCGAATTTCACCAAAGACTTCTACCAATCTCTCGGAATTGAACCTGGTCTATTAACAGATTACCACCCTCAAACCGATGGCCAATCTGAACGGATAAACCAGGACCTAGAACATTACCTACGCACATTCATCAACCACCGACAGGATTTGATTGGTTGCAGAATGAAGGTGGTTGTTATACGTGAATTCAGTGATTGCTAGCCAATCGGCCCAATCATAAACTATGGTTCTCACCCTCGCAAGGGAACCGGTCAGAAACCTTCTGGACACTTGCAAGCGGCCGAAGACTTTGCTGTGAGGCAACGATAAACTATAACAAAAACTAAACCTATCTCCTTCTGCACTTGCAGGGAGTAAGGGTCCAATGAGCTTGAGGTCGACAGACGCTATTATAGCGAGTAGAGGACTTTTGAGAGGTAAGCTTCAAAGGTTCTTGTTGAGGAGTAAAGCGGGTAAATTCAGTAATAGAAAGCTAAGGAGTTATACATGAATAGGTACGGCTTTATATAGAGAACTGTCCGTTCCTCAGACCGAAAAGAGAATATACAAAAAGTGGTCTGAGGAATTAATCAACCAATAAGAAAAAGGAAAGCAACTATCGTACGACTTCTGACTTGATTAATCAGCAGGTGAGAGACTTGTACTAATAATAGAAGATTGTCACGCGTGGTCAGGAACCGTATCCTCATGATGAGGTACGATTCTAGATAAGGCGTTATTAGTATTACCAGGCTTTACTGGGGCTTGGAGCTGGTTGGCGAGATGCCTACTACCAGTCCCTACCCAGTGTGCTGGCTAGCTGGGAGCGATGCCCAGTTTCTGATCTGTGATATAAAGTGGTAGCGATGGTTAAGAAAACCTGTGAGGGCTATGAGAAGTAAGATGGCAAAGGATACCTCTAGCCCTAGAGCCAGAGGTGTAACGGGAAAAGCGTTCGAGAGCCAAGACATAACGAGGATAAGAAGAAAATAATAAAACGGTCTTTACATTTGCAACTTCAATGACAAAATTACATGAGCAAACTCGGCAATCATTACTGCTCGCTAATCAAAATCTTAAGAAGTACTATGACTGAAAGCGCACAGAAGCACAGGAATATCACAAGGGAGATAAAGTGTGGTTAGAAGGTACTCACATTTCCACTGATCGGCCAATGAAGAAACTAGACGATAAGCAATTCAGCCCGTTTACTGTGAAAGCAAAGGTCGGCCCATCCGCTTACCTCCTTGACGTCCCTAGATCCTGGAAGGCGATCCATCCCGTATTCAATGAAATACTCCTGTCACCATATCACGCACCGGAATTCCCCAATCAACCTTGAACCTCAAAACCTCCGCCGATCCAAGTAGATGGTGCGGTCAAATACGAAGCCAAAGAAATCATCGCTTCACGACCTACTAAACTAAAAGGGGTCAAACTTGATTACTTCATCCATTGGAAGGGATACCCAATCACGGAACGGACGTGGGAACCGGATCATCACCTAAAGAATTCTCCCTCGCTCATCGCCACCTTTCATCGCAAACACCCTGCCGCCCCACGCGTAATCGCCGCTGCCGCTTTACAATTCCGCCCTTACGAAATTTTCACCACTACTACCAAAAAACCCCGCCTCTTCGACTGGATCACAAACCGCTTCATGGATTGCGGCGTTAAAATTCTTAGGACAAGAATATAAAAGGGGGGGGTAATGTAAGGACCATTTTATTATTTTCCTATCTTCGCTATGTCTTGGTTCTCGAACGCTTTTCCCGTTACACCTCTGGCTCTAGGGCTAGAGGTATCATTTGCCGTTTTACTTCTCATAGCCCTCACAGGCTTTCTTAACCATCGCTACCATTTTATATCACAGATCAGAGACTGGGTATCGCTCCCCAGCCAGCCAGCACACTGAGTAGGGACTGGTAGTAGGCATCTTGCCAACCAGCTCCAAGCCCCAGTAAAAGCCTGGATATACTAATAAACACTTTGTTCAGGATCGTACCTCATCATGAGGATACGGTTCCTGAACATGCGTAACAAACATCTATTATTAGTACAAATCTCTCACCGCTGATTAATCAAGTTAAAAGTCGTACAATAGTTGTTCTCTCTTTTTCTTATTGGCCGATTTATTCCTCAGACCACTTTTCGTATATTCTCTTTTTGGTCTGAGGAATGAACAGTTCACTATATAAAGCCTTACCTATTCATGTATGGCTCCTTAGTTTTCTATTACTGAATTTACCCGCTTTACTCCTCAACAAAAACCTTTGAAGCTTACCTCTCAAAGTCCTCTACTCGCTATATTTACTAGCGTCTGTCGACCTCAAGCTCATTGAACCCCTTACTCCCTGCAAGTGCAGAAGGAGACAGGTTTTGTTTTTGTTATAGTTTATCGTTGCCTCACACTACCAGTCCCTACCCATTGTGCTGGCTGGCTAGGAGTGATACCCAGTCTCTGATCTGTGATATAAAATGGTAGCGATGGTTAAGAAAGCCTGTGAGGGCTATGAGAAGTAAAACGGCAAATGATACCTCTAGCCCTAGAGCCAGAGGTGTAACGGGAAAAGCGTTCGAGAACCAAGACATAGCGAAGATAGGAAAATAATAAAATGGTCCTTACAGCAAGTGACCAATGATTTAACAGTGGACAACGGCAGATCAATATCATGAAGTTGGACCTGTTGCCCAATTTGGACCGGCTGCCGGGGCTTTGCTGATATTGAAAGTGGCATGTGGTAGTCAACAGATCAGTACTGAATATTTTCTGAGTGTGGGACAAGGCCCTTTTCCCGGATACTGAGAATGGGTTCGCTGGCCAATTGACAGACACAAGCAGACATCAACTGATGCAAAATGTTATGGTGGCACTCAATAACAACGAAGATGAACTGGTTAATGAGGAACAAGGTGGGCCTGGTGGGAGCAATCGTGAGAGGGACCATCATGATGGAGATCACAATAGAAGCAGTGATCTTGAAGCTTGAACACATGGCCTTGGTCCCAGACCAGAAAGCTTATCTGTCACAAGACCATGTAGATAACACCTGTAAAATAGATAAAATTGTAATCTAGGCCTTGTCGGGCCTATTGTTGCCTTCATCAATCCTCCAGACTCAGAACAGTGATACCATCAATGTAGAGAAAAAAACATGACAATTGAGCCAAGGAATACATCAGAACAGGCTGGTTATGGTATTACATTATAGAACACTTACTGCAGGTGTTTCCTCAACACTTGCTCGCAGAGAATATCCTTCAAAACTCTTCAACGATGGGCGTAGAATCACAACGTCGTTTCTTGCCATTCAATGACATGGTATTGTCAAAGATTTGTTGTCATTTAGTTCATGTGAGTAACATGGATTCAGATTCATCCAATATTTTATATTATAATTACTAATCATAATGTCTGAAGCTCCACCGGACCTCAGAGAGTATATATATACTGTGGGCAAAGTTATATTGTTCAACACCACCACATCCAAGCAAGCCTTCAAATTGTATTACTATCAGTACACAGGTGTGTTTTGACACATCTCACAATACTTATTCTTGTGTTTAGTTATCCTTTTCAGGCTTAGAATTGTAGTTCAGATTTGATCAAGGCTGATATGGCCCAGGTTAACAACTTTATGCAGTCGTCAAATCTGATACAAAGGTATGTTCTGCACCAGTAATCCTTCTACTCACACTTGCTAATATCCAACATTCTCACTTAGATTTGGCAAGCTCCAACATCATTAACAAGGTGGGTGCACTTGGACTGTTCTAGTGTACAGGATATATACTGAATTATTTGCAGGAGATCAAGACTGTATCTTATACATGAAAGTCCGAATGTAGTTCAGCACAGTAAACTACTCTATGTACTTCACTGTTCAAATATTACATCCTTAATCAACTATTAGCTCTTCTTTTCATTTTGTGCATTTATGTCACAAGGCTCAAAAAGCTATTATTGGGCATACTTGGTACAACGAGACTTATGATTAGGCTAGGACAGACATGTTTGGTCCATTCAGACATGACCACCATTGCTGGTACCAAGATAGCTTGATCGGTGTCCTCAGCCTGGATGTGCAGACCATGCTGGTAAGTACTATCACTGTAATTAGTCTGACCAAATAGATTGTACCCTTCAGTAAAGTCGGTTGAATCACAATGTCATTGATGCTCAGATGGATCAGAGGTATCACACAGAACATCCTGAATTAAATCAAATCTGACCTATCCACAATCTTTTGTATCTAATTCGATCTCTTTTTTTCTGACAGTCATATCAGGCCAATTTAGGCCGAATCATGTAAAATGGATTTTTCTGACATGATCATCATGTTATTGTATTCCTTCGCCTTTGTATTTGAAAATGCTGCGCTGACATCTTGTTTATTTATTTGTCCTAATTCTCAGATCAAAAAGGAGTCAGGGCACACAACTACAATAATTCAAAAAAATATAAAAATATAAACCGACGCCAGCAGGATTTGAACCTGCGCCCTCAAAGAGGAACAGATTTCTAATCTGTCGCCGTAACCACTTGGCTATAGCGCCTTGTAAATTTACTTCCATTTGTTCAACATGTCTGTGTGTGGCAGGTAGTCTAAAAAGCGGAGACGTATCTCCGCCCCATTTAATTGAACTCCAACTAACACCACTTCGATAAACTCAAGTAACACAATTCAGCAAAGATGATAAAAAACAGTTAATTTTTGGTTTTAACATCCTCTCTACTCTATTATACCCGCCCGCCAACCTCAGCACGATAGGCATATGAAGTATGCGCGAGATAATATAGCAAAATCCGACGGTCAGCTACAGATCACGTCACCCTAGTCTGGTATATCTAGTTGCCACTGATCTCCTTAGCAAGCTGCTCAGCCTTAGACTTGACGTCTTCAATCGTACCAGCCTATGACACGGACAACATAAGCAATTTTTCTCGCAAAAAAGTATCTGAGAACACACCATGTAGAAAGCAGATTCAGGTAAGTTGTCGTGTGCACCCGAGAGGATCTCCTTGAACGAGCGGACGGTGTCCTTGAGGGGCACAAGCTTGCCCTCGTAACCAGTGAAGACCTGAGCGACTTGGAAAGGTTGCGACATGAAACGCTGGATCTTACGAGCACGCTCGACCTACAACCAACTACATCAGTACCCGTTCTTAGCCACCAAGCATAGGAACACTCACAGTGAGCTTGTCCTCTTCTGACAACTCGTCCATACCCAGAATGGCAATAATATCCTGGAGGGACTTGTAGTCTTGCAGGATCTTCTGCACAGCGGTAGCGACATCGTAGTGCTCCTGGCCAACAATACGGGGGTCAAGCATACGCGACTTAGAGTCGAGAGGGTCAACAGCGGGGTAGATACCGAGTTCAGCAATACCACGAGACAAAACAGTGGTGGCGTCCAAATGGGCGAAAGTAGTAGCAGGAGCGGGATCCGTCAAATCATCAGCAGGAACATATACGGCCTGCACGGAAGTAATGGAACCCTTCTTGGTGGTAGTGATACGCTCTTGCCTGTGAAGATTTCAACGTTAAAATTTTCCATATTTAAAACTCAGAATTGCACGTACATGCCACCCATATCAGTTGAAAGGGTTGGTTGGTAACCGACAGCAGAAGGGATACGACCGAGCAAAGCCGACACTTCAGAACCAGCCTGGGTGAAACGGAAAATGTTGTCGATGAACAGAAGCACGTCCTGGCCTTCCTCGTCACGGAAGTATTCGGCAATGGTGAGACCAGTAAGGGCAACACGGGCACGGGCACCCGGGGGCTCGTTCATCTGACCAAAGACAAGAGCTACCTTGGAGTCACCCTCGAGGTTGATGACACCGGTCTCAATCATTTCGTGGTACAAATCGTTACCCTCACGAGTACGCTCGCCGACACCTGCGTAAATACGATTGAAGTTAAGAAAAAAAAATTCACACGCGTCGTAAAAATGTCAATTACCGCAGAAAATCGAGAAACCACCGTGAGCCTTGGCGACGTTGTTAATCAACTCTTGAATTAACACAGTCTTGCCGACACCAGCACCACCGAAAAGACCGATCTTTCCACCACGAGCGTAAGGAGCGAGCAAGTCCACAACCTTGATACCGGTCTCCAATACCTCAGCAGTCGTCGATTGGTCAACGAAAGGAGGAGGGTCGGCGTGAATAGGTGACAACTTGGTACCAACGATAGGCCCACGTTCGTCGATTGGCTCACCAATAACGTTCATGATACGGCCCAAAGTAGCAACGCCAACAGGAATTTGAATGGGTGCACCGGTATCAATCACTTTTTGGCCACGAACGAGACCTTCTGTACCGTCCATAGCGATAGTACGAACAGAGTTCTCGCCAAGATGCGACGCGACCTCAAGGACCAAACGACCACCATGGAAGTCTTGGACCTCGAGAGCGTTGAGAATCGGAGGAAGGTTCTCAGTCTCGAACTGAACGTCGACGACGGCACCAATGACCGTTTTTACAGAACCAATGGCAGCCTTTGCTTCCGTTGCATAAGAGCGCGCTGAATGATGATGTAGCACCGGACAAAATCGGAATAGTACATTTTCGCGTGAACCATGGTCAGCAAAACTTCCTAACACTGATTCCAACTACCGAAATGGACTGACCAGGTTGTGACGTTGCACGGGAAGGGCGTACGGCTCCGTTTTGTTGGGGTGCGGAGGAAGGAACTGAGAGTCTTGAGAGAACCGGTGCAGCAGTGTTGAGGAACCTGTTTGTGTTCTTAGCACTGTTGACCGCTCTCCTCGAGAGGCGGGTGACACCACGGGAAGTGAGCATGGTGAACGACGACGGCGACGGAGGTGAAAGGAAATAGAGGTGGAAAGAATTATAAGAGCCCGCTACACGACTACAACCAAATTTAGAGTTCAGTTCCAAGCTCCGACAGCATCCCGACTTTCGCCGTCAACCCGAGCGTCGATATTCTGCTTATGTCAGATTGTACGTCCGTATAACGCCCCATCGCCGACGCGAGACAGCGCGAGGCTCTTTGCCATCTGTCTTGCCATGCTCGATACATCAGTGAATTCGTCGCTTATATGCGCAGTACATGTCCAAAGGCATGAATTTACGTCCATTTGCACTCGTGTATGATCATCTTCTGACCTTGAATTACATCCTGTTCGCTTATAGTGATATGCTCATTATGCCTTGGATTTAGTGACTTGATACGTAGTTCTGTTTTCCCGCAGATTGTGAGTATACATGACCTCAAGTTTCACTCTTCACTCCGGCCTTGCGTCGATAACATCCTCCGAGACAGCAGGCGATGTAACTCGGATCTCAGGTATTGTTGTTGTTCGCAAGCGACTGAAGATCTTTTCCAGAGTCCTGAGTCTAGTAGACAAGTGACTGGTTATCGTGATCTCGCCCTGGTGCTCGTCTTACAAGGCCAAAGGAAAGGGTAACTGTATACCAGACTATATGATGTGCTTACACTGACAACTGTTAGTGCTATTTCGCAGGTACGAAACTGCATCCAGGGTTGCATGAGGAGTGACCGATTGCAATGCTTGTATATTACTATTTGCTTATGCTGGGTTGTAGAATTCGTGTTGTTCTTGGGGATTGCATGAAGGCAAGTGGAAGCACTGCGGTAGTCTCCTGAGAAAGACTGTGATTGAATTCTTGATGGTGGTAGGCATGTTATCTATAGTGTGTATTGCTGTGTTATTGTCTAGAGCATGTCAATTATTCGCCCTGGATGTCTGGTGACTTGGCGTCGCAAGCTTGAATGGATGGCGCTCAGACTAATGACGTCCAGTCTCTGAGATGACGTCCAGATCCTAACCCTAATGAGTTGCAAAATCCAAAAATAGAAAGAGGAACAGTACACCCGTGAGTCGCCTGTTATTGGAATCGACGACAGCCAGTATCCACTCACGACTAGATTCTGTGTTTCTGCCAGCACAGACCGCGATGCAGTCTCTCGCTCGACTCCGAGCGCGTCCCCCTTCCACACAACACCGATACCTCCGACCTCCTCACGTGCACCAAACCCGCCTCTTCTCCTCCTCTCCCCGCCTCTTCTCCAGCGCCCCACCGCCCATCCCAACTGAACCCCGCCCTCGCCCCCGCTTCCTCAGTCGCACCATTCTCTTTGCACGCTACTCTGGCTACTTTCTCCTCTCCTCCACATTCGGTGTCCTCGCCATCGGAGCAGGCATATTCATCCACGATGCTTTCACCTACACCGACAAACACGTCGATCGCGTTCCCATCAATCCACTGGCCCTTCACCCAGATCGTGGCGGTCCAAAAAACTTGCCTGTCGTGCGCATGCTTGTTGACGACGAGGAGGACGAAGAGGCAAAGAAACTCGCTCAGAAACCAAGGCTCGTCATCGTTGGTGGTGGTTGGGGTGTATGCCTTTCCATTTCTGCTATATCTCTCTTCTCTCTTATCTTACCCCCCCAAGGCTGTCGCAACTCTCCAAACTCTCGATCCTGGTGATTATCACGTGACCGTAGTAGGATCAGAGACCTTTACCACTTTTACTCCTCTCTTGCCTTGTAATTATCTTCCCTTTCATTCTATGGATCCCTCTAATTTGTCGTATAGCTGCTGCTGTCGGTACGGTCCAGGTACGCAGTCTTATCGAGCCTCTCCGCAAAATCGTTGCTCGTCTCCGCGGTCACTTCATCTCCGGAAAAGCCATCGACCTCGTCATGTCGGAACGTCTCCTCGAGGTGGAAACCATGTCTTCCACGGGCGACCCTCAACGCATATATCTTCCGTATGCCCCCTTTCCCTTTTCAAATCCAAGTTCCGTACTTAGCTCTCCTCCTGTACAGGTACGACAAATTGATAATCGCATGTGGCTCTTCTTCCAGTACACATGGTGTTCCAGGCCTTGAACACTGCTTCCAGTTGAAAACAATTTCAGACGCGCAGGCAATCAGGCGACGAGTTATGGGTGCGCATCAATCTGACTTCCTACATGGATATGCGTGTTAAACTTAGCCTCACACAGACAACTTCGAAACTGCCAGTCTTCCGACCACGACCCCAGAAGAACGAAAACGCCTCCTCAGCTTCGTTGTGTGTGGAGGTGGACCTACTGGTGTAGAGACCGCGGCCGTGAGTATCGGTTTTCTTTCCTATTTTGTCCCCATTTTCGTATATACTCCCTATACTATATCTTCCACTATGCACGGAGCATGTTTCCGTCAGACTCGTATCGTTGACGCTTTTGTTCGTCCAATCACAGGAAATCTACGACTTTTGCCAGGAGGACATCATGAACTATGTGCGTATACTTTCTCCCCTCTTTTTATGTACTCGGCAGCCCTGTTTCCAAAATTAATGCGGGCCCGGGGCACTGAGCCGAGGACTGACGGAGATCGACAATGGTGACAGTACCCCAAGATCTGTAGAGAAGAAGTATCGATCCACGTGATACAATCGCGGGAACACATCCTTAACACGGTAAGTCTGATGATCTGTACAAACCTGGATATTAGCGCTGTGCTCATGTGAATATCTTCGTCGTCGGCGGGGTAGTACTCTGAGGCGATATCGAAATATGCCGAGGTAGGTGTTGTCAAACCTTGAACTTGACGTGGGCTGTGCTGAACCTGGTGTGAACACTTGCAGGACAAGTTTAGAAGAGATCACGTCGACCTAATCACCTCCGCTCGGTACTTCTATTACATTTTGCAGTCTTATCACCTCATTCTAACCCACGCATAATTTTGATACGCAGCGTAAGCGCCGTCTACCCGGACCATGTTGTATACTCCACCCGATCGCCCGATGGCACAATCACCCAGCACACCATCCCGACGAACTTTGTGCTATGGTCGACGGGGATCGCAATGAATCCGTTTACACGGCGCGTGTCGAGTCTGCTTCCGAACCAGGTGCATAAAAGAGCGATCGAGGTAGATGCACATTTGAGGGTGAAAGGCGCTCCGCTGGGCGACGTGTATGCGATCGGGGACTGTGCGACGGTGAGTAGGACGGCTCCTCGGGGTGGTGTTGGTTCAATATTGACCGCTGACTGTGCTCGGTTTTGGGTCATGTTTCCGTTTGGGTACTTGGTGTGATACGGTGGGCTAGATTGAGACCTCGATTGTCAGCCATCTCCTGGAGCTTGTAGATGAAGCTGACAAGGACAAGAATGGAAAGATTGACTTCGATGAATGGGAGATTATGGGTGCGAAAACATTTTCCTTGGTGCAGTTGTTAGTGTGCTGAAGATGGGCGCTAGTTTCTCGGATCAAGCAGCGAATTCCTATGGCTGGAGCTCATTTGTCTAAAGTGAGTTGTTGTATGACTCAACTTCTCTTTCTATTGGTATATCTTAGCTTAACCTGACTTGTAGGTCCGCACGCTGTTCGATCTTTACGATTCGGATGCGGACAACAGCCTCACGCTCAATGAACTTGCAATGTTACTTCAGGAAATTGGAAACAAGATTACCGCTTTGCCCGCCGTGAGTTTTGCCCCTTTCGTCTGCCTTTCTTAGCACTCACACAATCCTATGCTCAATCTATACTTTAAACAACGCCGATCTGAATTATATCAATATGAAACATGTTTCTCAGACTGCTCAAGTAGCTTCCCAGCAAGGCAAATACCTCGGCAAGAAATTCACCCAGCTCGCTCGCAAAGGGGATGTCCTCGCGGCAAACGACGTTGGCGCGCTTGACGAAGTTGTCTCTCCCCCTTTCCGGTATGCTCACCTCGGATCGCTCGCCTACATTGGAAATGCGGCAGTGTTCGACCTGGGAGGATTGTCATTCATGGGTGGATTGGTCGCGATGTATGCGTGGAGGAGCGTGTATTGGAGCGAGCAGGTGTCAGCAAGGACGAGGGCGTTGCTGATGATCGACTGGATTATTAGGTGGGTTGTCTCTGCGTGTCCTCTTTCTTATCAGCGATTCATGTTTTTTCGTTTCATGGGAATAGGGGCGTTTGGGGTCGTGACTTGTCAAAATTGTAGATCAATACATTATAGATATGTTATGATCAGGTACAGCAAGCGCCTCGTACAGTCTGTAACTAGAAGTAACAGTCATCTTTACCGTATTTCAAGCTGAATGCTATTTAGTAGTGCATAGTAAAACACAGTCGTTGCCGCTGAATGGACTCTTTACTTGTACCACATTCTAGTTTGTTTGGGCCATGGATACATCCCTAGCCAACTGTCCTACCTCTACTACTACTCCTGCCACTCGAAAGACCCGACGACGGCCGTCCGCCCTGTCAGCGACCCTTGTGTCGGTGAGAGGATCGTCATCTTGCGATTAGGGATGTCAAGGCTCGTACTGCAGAATGAAACGAAAGCGTCATGAGTAGCCGAATATTACAACGTAGTAAGGTAAGATGACGACAGGGACAAGTGACAAGTGATCCGTGGCAGACGGAAATACGGGATTAACCAATGTGCCATCAAGCCCGAATAGCAAGATGCTTTACGGACCCGCACCACTTGCACCATCGGCTAACCCCATTGTGGCTATGAGGCAGTGATGAAATGGTGCAATAGTGGCACAGCGGCACAGGGGCAGGGGGAGGGTATGTTCGTAAGATGATAAGTGCGGGGTGATAGTGCTTACATGATAAGGAACCCGATGACATGCAGGTCTAGGATTTCTTCGTCGTAGCGCTCGGATTCGTCGGGGTTGGGAGGGGCGAGGAGGGCGAGGACTGCGTTGAGCAGACCTGAGCTGGGTGAGGATGGGTCGACGAGGATGGGTTGCATCTCTGAGACTGTACGCGCTGCACCGATGGGGAGGGCCGAAGAGGGAGCCATCGTTTCTGTTTAATTTTCACGAAATGAAAAAAAAAATGAAATTGAAATGATTAGCAAAGACATGACTCGGAAAAAATGTCGCGCGAGATATGAAGGATACCTTGGCCGACGCGGTAGATCGTGAGGTCGTCGAAGCTGAGGACGGTTGAGGAGGGAGAGAGGACGAGGTCGGCGGTCATTTCGCCGTCTACCATGCCTGATGGGATCCCTGGAGGGGGGTCGATGACTTGGCCGTACATGTAGGTGTGGAGCTGGTGCTTTTGCACGCGTTCGCGGTAGCTGTGGTCTAGTTCGACGACCTGTCAAGGCAAAAGTCGGTGTGGGGAGACAGGAAGAGGAGGGTGAGGGGGGCTGGGACGTACGCCTCCTGATTTTGGGATTTTAACTACTGCGAGACGGCTCCCGTAAAGCCGTTGCATTTCGACGTTGAGTTTTTCGTGGCCGACGATGAGGATGACGTTGACTGTTTAGTTATGAGCAAGGTGGTTTTAACGTAGGAGGTGGGTTAGGACAGACTTCTGAATGCGTCTACACAGGCTTTGATAAGAGTATGTCGGTTCTCTGTGCTGGTTCCCGTGTTTGCGCTTGAGCTGAAGGATGAAGGTGTATCGATGATGAGGCCAGATGTGCGTCCTAAGCAGCGTATATTTATCAATCAAGGCTGTACTGATATTGTCGATTGACGCACCTTCGACGTCATTATAAAACCTTTCGCCGATATTTTCTCCAAGGTTGCGGATGACACGGTCTAGGAGCGTTGGATTTCTCTTGATATCGGCGTGACCGTACCAGTAGACGAGAGGGAGGAGAGCGTTGGAGGGGAGTGCGGTGGGAGCTGAAGTGGCTGCTGAGCCTAGGGGGTTTGCGGGTGAGGCAGTCGGGATGGGGCTTGAGACGGGAGCGGCTGAGATGGCGCCTGGAGCTGACCAGCCTCCCTATATGAACGCAGCTCAGAATATAGCCCCTCAAGCCCAGCCACGAGGCCGTTCATAATGATTTTGGTACCACGATCTCACTCGACTCACCTCGCTTGGGTCGACGCTGACAAGTAAGGGCGACCAGTTCTGGCCTGCGCGGACTGCGTAGTTGGTTAGGATCTTGCATACGCTTGTTTTTCCAGAGTTTTCTGGGCCTAGGACGAGGACTCGGGGAGGGTCTGCGTTGGCGCTGGGGTCGTCGTCGGAAGCGGGGGATCCGTGGAGAGCGCGGAGTGCACGGACGCGCATCTGCTCGAATGCGATGTGGACATTTGCGTAGGCCGACATGGGCGTCTCCTCTGAGATATACTCGGTGGAGGCATTGCCTGTGATGTGCTAGCCGTATATGTCGATAAGTTAACGTGCACGAAAGGGAGGTTTGGAGAGGTGGGATGGGGGTATCTGGGAAGAAAGGGGTTCACTTATCTCTAGCGTGCATCCTTGCCATGTGTATATGGCCGCTTTACACTCGAAACCAAAAAGGTAGGCGATGCCTTCTACGAGTTCAGCGCCAAATATTTCTGCCTGTCCATCCAAGAGCTGGGGACGGGGATAAGAGGATGGAGGTCAGAGAGGAGTACTGGGTGGCTGATTGCGAAACTTGCCTTGATGGCTAGAGATGTTCCGGGATCGAGTTCGAATCTGTACTCTGTCTCGGGTTCTAGGACCCACTCCTTTGTATTGTGCAAAGCATTAGAATGCATTGACTAGGATGTTTGTTCCGATGAAGCTACGGGAAACAAGTTCAGGCTTTACAAAGTGAAACAAAACTGTGCTTTTTTGCTGGTTCAGACTGTGCAGATCTGATTGAAAACAAGGACATGCAACGGACAAGTGGTCATGTCGGCTTTAGCCTTAGATTTCATTTGGCGGCGGCGAGAGACAGGCACGGCGTGGGTAAATCATGCCGCGGCCCGGCACGGTTAGGCACGGAAGGTAGAACATAGGAATATGACATAAGGTCCTTTATTGTCGTTGCCAAGTTTCAGCGACCGACCCACGTCGAAAAGCGACTATCAGACACATACTACATCCACCGAATAGCTTGAGAGAATAAACATATAGCCAACAGGGAGCTGTCTATTCGAAGCCCCGAGCATGTAGGACCATGGTGTCATCATATTTCTCAAGACGCGCTATGTTGGACACCGGGACACGCGTTGGAGGGAACGCGATGCATCCAGTGGAGATCCACATAGACAGACAATCTCAATCTACTCCTGCACCAATCACAGCACGGCCTAGCCATGGCGCTTCCCTATAGACTGATCAGTCCTCCTGTTGATCGCTGCCGTAATGCCCGTTGCGGTGTCCTTATAATCCCATACCACTCTCTTTCTCTCTCCTCGCTTCCTCTCTCCCTTCCCCTCCTTCCATGGATTCCTCAAGCGAAGACTCAGAGAAAAGGGGCCACTTGGGCTCACTTGCCAACTCTCTCGACGTCGACGTCGGCGCACAGCTCACCGCCGGCAATGACAAACACCTCTCGACCGAAGAGGCCCTGCGCATAAGGTCATTCTTCATGTCAACACCTCACTCTTCTGAAACTCATTTTGCAATCCCTCCAGACGAAAGATCGACTGGCATATAATGCCTTTCATGTGCAGTGAGTCACCCGATACACTGTCCCCCTTCACTCAACTCACCTGCCTTTTATTATTATCAGTCATGTATTTGTAAGTAGCCATGTTGTCCAACACCGCATGTGTCTGACGTCACCTAGGATCACTTTCATGGACAAGACAACATTGGGAGAGGCTGCTGTACTCGGCATATTGTAATCCTTTCATACACTTGGTTGGATATATCTCACACTTCAACAGGCCTGGTGCTCATTTGAATGCCACGCAGTTCAACTGGCTAGGCACAATATTCTATTTCAGCTACCTTATCTTCCAGTATCCCCAAAATCTGGCTCTCCAGCGGTTCCCAGTTGGAAAGTGGATGAGGTGTGTTCTCATCGTGCATATAGTCCCACTGTCACTCATCTTCCTTGACTATATGCGCACTAGCATCAACATTTTTCTCTGGGCTGTCATATTGCTATGTCATGCTGCATGTACCTCTTTCGGTGGTCTATTTGCTGTACGCTTCCTGCTAGGAGTCTGCGAGGGAGCAATCACACCAGGTTTCATGATCGTCACATCCATGTTCTACACTCGCGAGGAGCAGACCAGGCGTGTCGGATATTGGTGTACGTCATCACAGCATATCTCATGCAGACTGATATTAACCTTTATCTCCCATGCCTATCAGTCCTCATGAATGGGATCGCTGTCATTGTCCTAGGCTTCTTGAGTTTCGGCGTCTTGCACATCGATACGGGTAAATTCCTCCCGTGGCAGTGGTGAGTGTGATTATAAATACTAGCTTGCCGGAAACTTGGCTGAGCGTTAATCAGGTTGATGATCATCACTGGCGCCTTGACTTTGGTCGTTTCTGTCGCCTTCTGGTTCTTATTTCCCGATTCGCCAACCACAGCTTGGTTCTTGACCCCTGAAGAAAGAGCGGCTGCGGTTGAGCGCATCAAGGTCAATCAGACTGGACTGGAGAACAAACATTTCAAACTCGACCAGTGCGTCTATTTTTTCTTCTCCCGAAGCAGTATCTTCTCACATGTTATACTTGGCTCAGGTTCACTGAGACGCTGACGGACCCAAGAACCTGGCTATTGGCATTCTTTGCTGCTGTATCGTGAGTAGCCATCTTTGATCTTCTTGCATGTATCATTCTGACAATGTGCTTCTAGGAACGTCGTGAATTCTGTATGGCCTTTCATAGCTCCTGTCAATACAACATAGCTCACACTACTTTAGCTCACTAATCAGCGTCAGCTCATTGTCGCACAGTTTGGTTTCAGTGATATCCAGACTACCCTTTTGGGTTGTGTCGATGGTGTCGTAGAGAGTGAGTGTACTACACAAATTCGTTTTATAGCCCTTGTTAAACCACTATCCTCAGTCATTGCGATATATGTTGGCGTTACACTGGCTTCTCAGTGGTTCATTGGCCGTGCTTACGCAGGAGTGCTCATGTACATTCCTGCGATTCTCGGCGCCATCCTCGTCAACACTCTCCCGTCTGGGAACAAGATCGGTCTGCTCTTCTCGTACTGGGTATCAAGTAAGCAAAGCCCGATCTTACTCCTCTGATTTGCCTCGAGGCTCATTTTTGCATTTACCCAAATCCGTCCTATAGTTTTCGCAATTGCCCCATTCGCCATCTTCTTGGGCTGGGTGAGTTCGATAACTTCCGGACACACTAAACGTGAGTTTCCCGCATTTCTTTTTGAGTCTTGGTTCCAGCCTTCTTTTGCTGGGTCAAGTCTTCCTTTTCGGTCGCTGATCAGTTTGCGAAAAAACGAAAATAGGAATCACCACGAATGGTATTGTTCTGTGTGCCTATGCGATTGGTAATGCCGTAGGGCAATTCATGTGGAAGGCTCAGTACCAGCCCCGGTGTGTACGGAGTTTGTCAACGTGGCTCATTCCCGCTCATTTTTGGTTCTTGTTTTCTCTGCTTTCTAGAAACCATGTGCCGTGGGCAGTTATTGCGTCCTGCAACTTCGCATCTGCCATTGCCATGGTCATTCTGCGCTTCTGGTTCGTGTGGGACAACAAACGACGTGACGCAGAAAAGCATGATGACACGTACGACGATGTCTATATCATGGTTGTAGAGGAAGATGGCACAAAGATTGAACGCAAGGTGGACAAGGTAAGTCTTGCTCGGTTCTCAACATGGACTGTACACGAGGCTGATGTTCTCTCTCAGGCCTTCCTCGATCTTAGTGACAAACAAAACAGAGATTTCCGCTATATCTTGTAGGGGGTTGATGACGACATATATGAATACATTTTACACCTTGGAGAGAAAAATGCAGTCCAAACTCGTATAGATTGTATCTACTGATATATTTAAAAGCTTGTATCTATTGTACCCACCACACTTAATTATATCCTTGAAGAACTTTGATAGCTCAGCGAATCGCAAATAGTGAGCATACTCTCATAGTGTGACGGACATGAACAGACAGCTTGTGATTATAGAAAGGAAGCGAGCTTTAGAGGTTTACGGACTGCAGCAGAGTTACCCTCTAAGAATCGATACGTGACACGGTAGTCCTTCTTTACGTTCTTGCGCGTCGCTTCCTTCGCACTAGAAATTGAAGGCACGGTGATCAACCGTCCAAAGAAGTCAACCGGGGGCTGGGTTCCACCGTTTTTTTTTTCAGTCACGCGGATGATGTCGATGAAATGAGAAAGAGACACACCCTGTCTGCTATATCTGTCAGATCTGTGCGAGCGCGCTTGTTTGCTGGACCGGCACCCGAGGGATCAATCCGCTTCAAGTCTCCAGCCATAGTGTTCGCAGCCTCTGCGCTGCCATGCTCCCCACCCTCTGCAGGCTCTCCAGCCCCACCCGACCTGCGAAACGTTCGGTTTCAAGATTACGTTGACAGAATGATGGAAACTGAACCTTTTGAAATAGTCAGTTTTGGTCTTTCCCCTCTCAACTGCGTCGGCGTGTCGAGCGATTAAAGCAGCATCGATCTATACAATTTTGAAATGAGCTGAACACGACTTCAGTCAGATGATGACACTGACGAACCTCTGCTGCTACCAAATGACGGACCGCGTATCTCGATATGGCAATATCAGCTGCCCGTTTACCATCATACGTGACAAACACGTCGATTGGACTGACATAAAACGTCAATTTCAACTGTATCGCATAAGACATCGCCTCACATACGGGTCTAACCGATATACGAGCTGTCCGTCCTCTGCTTTTTCTTGTACAAAACGCAATTCGAGAGATGTCATGATATCAACAAGACGCGACAGTAATGCCCGCTCTGCTGGTTTGATGACTTGACTATTGACCTATACAAGGAAGTTATTCACCTGACTAGGTTCAATAACTATCGGAAAGACACTCACTGGCCGTAATGGAGGCGAAATAATCCGATTGATAAAGGGTGCAAATTCAAGCTGAAGGGTATTTCCGGTCACAAGATGTCTATAATCTCCAGCATTGCGGCCACATGCTGTCCTTATACCCTGTGATAGGTCCTTGTATATCTGTTCATTTGTTCGGGTTCGCTGAAGATTCTAAGGAGAAGGATTAGAAATAGAGCGTAAAGCAGTCAGATTGAGCAATGAAAGTACCTCCCAGTCTGTTTGGTCCTTCTCTACCCGCTGTGCCCCTCGTTCCTTGAAGAGGGAGTAAAAAGGTACCAAGAAATAAGAAAGATACGAGTGTAGACCAAAGTCGCCGTCGGTATACATAATGGACGAGAAAGTATCAAATGTGACTAGCCAGTCATTTGCTTTTTCGTAATGTGCCAAGGTGGCATCATGTTGGCGACAATTGATATAATGAGCAAAACAACCTGCACGATTAATTTCAGTGTTTTGTGCATGATCAAGTCGTCGAAAAATAGAAGCTAACCAACGGCGACACTATTGGGGTTATTAAGACCTTCAACCTCGCGACTAAGTCGATTGACATATCGAGCCTCTTCATCCTCGCCGAGACCAAGCTCCTTCACGCGTTTCCGTGACATCGGAGCGAATAGGTCATTAAGAACAGACGTAACCGTGGTATCAGCCTCTTTCATGCCGACTGTAGCACGACGTATCAGGGGTTCTGTTACTTCCTCACTTTTTGATTTGATGAACTAAGGGGGATGCCCGTTATCGCTACTCGATCAGAGTTGATAATACAAGGTTCGAACCTGGAGGGTATTGAGGCAGCCTCTCAAGTCGCCTCTGGCAACTCCAACAAGGGTAGTCAAAGCTCTGGAATCGGCTTTCAGGTCTTCAAATTGACATATTTCCCGCAGACGTTTGACGATGTGGATATCTGCTGGCCGCGTTAAACGTACTTGGCGAGCATGAGGCCGTAGTTTGGCCAAAGCAGGGGCATGCAGATCATTGCAAATGCAAATGATAGGACGTAGAAGTGGCCGTTTGTCCTTTTTTTGTTTACCTTTCCCTGGAAGACAGTACATATAACGCATAATACGATACAAACTGAAGAAGTTACCTTACCTTTCTTTGGAGCATCATATGTTAACGAAACTAATTTTTGTACGAAACCCGACGTCTGAGGTGATAGTGAGTATGGTGAATATCATTTAAAGTAATGACCAACATTATCTCCAGCACCTGTTGCTCCGTCAATTTCGTCGATAATGATAAGTACAGGTTTACTGCTTCCAATTGCTGAACCTGACTCGAGTGCCGGTTGTATTCGCTCTTCAACGACTAGTCCAGAACGTGCATCACTTGGAGCAAGCGCCACTTCAAAACAGTAATTTTTATAAAATAAAATAAAATCTCACCTTGCATTTATTTCCATTACCTCATAGCCAGCTTGCTGTGCTATAACATGCGCCAATGTTGTTTTTCCGAGCCCAGGAGGTCCAGATAGTAAGAACAGCTAATGAGATATAAGAAATTGCGCATATAAGGTGTCATCATCAGACGAACTTTTTCATGTGGGCGGTGATATTCGTCGTCAGGATTGTGGTTTTCGTCGCCTTCTCTGGGCCGCTTCTTGCTTTTCCTTCTACCAAAAACGCACCAATCCCATTGCTTGACCCATTCCATGGTCTCTCGAGCTACCCGTTCATTCCCCAAGAGTTCAGTGAATCGAAGTGGCCGATACCGATCTACCCATAAAGTATCATCTTGAGGCGCTCTAGATACTTCCTGCGGTGCACCTGCACCTGCAGCATTTCTGGGTACACAAGTGAGTAATCCAAAAGATAATATTGAAGTTTTTTACACACGATATTGATAGCTTTTCAGCTGTTATACTCGAAAGTTCGTCCATCAGTCGATGAATGGGGACATCGAGTAGATTACCCATCTTGAAGGAAGATTTAGCCTGAACTGAAGTTAAAAATATACGAGGTATTATGACAAAAGAAAAACTTGCGGCTTGTACACTGGTTACTCGTTTTCTACGCTTGATATATAGGGATTTGCCATCATAGGTGGTAGCTCGAACAGAAAGAAGAGGAAGATATGTCGGTAGTGAGGGGTGCGCCGTATTGGTTTCACTTGATGTATTTGGTGGTCTCGTAGGAATACCCAATAGTTCAGATAGATTAGGAAGGGGCTCGTCGTCTACAAACCACGTTATACAAAGTTCATTCGCACCACCACCGAGGACTAGTGCTCACCTTGTGATTCTGACAACAGACCTGTCGCGAAGAAATCGGTTGAATTCTTCCGAGCTTGGGTGTTATAAGAGTCAAAATTACTGAGAAAGTCTAGTTTAACTCACTGATATTGATATCCTTAGAAGATGATCCTAAGAGCCCATTGCTGCTGAAAAATGACTCAACTGGAGGCTCCGATTCCATCACAACGGGGTGCTGCACTGATGTACATTCCTCCATCAGGTCTAGCATATCTTGCTCATGAATGGTATCTGGCGCGGCGTAATCGTTGGAAATAGCTGATGGCCCTCCCAGCAAGCCATTAGATGTAAACCCACTGGTAGACGCTATAGACGCGTTCTCTACTGCTATAGGATCCAGTAGTCCATTCGAAGTAAATGCTTCGACCATGCTTTGTCGGTGGGTCATGTATATTGAGCGGACGTTAGTGAGCCCAGAATTGGCGGAATAAGTCTAGGGAGTAAGTTTGAGACGCGTCTCTAACTACAATAAACCATGACACGCTCGTGTGAAAAGGCAGAACGCGTGTGTGGCGCGTCCATCTCAGAATTACTCAGAATTCTGACCAAGGTTTAACTGAACGATTTCACTAGAATTCTACATCACATCAACGATGCGAGAAACTGAATTGAATTGTAAGATATTTTAAGGTAAAGATTGTGAGTATTTGTAAATAAAGGAATATTTTATGGCCAGCGCATCGACATTGCATGATTGTTCGACCGCGCTAGCCACAGGCTGAGCTTTGATCTGAGGAATATCTTGATAGCGAGGGTAACGTAAGAAAAAGACGCAAGACGAGCTCATAGATGGGCCATGATTTTATGCTCCAAGTGCGATGTGTCTGCAGCCTCTTCGAAGAACTCTCGTAATGCACGACCTAAGCGGATCATGCCTTTTTCGATGGTTTCTTCTGTCCCAGCGAATGTTCCACGGAAGGAATTGATACGCTGGAAATCACCATCAATCAGTCAAGTCGACAATTTGATCAAGAAACGAGAATACGTACATCACGTATGGGAATATGATGAGGGCTTACGACAGATAACGGATCTTCTTCCATGGCAAAAATAGCTGAAGGCATCAGAACCACATCAAAGTCCATGAATTTTTTGAAAAGATCATGCAACAAAAGCTCCGTATTTGTCCGGGGGGAAACGGACGAACCCCCTCTATTTGAGCGCGAGCGGTAACGAGGATGACGGTCGAAGTTTACTGTTACCCAGACGAACATGCCAGCTTCTGGAACATTGATGCTCGCATAACCAGTTGGCTCAACCTCGCGACGGAAAGCTTCGAGTAGGAAGTCTCGACGTCGCTGATAATCAACGCGTAAACTTTGTATCCACCTGCAGAAACCGTCCATCTGCCAACCATTCTTGCCAAGCATTTCCGTGACGAAAACTTGTCCAAAGGCATGTGGATGTTGTGGGCCAGAGTCGGTATAAGTTACTAGTTTGTGATGGAATAGATGGTTGCTTGAAATCCACCCCAGTCGCATACCTGGAGCTAAGATCTTACTGAAGCTAGAAAACATACAAAGCTCAAGCGGCGCGGTGGAGACGATTCACAACAGCTACTCACCTATCGATTCGCAGAACGCGACCGTCAACATCCATAGACAAGAGACTGGGGATTAGTGATTGTGCAAACTTCTCGCTGAATTCACCCTTCTCCGCTGATGCAGTTACAGGTGGCAAATCATACTGCAAGAAATAATAGGGGTCTTCATGCCAATAAGACGAAATATATATTAAAGAATACGCATTGGCTTACCATCTTCAATGATGATCAAGTCCCACCGACGGGCTATCGCATAGATCTCCTTTCTACGCTGCAGGCTCAATGTGGTACCAGTTGGGTTTTGTCCAACACTAACATGAAATAAAGAATGCTATATGTGCGCAGGAGGAAGAAACTCACGGTACGATGTACAGCACATGAGGCCGTCTGCCACGTCGCGGGTCCCAATGCTGAAGCACCCTTTCAATTTCCCCCGGGATAATACCTCCTTTGTCCATTTTGATCCCGAGCCATTTAATACCATATGATAGCGGAGCATTCGTCATACCTATAGGCGGGTCAGCATCCTCCGTAGTTACAGCGAAAAATCACCACACACCAGGGAACGAAAATTCGTCTGTGAGGAAATGATCACCCCTTTCACCGAGCATGCGGAAAACTTTGGTGATACCATCCGAGTTACCCAAGGTTAAGGTTACGGCATGGTTAGGAGGAGAATGGAAAAATTGTGTCAAGTCAGAAAGAGCTTTCTGACACTCGGGCAGTCCAGCTCCATGCGTGTATTGGAACGCATTCCGGAGACTGAGTGCGCTGGGCTGATCCTTATAGGAGTGGAAAAACTGTGTGTCGCTTGACCCATTTCGCCATGAAGATACAGGATCTGCTTGGTTGACAGCAGGAACCTCAAACGACATCTTTCGGAAAGGATAGAGGGAGTGATGCGGGTCACCTAGTAAAAGAGTTCAAGAGCCAAAGAAAAAAGGGGAAGTACATTCTATGCTGACCATTGGCCATGTTAGCGATGTCTGGTTTGTTGGCACCTTGCACCATTCGCCAAACATCCTTCATTGGATTGGGGAGCCTGTCTCGGGCCTCTGTCGAGAGATGGTGCGAAAGGTCGATGGAATCGACGTTGCGTGGATTGACTGTCGGCATATTGAAATGAACTAAACCGGTATTGATTCAAAGAGTGTCGAGGTTGAGCGAGCTCAAGACCGAAATTAAAGAAAGACTGGTCAAAGGTTTAAGTATGTCCACCCGAACGAACTACTCATTCCCAGGCTTGCAAGAGACGTGGGAGGAGAGAAGAACAGGATAGTCAATACTGACACTCGTGAACTAAAAGATCACTTCTCGCGGGGGAAGAGGGATGATAGGCTGATGAGACCTGAAACTCGATATATATTAATGCACTAGAAAGGGATCAGGAATGATCTGGCAACAATGTGCCGACCCCTGATGTCCATAGGGCACCATGGACGAAATGCTCGGACCATGACACGCCGTCTACGACGAACTGAGCTGCCGAACGCTCCACCGCCTTATTACGTTAAATCAGGCGAGTGTACCAAAATGAATAACACGCAGTGTAAAACGTACAATGTTATCCTATCTTCTCCTATCTTTGTGGCCTGATCTGATTGTATGCGGGGCATTCTAGAAGCACAAAAAACCTAGATAGCATCAGAACCAGCAGCACCAAATTGCCGTTGATCGCAGAAACCTACAATCAGAGTTACTATCTCGAGAAGCCTGTATGGAGCCCAGAGCTCGATTCTCGGTCGAGCACGAGGTATACGCTGGTACCCGGCGCTAATTTTACCATGATGTCGTTGCTGATCGCCAGGACAAACATGAAACTTTGCTCGGAGACTTTGAAATTTGGAAAAAAAAAATGACTCAAGACGACGCACAAGGTCACCGTGACCATGGTCACACATGGACATATATCATTTCACACAATCACAGACCATGAGCTCTAAAACCCTAAAAATACGCACGAAACAACTGTGATATTTGGTGACAATACGATACAAATGCAGGATATACGTTGCAGAATGAAATAGTGAAAGATGATAGGTTAAACATGTGGCAGAACGTTCGTTACATACCAAAAAGCACACTTGCAAATATGTTAGGGTTTCGCAGGCCGGTGCCAATAAGGATGAGGATATAAGTTGATAATACCATGTGTAACGTGAGAAATGCTTTATCTCTGAGAGGCCAAATGTTCGAGCTCTTCTACCACTTCGGACATCGTTGGTCGATCCTGCGGATCATGAGCCCACATGCGCTCTAGAAGTTCGATAATTTCTGGACACCATAGTTTTCGCAATCCACTGATGGAAGGCCTGATGATATAATATAAATAGAACCCAGACCAGGAAGAAGCCGGTCGAACAGCTCACCTTTGTCGCTTCGCCCCCACAATCTCGTAGATCGCGTGTTCGTTCATACCCTGTGGGGCAGAATCAGATGTGAAAAGTGACGTCAAGCGCAACGTGACTTTACCTCCCACGGAAATTTCTTGTTAGGATTGTGCCATTGTAACATTTCCCAATAAACCATGGCGCAAGAGAAGACATCGACCTTATGGTTGTACTTGGGATGAGCATGCCATAACTCCGGAGCTTGCCAGTTCACCGTGCCGACCAAACTGCGAACCATTGACCTGGTCGACTGCTTTACTTTGGCGAGCCCAAAGTCCGCGATTTTGGCCGTGGCCCTCGATGTGATAAGAATATTCGAAGACTTGCAATCTCGATGGATGACGGAAGGTTTGCGCATGTGCAGGTATTCGAGTCCACGAGCAATATCGAGCATAATATTTATCTGCGAACAAGATATTGATTAAAATGTAGAACATCTCAATACATGATGTTCAACGTACAACTTTATGCAACGAGGGTGCTGGAACGTTGCGGACATAGTCGAAGAGATCCCCATTAGAGCAAAGCTCGCTCACGATCATGACAGGCGTCTCTCGGGTATTCTCTGGTATACTCACTCCAAGCTAGGGGAAAGAATCAGCTGTTGGCCGAGACATAGCTATAATGAATACACGTACGAAACGGACTATATTGGCATGATCAAAGCCCCCGAGAAGCTTGAGTTCTTTGATGTCCACTGGAGAAAGATGCTTAGATTACGCTATAGGAGATAGCCTGCGGACTTACTAGGGCTTAGCTGGTCGCGGAATTCCGCGATAGCAACTCTCCTGCCTTTGAATTTGCCAATGTAAACATCCTTGAAACCTCCGCTGCCAATCTTCTCAAGTTTTGTCAGCTTTTCTGGAGGAATTTCCCGATCCTCAAGACCGAGGCTTTCAAGGTCAAGTTCCAGCTCAGGCTCAGCTTCTCTTCCAATATCACGTGAGAGAGGAGGCGTACGAGGTTCATCTTGATGAACACGGCGAGAGCGCATAAGAACTGGTGGGGTTTTGCTATTACTCCTGCTTTTGGTCCTGCGACGGCCATTAGCGCGAGGTCTAGCGGTGGAAGGAGGGCGGATTGTGCCGGTCGACGATGGTGAAGAAAAGCCATTAGCATGTCGATCGCGCCACTGCAAAAGTGCCTGCGCCAGTTGGGGTTTTGTACCAACAACCTCAAGGTCCCGGGTTTCACAAAGACGGACGAGGTCATCACGCCTTAAGCGAACAAGGGTTTTTGCGGTGGCAATAGTAAGATCAACTAAAATAAATCATGTTTAGAATTAAACCAAGATAAAACGATGGATGCAGTGCTCACCATCCTCATCGTGCATGAGTTCGTCATCGTCCTCAAGCTCCTTATTTTCTCCTTCAGTATCGACATCGACATCGACGTCCTCGGCATCAATACTGACCTCATCCTCTTCACCCTCCTCTTCATCCTCCTCCTCTTCATCCTCTTCCGAATTCTCGCCAATATCTTCCTCCTGCACTTCTTCTTCCCCCACTACCTTACCACTGCGCAGCTTGCGAGGTGTCGTTGTAACTGGCTCCGTATCGTTACCTTCATAGCCATCTTCGTCCTCGCTACTTCTGATCTCATCGGATTCATCCTCAATGTCGATCTCAGTTTGGTCATCCTCTTCTTCATTCTCTCCTTCATCATCGCCGTCGCTAGGTGGAGTGTGCGTTTGAACTCGACGTGGTCGTAACCGCCGCCTAACTGGAGTCCTACGACCTTGTAACGGAGGGGGTGAAGGTGAAGGTGAAGGCGATGAAACAAGCTCGTCGATTTCGTCTTCGTCGTCACCATTTTTAGACTCGATCTCCTCATCATCCTCGCCGTCATCGACAATCTCTTCCTGAATACTCTTGCCTCTAACCCCTTTCCTAGGTGTAGCGCCCACATCATCAACCGGAACTTCGACATGTATATTGCCACCCTTCTCCCCCCGACGAGTGCCTTTATCCCTACTTCGTAACCGGCGTGGGCTGGGAGAGCTCGTTGCGATTTTTTCCTCAAGCTCGGCGAGATCGGTGAGTTCGCTTTCATCGCCCGAACATGGAGGGATACTGCGAGGAGACTGGACTTCTACATGATCGCTGAATTCGACTTGCTTGCCTTTACCTTTTGCCTTGTGGGAAGAAGACCCCGCAGATATTGTTTTTTCGGCTGATACTTTTCTAGAGCGTAACCGAGTTGCAGGAGGAGAAGGAAGAGCATACGATGTACTTGGCGTAGGCGACGAGCGACTAGAACAGGCACGAGTAGCTCGCTTTCTAGATGAAATTAAATATTTGATATGAGCTACGAAATATGAGTGCAAGGTTGTATTACCTTGGGGTTGGGATGGCATTGTCATCCGCGTTTGGCTTAACATTCGACTTATTAGGCGAATTTTGTTCTACTTGATGACCGTTAAGATGACCCATGGAGAAACTGCGTGTCTTCAAGAATTTTCCACCCATATGGCCCACATCATGAACCGTAGCGCGTCGTCTTAGTCCATTGAGCCCTTTTACTTTGCCTGCGACATCCGTCTCCTCGCCACCGGCAACATTACCGTCATCGGATGAAAAGTCGCTGGAATTGTCGTCGCCTCTACCAGGGGGAGATGAAGGTGGTAATGACGCGACATCATCGCGAGCAGCGACAATGGCATCAACAATTTCTGGTTTCGTGAGTGTTTCAGCATCTTCTGAAAGGCCAGCTGCTACATAAAGTCGAACGAGCTCGTCCTTTCGCAGACGTAAAAGCTGACGAGGAACGGCTTCATTGATGAGGAACTCATCGGCTTGGCTCAAGTCAGAGAGCGTGCTAAGAATCTAAGAAGATCAACGTACATGATTCATCCGCATCGCTATCAGCGTCTGATTGATCTGAGGCTGTCCACTGGCCGTTGAGGTCTACTTCCATAGAACTTGTCTGGCTTTCGCCACTGTCATCGTCGCTGGTCAAACCCTGATTACCCACGCCTCTGCGCCTCTTCAATGTCCCAGAACCACGCGTCGGGCGACCACCGGAGTGCGCGTTCTCATTAAGACTCACGACGCGTTTTCGCTTTGTCCCGATGCGAATATCAAGGTTTTGGCTCACATCGCGCATATTGTCTGCCTGTAGCAGATATAGGCGAGACGGCAAGCGACGTAAATTAGGATGAAGAGTGGCCAGGACTGGTCGTAAAGCAGTATTATCTGCAGAGGAGGATGATGACACGCCAGAGGCGTGAGAATTGGGTGAAGACCGCTGGAACCTGTAAGTAAGAGCGCGCTTTGAGAGAGGGCCACGGCGAAGAGAGTAAATTCGGCGCGCAAAAGAAGGGTTTGCGGGCGAAGACGAAACTCTATGCGGTGAACGACGTTGGGCCATGCCAGTTTGCAGAAAAGTAGAACAAATGCTATCAGCCACCAGAGAAGCTGTAAATGATATTTATATGGCCAAGAAAGGGGGAGAAAGCCTTTTGTTCGGTTCCAATTCCTCGTCGTCGCTAGACGTTGTCGCCACTGGGTTCGCTGATATTGCTGTTGCCGCCGCCGTCGTCGTCGTCAGTGACCAGGTTCACAATTTGGTTGGGCCTTGTTTGGTCGACAGCAAAATGATAGCCACTATAGACAAGTAAAGACAAACAGGTTGTGGCAAAGGTTGAACAGTGGAGACCCGATTAGGATTTAGATTCCCACATTATGACCTTTATGACCTTTGTCGGGACTGTTTAACGGATCTCAGATCTTCGTTTAGCGGGCTTACCATGCGTCTCATATAAATCCGCATCCGTTCTCTTTTCAGTCTTTTGGCTTTTCTTTCCCCGTCCTTTCTCTTGCCAGACGTCAATATGATTTTCAAGTTCTCAAAGTCTGACATGCTCAACTCAGCTCTGGTTTACCCAGAGACTGGTTCTCTCGCATACACCATCCTCACTCGTTCTCACTACATCCGTGCCAATGAACAAGAAGATAAGGACACCGAGGTCGATGCCGCAGAGACTCGGAGAACAATCATCCTCAACAAGGAGGGAAATGTAGTGGCAGAGATTGGTTGGAAGGGTAGGCAGCCCGTGGAGATCGTCATTGGAAATGAGAAAGTGGTTGGTGCCAGAGGCATGTTTGGTTGTTCGAGTGCAATACTTTCGTATGCCCTTTTTTCGTTTGCTTTGCCTGTGGCATTAACCATTCGCCTTCAGAACTGGTGTTTTTGGTATACCCACTCGCTTTGATACAGAATATTTTTGGATGGCCGCGCCTGATGCTTTGACTGTGAGACCACTCATTCTCTTTCTGTCTAACTTATATCTGACTGCTCGAAGCTCCTCGATTATGACGCCGATCAAGTAAAAGGGCAGTTTCATTTCAACAGTATTCGTGTCGGCGACCGCTTTATCCCTACGCACTTACATGGGGTGGGCAACGACTACCTCGAATTCGATCCACATTCTCTGGCCTCAACCGAAGAGCTCATAGGTCAGCCGTCGTTTATTTTACATCACGATTGAAACTTTATTCATGTTCTTTGAAGTTACTTTTATTCTAGTGGAAATTCTCCGACGAGGTCGCTTCAATCTCACGCCTTACGTCTTCGATCGTCCCAAGCTATGGTCAGGCGCACATCTAGCCAGTCTCGGTCGGCGATTGCGGCGAAGATCAATATGAGGTTGCACTCAATCAATAGCCCTTTCTACCGTCATTTTGTATGGATACCTACCATTGAGTTTCTCTTTATCCTTTGCTTTGCGACACATGCGCCCTCTGTAGCCTCTACCTTGACCCCTCGACCCCACTTTCTTTTCGTGTATCTTTGCTTTGATCGATTTAACTACCCCTCAGATTATCTGAGCTTCACACTCGTTTCTTTCGTTCTATTCCTCCCTGTTATCGTTTGGATTGGTTGTTTTTTTTAGAGATTCTAGTTTCGACCCAACACAACTATAATCTGTTGGCATGTACTGTACCTTACTGATAGCCTCTAAAGTCGGCTTATGAATGGAAATGTTTGATCGTGATCATTGTCCTGTGAGTAGGTACAGTCCCAAAAAAGCCATTCCCCTTGTATGCCTTATATAGGCTTTGCCTTTGACATTGCCAAAAGGGGCGTGCTTCGGTAGGCTTCGGGTGGGGATTCAGATGCTGGACAGTGTGCCTCCACTACACCACTGGCACACGCTCATGCGAGTCCTTTACGCAGAAACGTCATTTCAGATACATATGGCCATGGCGGCTCCGAGGACACACGTTTCTGCGCGATAAATTCGACCTCATGATCTTGGACTGGGAGCTACTAGTGTTAAGAAGCCCATCACTGCACAATGCACCCAGGATGCAGAGAAGCTTGAAAGGTGCTAAAAGTATTTATCCTACGCCAGAAAGTTCAATGATGCAAACTGCTATATCATTTGTAGCACGTAACAAACTCATGTTTGTGCAGCTACCTCGCACATCTCATGATAACGATGTCAATGGTATTAATCAATTATTAATCACCGTCCAGCTCTGGCCTCGGAAATTCTTTGTTCAGTCTACAACATGCAACAAATGGAAGACTAGTCAGCATTTCCCCGCCTCATTGACTAATTGACTTGTACAATACCTAGTCATAAATATTTTGTACAGTGTACATCTTCGAACTGGCATCCGGTTTAACGGCATCATCCCCATATATCTTCGCAACGTTGTACATCTTGGTGGATACCGGGGTATTGTTCGCTTTGGTCGACGAAGCACTATCCACGGAAGGATTTGGGACTACTACTACACCAGGTTTGCCAGCCTTGCTTGCCAAGTTCGCTGCCCGGCCGTCGGGAATACGGATAAACTCTAACTTGCCGTCTTCACCATTACCATCGAATATGAAGTAGCCTTTCCTCTCGAACTGAATGATATCCCCCTTTTTCAGGTCGTTTACGTTGGCATCAGCCAATGCCTCCTCTTTGAACTCAGTCATAGGAGTCACAAAGTCGGCTACGTTGTCGTTCTCCTCCAACTTCTTCTTTGTGATAAGATAATCATAGTCGAGGAGCGTGACATCGATCAATGGGTAGGATTCACTGGGTTGGGCTAACCAGGTTATTTTCTTCTTCGTTTTGCGGAAGTCACCTTCGAGGTTGAGGTCCATGGTGAGAGAAGTGATTTCTCCCGAAGGTCCAGTAGTTTTCGAGCGGACAATAGCATTACCCCAGTCCATGAGAGTAACCTGCGTTTATTCAACATCAACGTGCTTTTCTCAGAATATAATCATGCTTACCTCCTCCTGGTCTTCGAAGGAAGCCGCGTCTTCCTGCTCGAGTAATATCGTAGACGTATATACAGTCTTCTTCTCGCCAACTTCTGGGTTCTTCTTATGTTTAGGAAGCACCTTTACCTCGGCAGTTGCAGGGCCATCGTTGATGGTTACTGGAACACTGGTGGCAAGATGAAGAGATCATATAACTGAGTACAAAAAATACAACTTACCTCTTCTCCTTCGCTACAGCCCAAAATCGTGGCGCAATGGGATCGATGACTTTTTTGTTCAGCGCCCAGATGGAGTCCCATTCCAGAGAGACGATTGCTTGCGAGGGTCCCTGTGATAACATGAATTGTGACAGTGCCTCCACTGTAAGGCCACGTCGACGAATACCTAGAGTCACATCCCGCGAAGGTCAGCTTTGAACAGAAGTAATCACTCGGTACGGACGAACCCCTGACAGTAGGGAAACGAGGGTCATCCCATCCCTTCACTAACCCGCTGTCAACAAACCAATGAAGTTTGCGCTTGGATAAAAGGGTATAGATGAAGTTCAGGCGACTAAAAGGTTACAAAATCAGCACACTCGTCGAACAGGCAACATATCGATATACCTGAAGTCCCAAATGTTAACTGGGCGTAAACCTAAGGACTCAATCATCCAGGAATATTGGGGGTTACGGTCCCGGTATTCGTTAGTCCTTAAAGCATGAGTTACACCCTCGATGGAGTCCACTATCGGGCAAGCAAAATCGTATGTAGGGTATATCTTCCACTTGTCACTGAGCAATATTGAGCTCTCAGTGTTTTGCCACCTTATATTGATATACGACGTACCCTGTCCTATGGTGGTTAAGCACATTACACCGGTATATGACCGGATCACGCAGCGCTTTATTTGGGTTATCGACGCTCATCTTGGCTCGGATGCACCACCTCAGGCCTTCATCACTTCCAGCTTTCATCTCGGCGAAGTGCTTAAGGTTGTCTTCGACAGAATCATCGCGATGAGCAGAGGCAATGCCTTTCCATCTCTCCTCTCGCATCTGATCCTAGATTAAGGAAGGAATTATCAACAACAATAAAAGTACATACCTGGAGTTGTTCAGTGTCGTCTGCGTATGCTTTGCCCAACTTGATGAGTTTCAATGCAAGCTCATATAACTCATCGAAATAATCCGAGGTATGTGAGACTTGATCTCCGTGAATATCAAGGAGATGCAGGTCCTCCAAAATTGTTTCTTCGAACTCGCTCTAAAGTGGGATAATCAATCCAGTGTCTGATATGGTGTAGATAATAAAACAACTCACCCTCTCCTTCGTTGGATTAGTATCGTCAAAACGAATAATCATTTTTCCTTTATACATCTTCGCAAAGTACTGATTAAGCATGGCAGCTTTTGCGTGTCCGATGTGTAAATAACCACTGGGCTCGGGCGGGAAACGGGTGACTACCTGGCCTTGCTTGGCGTTTTGAAGACCAAGAGAAAAACCGGCAGCGGTTTTGTTCGAACGAGCTTTACTTGATTTAGCGTCTGCAAGACTAGCGAGAGCAAGTTGTGTGGATTCAAGACTCTCGAGATAAGAAAACCAGCGAAGAAGATGAGCATGCTGGTTGTTTTTCAGGAGTCCGATGGCTTTGATGTTTCCTTTGATGCCGAAAGTATCTCAGTCCCAGATCCTTTATCGATGAAGAACAATCTCACCTTTCACTGCGCCCCATACGATCCAATCTGCAGCAGTAATATCATGTCCGACCAAAAAAGTGCGATACGCAAGATGATTGTCTAGAGAATCGAAGGCGGCAACGATATCTGGAAACGCAGTTACTGTAATTAGACTTTTAGCTAGTGTAAAATACGACGCTGTCTAATATGTGTGGTTGATGCATTTAGTACATGATACGATGAAGTTCCTAATATCTCACCTTGACGCTATCTCCAGACAGTTCCCCAGCCTTCGAGAGACTATGCACGATCTCCTCTTCGGTGGTTAACTGCGTCCCGTTGATATCCAGAACAGCATCGGTTGCAGATTCGTCGAAAATGAGTTCGGCTTTTTGAGTGTATGTTGCAACTGCAACTGCTGCAAATGGAAATGGTGATGTTTTTGTCGAGAGAGTAAGAGACATGGTGGTCAGCAAGTAATGTGCAATCAGGTTTTAAGAATTCAAGGATAGAATGACTACAAAACAAGCTGTAGCCCACGCCGAAGGATCTGGACAAGCCACACTGACTCGGAGTCACGATAAGATATCGATTATCTATTATTATCTATGCGAGACTTAGTTGTTGGTGGTGCCAACCACTACATGGAGGAGCACATTCCAGCCAGTTCGACATTCAACTGACTCACGTAGTAGTAAATAGTCATGCAATCATTATAACTCGAATTGAACATAACATAGAGAAAATGACAACGACCGATACATTAGCTAGCACTTCTCTAGGCATATTCATTCCCTTGACGAAGCCTGTTTGAAGAAATTGATCCTAAAAATGAATAGGTTGTTTATGTCATGAATAAAGCAAAAGCTATAGTTTAGATGGGGTTGAAAACGTTATAACCAATTTGCGGGCGATGTAAGGCACCACGGTGATCTTGTTTTTTCGCGAATGAAGTATAGGCTCATCATATCCAAAATATGAAAAGAAAACCCACCTCTTATTGATCATGCACAAACACATATATATCGTTAGCGATTCTTGACGTTCATCGATAAGAAACTAGCCAATCACCTAGAAAAACGATATACCGTTAGCACATAGCTCGACTGATGGTACACAAATTCAGAAAGAAAATAAATTGTAACCATGCAGTAGTCTTAAAGACTAATCGAATTTTTGTTTATGCTCATCATGTGTTCCGTCCATGTGGACGGCTGTAATAGTTGAAGTACACGAACCTTGGCCCAGTGCACTTTCATACCTTTCGTAAAATCGCATCGACAAGCTTGATACTGAGATGGCACTGAGTGTCAAGTGCGCGAACACCATTAGTCTTCGGATCAGTCATATATTGCCTGTATATTAGGGTGCGCAAGGTATCCGAGAGAGGAATAGGCGGCTTGAAAGATGGATTCAAAGAAAAAGGCTAAAAGATAATGTCAGATACGACGAGACAGCGAATAATTTAAAATAAGGGACGGACTCGAGTACTTCGCCAATTACGAGGCTTCGGGTCTCTGTAACTATAACCTTCTTCCATTAACCCATCTTCATGCCGAAGGTCCCTTACGGTGCCTTCTTCCTCGACATCAGCTTCAATGTCTTTGACAATTGCATCATCCGCAGTATCAGCAGATGTTGATGCCGAACGCGCTGAGCTTAATGAGGGGCATGCAGAAACTAAACAACGAGGGCCGGCAACTCGTAGAGATGTGCTACGAAAAAGAGCAAATATTTGAGAAAGTAGCAGAAATATTTGAAGGCGAAGTCACGTGTAGAATTAGGGCAGGCGCGCCAGTTCATGGAACTGGAGAGTTATCCTAGCTCAATACTATCATGTCTGATGGACAACTGGAATTATTTGGTTTGCTTCCGCCCTTTCACCCATGCAGATGTAGTCATTCCCAACCCATTCCCTTTCTCTCTAATCCAAACAATTACTCTGGATTCTGTGTCGTTGAACCCACATCTCAAGACTCCCTCCAAACATTACTAACAAACCTTTCGGAAATGGGCCACTTTTCTTCTGGAAACAATGCCCCAAGACGAGGCATGCCACATCTTAGGTGCCTATGAAGGCTGACAGGTTGACCAGCAATGATGCATCAAGCCGTATTTACGATTATTACCTATCGTTACTGATATCCTCGACTTCGTGCGTACCATATCAGTGTCGTTGAAATCGGCTCAATTGTAGTGAGCCGAACAACCCACTTTCAATGTATGGCCCACCAATTGAATCATATGTAACTCATTATTGGAAACTTCCTCAGCTAGAGAAACTTGTTGTTAATAGGGAGACATGCGATACATATCAGACAACGACATTGCTCGAGTCACAGACTACTATTGAGGGTGGTACTACCGGCCTTCGGACCTGGCGAGCGAGTCTTGTTCTCCTGCAATACTTGATATATTGCCCCAGTAGGCCACTCTTCCTCTTCTGAAGGTTCATGTGGACATTCAGATAGGCAAGCATCACATTGTAACGCAAAAGGGGCGTTTATGTGAGCCGGAATTGGTGCTATCTGCAAGTCTGGATGTAGTCGAGCGAATTGCAGGACCACTACTAGGCTCTGATGGTTTGTTTGATTCAGGTTTACAGTGATATTGTTCTCCTCGAAAAAGCGGCGGCAGTGGTAGGATCCAAGTCATTTATGTCGTTCGTGAGGTCGATGAAGACCTTACTCCCAACGCTTTCCTTTGCCGCCTCCTTCTGTGCGGCGGCGCGCTCAAACTCTGTAAGCTGTCCGCTAGCTCGAGCAATGCAAGTGCTCCAGAGATCTATGGGTATGTCCAATAGATCGCATATAAAGCCGTATTTTGTGTGACGCGTAGCTCAATCAATTGACGTGTAGTATTGATACGTAGCAGTATATGACGTGAATGGAAGAAAGCAGTAAAATCATTGACAGAAAATCAGCCTGATCGTGGCCTGAGTCCACGGAGCTTCAAGAGTTGAGGCCAACATTTGCAGGCCATGAAGATTGGAGACGTGAGGCTGCAACTTGAAATAAACATCCTCGAATTTAAGACTTAGAGATGACTTGCAGAAAGACGACAAGTAAAATGCATAGCTTTGTTTATTTGCACAAGTCCATACGTGACATACACCTTCTTGATCATGATCGCCCTCGTAAGATTTCGTTCATAGTCCCCAAGCTGTTCTAACTCCTCACGAATCTAAATCCTCAATACATGTACTACCCATCCCTCTACTCACAAAGCCGCTACCAGTAGCACGCGAACCACGTGCGAACTCCAGTTCCTCGAGTGTCCCGAGCGGGATGGCAGTTTCTACCTCCCTTCCTTCTGACCTCCATCTCCACGCCCATCCTCCTTGTTGCCCTACCCCTCCTCTTCCCCTCCGCTGCCACCATCTCTCTCCGCCTGCGTCTATGTTCGCGTCTACATCTGCATCTGCACCCGCACCCGCATCTCCCCCTTCAAAATATCGAACGTGGCCTTGATGCGTGAGCTGGTCACTCTTCCACAGGTCAATTTGCATGCGCGTGACAAGGATGGCATGGATGACGACTTGGAGGCTGTACAAAAGGGAGGGGTTTTAGTTGATGTAGATAGTGGGGAAAGGTGGATGAGGGGGAATGGGACGCACTCAGGGAATATATCGCTATATGGGTTCTGATTGAGGTTTTAGAATAAGTTTGGGAGGGGGGGATTATTTGGGGTTATGGTGTATCATGCAAAACGTACCTCGTATAGTATGGTATTGACCGTCGAGAAAGCTATATATTGTTGCCATCCACAGTAAGTCATCAATATGCGTACGTACAAGGTGCCAAGCACCAAAGAAAATGACTAGCAACACAAAGTGGAAGAAAGTGGCGGGAGGAGGAAACGGAGATGAAGGGGAAAAGAAGGAGAGACCCACCAAGCCCACAGCTGAAGTAGAATATGTTATGTTGTAAGAGCACACGCAGGAGGGGGCTTCGCGTGGAGCGGTAGTGGATGAGGGCACGGTAGAGGCTGAATAGGAGGATTTCTGTGGAGGTTACAGTTTGTTTGACGTTGATACAGAGTAGAGGTTGACGGGTGGATGGATGAGCACAAAAATGGTGTATGTATGGCCAGAAAGGGGGGAACAGAGCGAAGTGAGAAAGAAAAACAACACAGACGGATTACACAAACGCACCAACTTCATAAACGATCAATAATGCATACGCAATTGACACAAGTGGTAAACCTGTGTTTGGCGTGTTTGCTTGGTAGCAGACTGCGATAGTGGGTATAGGGGAGGGGCTAACTGAAGGTAGGAAAAAATGGGTAAGGACGAGGTGAGAAGTGAGAAGGTGCGGCAGCGTACAGATAGAAGGTCCTTGGTCTATTGTCATCAGCACGACAATTCCAACGACTATAGCCTATTGGTGGAGGTAGATATATCGCCATGTGAAGTGGGCATCGGGCATCAGAATTGAATGACATGAGTACAATCACAAGGCAATTAAGGGGGTAAACGGAAAGGGGTGAAAGGGAACGGGTCTCACAAATCCACTGGTTAAGAGCATACCCAACACCTTTTGCTGTGTCCCCATAGCGCGTATGTTCTCAACGTGAAGATGACTGTACATTCAGGTTCAAAGTAAATTCGAGTCAGGGTTAATCAGCAAATCCAGTGACCGCAAAAGTGGGAAAATAAAATATAATGTTGGATGACGGACGTATGACTCACGTTCGGCAATGAAAAGGGAGAGAGCCTGTAGACCTAGAACGGAGATGGGTGTGGTTGATTAAAATAGAAGAGAAAAAAATAGAAAAACGCACATGAGTTTGTCAGATAAAGCGACGAGCATAGCTGTGTATTGCTGAAAATTAAAAATAAACAATTTATATATATCATAGGTCGTACACTTCGCGGATAACTGGTGCTTAGTGCTTCTGACTCGGAGAACAAGCTGTTCATCAGAACGAGAAGCATACACATGAAGGTGGGGCTCACCGTAGCAGCGCACACCGAGCATGGAAAATGGGAGCCAGCGGGCAATGAGGTGCATGGCTTTCGCTTTTTTCCGTCGTGCAGTGGAAATGTACATGATCTGGAAGGGTGAGATGAGATGCTTTTGTTTCGTACAGAGGAAGTGGACAGCGAGCATACTTCATCTCCTAGTAAGATACAGTAGTCATACACCTGTAGAAACTGACCATCAACTCTGGTACAGTGAAATCAAAAATTAGATATAACGAACCATGACTGCAACGGTAGCCACTTCAAAATAACATAAGTGGTTGATATAGATAACTTTACAAAGGTTAAATACCGACGGCATACTGAGCCAAATAATAGACACTGATTTTAGACTTGAACTTGACGTCGGGAGGGGGACTCACATTCACTAATTGAAGACTCTTAGCAGCGGCGATAGTGGAAGAGTCAGCAGATACATCCATGTGATTAAGATTGCATCGAAAGAAACAGCACTCACTCACGTTCTATATGAGAGTCTCCAGGCTGGAGATAACAAAACGAATACGGATACGGATACACAAGCCAGCCGGGGAACGTCCACGAGTTCTGCGGCCGGCGACATCGATGACATGAGAAAATACTAGCATGAACGTATCACAAGCCGCTTTAGACCTTGCCTACGATCTTATTGATCACTCGCGAAGACGGCCCACGGTGGAAGCCTCGAGATGATACTAGATATTGGTGAATTTAACTTTGCTATGATGGCCTTGCCAGATCGTGGTTAAGTGAAGTTCGTTGTATGACATGTGTGGACCTCAAGCTGATTTCCTGCTATCAGTGAAGTGTCGACGTTGAGTATAGTATTCAGTTTGAGTAGAAGGTATGACGAGAGGAGATGCTATGGATGTAGAACAAGATACTTCATTGCTTGTGGTACTTTAGAGCAAGTCGCATCATGAATCCAGGTGTATGTTGATTACGATAATTGCCAGTGAAAGCCATTGGCGACATTACTCAGTGACTAGGAGTAGAACAAGCGACTCGAGGAAAAACAAGAGTAAATTGTAAGTGCGGATAGAAGAGAAAACACGATAAAAGCAATTGAAGCCGAACAAATGAGTCGATTCGGCGCTGAGTCCGAAATTCTTTACGAAAAATGACCATGTCTGAGTCAAGTCAGATCTTTATAATTGTGACAGTGTATTTCTATCCTTCTAACGACACAGGACGATCACCATGCCGTGCATGCTGTACGTGCTCCATCTCAGTAAAAACTATAACACTAACCACCACTTTCAGCTTGAACCCACACATAAAGTATAAGCCATATACCCCCCTGAAGCTCGAAAATCGCGCATGGCCGACAAAAACGTTCACCAAGGCCCCCATTTGGCTGTCCACCGATCTTCGCGATGGTAATCAGGCCCTCGCAAATCCCATGACTGTCGAACAAAAAAACATCTTCTATGACACTCTGGTCAAATGCGGGTTCAAAGAGATCGAAGTAGCATACCCTGCTGCCAGTGACACAGATTTTTCATTTGTTCGTGGACTAGTCGAAGGTGGAAAAGTACCAGACGATGTTTGGATACAGGTGAGTATTCGCACTGTGTTACTATTAGTTTTCATTACATTGCGTTATTGAAGATATTCGGAATTAGGTCCTGACCCCCGCCCGCGAAGACTTGATCAGGCGCACCTTCGAGGCTATAGCAGGATTCAAGCACGTCATCATTCACATGTATAATGCAACATCACCCACCTTCCGTAACGTCGTTTTCCATAACACAAAAGAACAAACGATCGATCTCGCTGTAAAACACACTAAAATCATCCGACAACTATCCAATGAATACGCAGCCAAGTATGGCACGCGATTCAAATACGAGTACAGTCCTGAGACATTTTCTCAAACCGAAGTCGAGTTTTCAGTTGAAATTTGTAATGCTGTAAAGGCTACATGGGGCAAGGCTGGTACTGGAGACGAGCGGATCATATTTAATCTTCCAGCTACCGTAGAAGTTGGCCCTCCTAATCATTATGCTGATCAAGTAAGCATTCTTATCTATATGTTTGTCTCCAGCAATTGATCAGTTTGGCAGATTGAATATTTCTGTAGCCATATAACAGAGCGGGAAAAAGTTGTCGTTAGTCTACACCCTCACAATGATCGGGGCAAGTCCTTTGCACTCGATCCTTATTCTTTGCTAATACATGTCCATTCATCAGGTACAGGAATAGCGGCCACAGAACTCGCTTTTCTGGGAGGAGCTGATCGTGTAGAGGGGTGCCTTTTTGGGAATGGGGAACGCACTGGAAATGTTGACATCGTTAACCTTGCGTTGAATCTCTACACACAAGGCATACCTCCAAATCTTGACTTCAGTGATCTGCAAAGTATCATCGATATCGTAACGTCATGCAATGACCTTCCAGTTCACCCGCGACACCCATATGCCGGAGAGCTTGTCTTCACTGCCTTCTCTGGCTCACATCAAGATGCAATCAAGAAGGGGTTCGAGGCACAGAGTGTCAGACACGCACAAGCTGCCGCCAAGGGAGAACCACTGATGTGGGACGTCCCATATATGCCCATCGATCCTGCCGACTTGGGCTGCAGTTACGAAGCTGTCATCCGCGTCAATTCACAATCCGGAAAAGGTGGTATCGCCTATATCGTCAAGCAGCATTTGCAACTGGACATGCCTCGCAAAATGCAAATATCATTCTACCAAATTATACAGGGTATATCTGACCGCGAGGCCCGAGAGGTGACCGTAGAAGATATCACCACTGCATTCCGCACCAAGTATTACTTGGGTGGTCCAAAATATGAGGGCAGATTGGTCCTAAAATCATTCCGCATCACAACAGAACCATCGCCTGATCCCATAAGTCAAACGAATGACGATGAAGATGCTCCTGATGAGCGACGACGATTTGATGGCACAATATCAGTCGATGGTGTCCTGCGCGTTATTCGAGGCGATGGCAATGGCCCTTTATCCGCTCTCTTGGACGCACTGCGCACATATCTAGAAATTGATCTGACCCTACGCGAGTATTCCGAGCATACCATCGGAGAAGGCCAAAATGCCAAAGCAGCATCCTACATTGAGCTCGTTGCGTCGGGACCAGATGTTAAGGAAACACGCAAAGCCACACAGTCATGGTGGGGTGTTGGCATTGACTCAGACATTGCTGGATCAGGTCTACGTGCTATCCTTAGTGCAGCTAATAGCGCCATTGGAGACCGCCCACTGCCTGAGTTGAAGCTCGATGTAGGATTCAACGTAGCCTCAGGACAAGCCGATGTTGCAGATGCTATAGTCAACTCTTTGAATCTGCAGCTCCCTCGCAGGTTCCAAGCATCCTTCTTCGAAGTTGTACAACGAGCCACGGCAAATTCAGGCGGAAAAATTTTGTTCGAAGATCTCACAGCACTCTTCCAAACCACGTATGGCTATGAAATCGCAGACGAATGGCATTTCGCTCTGCGTTCTTTCAAGCTAGAACCTATCGGTGACGGAAGTCACCGTCTGTTCAGTGGAGAGCTGGCGGTTGACGGTCAAGTTCAGTCGGTATCAGGCGAGGGTAACGGTCCGCTATCATCTGCCCTGGCTGCTCTGCATACCCTCATTACGGGGACCCTTAGCATCCGGGAGTATGCGGAGCATTCAGTGGGAGAGGGCACGGAAGTCAAGGCCGTATCTTTTGTGGAGCTTTTGTACGAAAAGGAGGGCCAGAAACAGAAGGAGGCAGCATGGGGCGTGGGCAGCGACACTAACATCACGACCTCTGGGCTAAAGGCAGTCTTGAGAGCAGCAAATAGGCTGAGTGTTGTTGGGAAGTGAAAAAGTTCTCGTTCAAAAAGAGTTGATCTGTTGTATCATCTATTGTATCTGCTAGTACTTAGCACTGGAATTTACTTGTCTATTACACTGTACCATCGCTCACTGAGGCAAATGTGGGCCCGTTTCTAAATGCATGATCGGTTTTTTCGAACGTGTAGCCTTACCTCTGCTACTTTGCATAGTCCTTCCTCATTGTAGTGATCCTAGTGCTGCCCCGAATATCGGGTTAGGTGTTAGTGTTACTGGGTGTCACAGTGTTTGACCACAGGGTGTGACATGTTGCGTGGTCTGCAGTGAGGAGGCTTACACCGCTGACGCCGCCATTCCGGTCGCGCTTCGTTCATGCCCTCTAATCGTACTGCTTAAAAGATCGTGATTAGCCCATATAATGTCTTCATCATCCAGACGTTCTCCCCAGCTCTTGTTTTCATCCAGAAACCTCCAAGCATCTCAGCTCATGAACACGCAAGGTGGCGTTTCCAGCTCAAGACCGTTCCTCAACATGCTAAATCCGATGGGAAGAGCTTACGACGGATACACTCAGGCGAGCCAGTCTGTCGTAGAAGAAGAGAATGAGAATGAAAGCGCAGAGGAAGACCTCGAGGCTGGCCACGCGACCAGGAGTAGCATATTCAAAAGCACCACAAAGCCGCACGGAAAGCACAGGGTTTCTTGGGAAGGAGAGTCCTCGGAGATGAACATTTTAAGGCCGAATATACGTCGAGATGATAAAGGTTATGAACAAGAGTCATCTGACGACGAAGTCCCACAGAGTTTCATGATAGAGGCTTCTAGCTCACCTCACAAACCATCCCCTATTCCAAAGTCATCAAGGCGGCAGGAAAAGGGAAAAGGACGATCCCAGCCACTATATTCCACCTCATCCAGATCCCTTCCGCCCGCTGAGGCTCTTCCTACAGTATCTATTCCACCAAGGCCCTCTGAGTTAGATATCGAGGAAACTAGCCAGCTACCACCTCAAGAGCGATTGCCCCCGAAACCAATGCGTGGACTTGATGCCTATGAACGTGCACTTTGGAATTGGGTCAATGTCTACAACCTGGATGCTTTCTTGCAAGAGGTCTATTATTATTATCAGGGAAAGGGCATATATTCTATAGCGCTGGCTCGTGGGCTTAATCTTTTGTCAGTCTTTATTATGCGAGGGTATCATTCTGAATTACGGCTAACAAGTGACGCGTAGAACAGTAGGGTTTGTGATAGGTTTTTCGACGTTTTTGTTGGGATGTGTCGACTATGCCCGCATCCGTCCTAACAAGATCACCCGCCTTTCTGATGTAGTTGTGTCTCAATGTGTATCCAAGTGCGTCCAATTGTCCTGATAATTAGCTCCTGCTTCCTGCCCAACAAAGCGCCTTTTAGGTTCTCTGGCTTTACATTGCTGTTTTTCCTGCTATTTACTGCGTTTTATATATGGCAAATAATATCCTTCATATTTGAAGTTATGCGGCTCGTAGACATGTATCATTTTTATACACACCTGCTTCGCATCCCAGACGTTTGTCATTTTCTATCTCTACTCTCTCGTATCTAACCTTCTCGTTTATCCAGGCCGACATACAAACCATTTCTTGGCCCGAAATCGTAAGGCGGATAGCTACGATTCGTGAAGAGAACCCCATAACAGCCATATCTTCAGCTGCTGGTTCTAATGCCGCTACCACCGCTACTGCTTCTTTGGACGCTCATGACATTGCTAATCGTATCCTGCGACAAGAAAATTATTTGATCGCACTGTTCAACAAGGACGTTCTAGATTTACGAGTTCCGCTACCTCCAGCAATGAAGCAGTTCTTGAACCGAGTGGAAGATGATGGGAAAGGCAGAACACTAACCAGAGTGCTAGAGTGGAACCTTAGATTTTGTCTGATGGAATACTTGTTTGACCCCCAAGGCCGGGTGAGGAAGGTATTCCTCAAAAGTAAAAATAGAGCTGCATTGATTGAAGGGTATGTTTCGCATCTCTTCTTAATTATTAGCGTCTCTGACTTGAACAGACTTCGACGGCGTTTTATCTTCATGGGAATATTAAATGCTGCATTTGCACCATTTATCGTCCTGTATATGCTGATGTATTCGTTCTTTCGATATTTCGAGGTTCGGCCAAAATTGTGCTTATGAGGGCATTCGTAGCTAATACTGAGATGTAGGAATATCACAAAGATCCTTCGTCAATAGGAGGACGCCGTTATACCCCTTTCGCTCAGTGGAAATTCCGGGAATTTAACGAGCTTCCTCACCTCTTCACGCGAAGACTTGATGAGTCATATCCTACGGCAAGCATGTATATCGGACAGTTTCCCAATGAGAAAATGACTATCATCATGCGGTAAGAGTCTTTTATAACTTTGGTTTTCTTTATGTCTAAACATTTATCCATTTGAAAAGATTCGTTGCGTTCATTGCTGGATCCTTTGCTGCAGTGCTTTTTCTGGCATCAGTCGTCGATCCAGATTTGTTTATACACTTTGAAATCACTCCACACCGAACAGTCTTCTTCTATCTGAGTGTATTTGGTTCGGTTCTAGCAGTCGCTAGAGGTATGATTCCAGAGGACAACCGAGTCTTTGATCCGGAGCTTCTCATGTCGGATGTCATACAATATACGCACTATATGCCCGACGAATGGAAGAACGAGCTACATTCCAAGAAAGTCAGTATTTTCGCATATATGTTCATGGAGTACAAATTCATTGGGACCTTAGGTTCACCAACAATTCGGGGAACTCTTTGCCATGAAAGTCCTTATATTTATCCAGGAAATTGTCTCCGTCGTTACCACTCCTTTTGTATTGTGGTTTTCGCTTCCGCCATGTGCACCCAGTATCGTCGACTTCTTCCACGACTTCACGGTCTGGGTCCCTGGGCGCGGTTATATTTGCAGTTTCGCTGAATTTGACTTCAAGCGGCATGGTAATGTCAAGGTTGGTGTTTTCATCATTTTCCCCGTGAACAGCTAATAGTAACATGACCTGCAGTTTGGTGCCCCTGCTATCATTCAAGACGAAAGGATGCTATCGCGGGAAGGCAAGATGGAAAAGAGCTTCCTCAACTTCAAAGTGCGTTTATTCTTACTTTCCATGGACAATGCTTAACTAACAAGCTCTTTAGGCTGCTAATCCCGACTGGAACCCAACGGATCCCTCTGGTTCGCTATACCTCACCCGTATGGCTGACTTCAGTGCAACGCTAGCAGGACACAGTCGCCGACGATCTGGTAGCGGGCTGGAGAGCACCATCGGCGCTGAACAGAAAAAGGACCTCGCAGACAGAGCACAAGAGTACGATCGCGCTCTACGACAGAGTCAGCATGCGGCGATGCGCAGGAGACAGCATTTCGGTGGCAGCGTCGTGGGTACTACGGCTAATCTGGCCACCTCTACGATTTGGCAGTCGGGTATCGGCGTAGATGGCAACATGCCGATGGCGAGAACGGCAGTCCTAGGAGATTCGCAAGGGAGTATCACAGCGATGCAGCATGGACCCATGTCACCAAGTCATCATGACGGCATACCCACAGAGGACCTTGCACCAGATGGTGGTGTTGGAAGCGGGTTGGGTGAATCATACGTCGATGGTGATACGAAAGGCACAAAACCTTACGAGTCACAGCAGGAGGGTATCAACGATGATGAGGAGTTGGAGGACGGAGGGGTGTTGGGACTGTTAGCTCAAATATATGCGGCAAAGGCCCAAAAGCCTGTACATGTCATTTGAATGGTTTTACCTTCATGTATATTCTTGCGTGCTGATCGAATCTGAGCGGACAAGAAAGTAAACTGGTGTCAATGATCAGCCTGTGATGTACTCGACTACTAGTCTAGAGATATTGATAAAGGTCGAGGAGTGGCCAGGCCACGTAGATACATGATAACTAATGTCTGCTAGTATGGGTATGCTACGTTGAAGGGTATTGTCAGATTATGATCTACGTGAAAGTCCTATGGAGGGAAAGCGCGTGAAAATTAAACGATGGGGAGGACATCATTGCAATAGTAGTTTAGGGGTTTTCGGTGGCTGACGGGCTCGGTATAGTGACGACGAACTGGACGATGATATCCGACGACCAAGCTGAGCCCTTCTGAGCTCTTCATCAATGCGCCACATCCCCTTCACAAATGCGTCCCGATCCAAGGATCCACTCCTTGCGCTGTCACAGTCGAGCCTAAACGTCGATTAGCACACACATCACGTACTTTGAATTATTAGCACAAACCAGATATTTCTTAGTTTCTCCTTATCCAGTCTGGAAGCGCCCCATATTAGCTTGACAATTTGACCATTAAGCCTATCTTCCGGGCCTACTGCAGGCTCATCATCATCGCTATCCGCTTTATCCTTCTCCGACAATACAGGATGATCCTCTGGATTGGTGATCAAATCAACCGATAGTCCCCGCCATCCTGCCGCTTGGCGACTTTTCTTAGTAGGTGGCGAAAGGAAAACGGGCTTTGCTTTCTTTGCAGCCCTTTCAACCTTTTTCTGATTGAGCACGCTTGACACAAACACTGCCTCATAACGGCTGCAGGCTGCAGCTGGAACAGGGGTCGGTCGTAGGAGTGAGGCAGATTTACCAGCAAAGCCGATGCTACTTCGGGGGCTAGCGCTCGTGCGGGAGGTTGTCGTGGCGGTACTGAGTATCGAGGAGCGATCGGAAGCCGAGGCCGAAGTGGATGTGAGCGATGTACGCGAGGGAGGATTACGAAACCTAGATGGCGGTTGATGGTGCTGTGCCGAGGATGGTGGCGGAGGTGGCGGACGTCGGTTGGTGGTAGTGGTATTGGATGATGTGGAAGTCGAACGTGAGAGTGGAATTGGTGGAGGATTGGCGCGCGGAGGCGATGTGAAGGTGAGCAAGGGTGATTTCGTATTTGGACGCTGTGGTAGCTTTGGAGGCTCTGGTTTGGGCTTAGCCATGGCCTTGTCCCAGTCAAAAGGTATCAATGGGGCATTTGTAGGACTCATAGCAGACGTTACTGATACGTTCTCGAATGATTCATCCAAACTAACAGTGTCCACATCGACACTTCCGTTTCCCTCACGATCCATGGGTACAGAAAGATTCTTCGACGCCACATTCGGACTAGCCGATTCCGTTATTCCACCGCCATCAGACGATAGGGACACAGAATGAAAAGAGGATATCGACGACGCAGGAGCGTGCCCTAACCGTGCGGAACCAAAAGCGTTAGGTTTTGAAGGAGGATATGTGTGCTCTATTGTGAGAGAATCTGAGCGTCCTGGAGGTCGTAGCGTGGCACCGTTTTCATTACTAATGGAGACTGAGCGTGAGGAAGAAACAGATTCGATGGATGTATACGAAGGTTTCCTAGGCGGAAGAGGGGGCCTCTCGGCCCTTGACTTTGGCGGGGACTCCAAATTTATGAGAGGCATCGACGCATTTGGTGCAGCATTATTTTCGCTTACTTTCCTGTGTTGCAGCGTCTGATTATGGGCTCGATTTGCATTCACGTGTCTCCCATTGCTCTTCTGAACAGATTGACAAGGGCCATCATCGACCACCCAATCTTTGAGATCAATCAGGGACGTTTTCCTGCCCAGGTTTGGCGGTGACGGCGAGGGGGATCTTGATGCTGACTTTGGTGGTGTGAAAGATGCTATGGGATAAAACGAGGATGCGGTGGGTGAAATGGGCGAATCGAGAGGATGGGACGACAACGGAGGGTATTTAGCAGATTTTGAGGACGTCGTCACTGTTGTCGACGACGACGGGATGCTGGACAATGCTTCAAAAGCACTAATCCTCGACTGGAGCGACGTTGAAGGCATGACAGCTCGTGAAGGTATTTTGTGAGACTGCGGAGACCTTCTGGTACAAATCCGGAGCGCCGTAACGGCTGTCCGCCATGAATCCCGGATTACATACTCCATTTGAAACTTTGTCGGCCAAATTGAACGTCGCGTCCCCCTCTGTTCAGTACCGCAATATTTAACTTTTGTTGTCGACCTTACAGACAAAAAAATATTACAACGGTGCAACGGCCAACATGCAGCACTCAAATTCGCCATCGCAGTTCAAGTCGCAGTGTCCCGTGCAAGACCATGCCATGACGAGCGACGAGCAGGGCAGTTATTACCGATTCTAACCCTCAAGGGCTCCTACTGGAGGCGCCTTTCCCAAGGCGCGATCTTCGCACCTACTAAAACCGTGCTTCGGTCCTTGGAATATTCCATTCAACGCATGTGCCCTAGGCTGGCGCCCCTGTGCTCTCGACGCTCAGAGAAAGTATGTGGCCCTTCAGATCAAGTCATAGATGTGCGAGCCGCTTCATTCGCATTTTCATGATTATCGTGGACTCTACGGCGTAGAGTACACTCGATAAATCAGCATACATGGGTGTTGTTTGGTTTTTCATCCCGTCATTTTATAACCTGTCCTCAGTGCAAAGACGAAACGCGCTGAAATGATATTCTGTGTTTATGTTTTGGGATGAAGAAATCCATTTTAATTCTAAGAGGACATGCAGCGGGAAATGCCGGATCCTCGACGTCATGAACCAATCATGACCGCGTTATTTAATCTTATCGTATAAAATCCGAGTTTTCTGTACAACATATCTTCAACCTTTCATTCAACGCAACCAATCATGTCTACCTCCAAAACATCTGATCTATATGCGGTCGCAGGTAAGAACACATACAGGCAATGGCTAATGCGGTTAATAAATCGCGTTCAGATTTCTGCCTCATTCCTATGGGCACAGGAGAGTCCTCGGTGAGTGTAGCTGAATGTATAAGTGTTTTAGCACTATAGGCAACTTTGCTACCAACGAAGGTCGCGGAGGAAATCGCAGAATGTCAGAGGATCTTGAAGAAATCAGGCCTGAAGTTTGAAGTAAGCCACCCAGTTCCCTTTTGCTGCATGAATTTACCCACGAGATTAGATGCAGTAAGGCTCATATATATCCAAATATCATCTGATTTTTATCTATCTATGTTCCAGCGGTTATGGAACCAACCTTGGTATGTACTCTTAGGTTCTCCTCGTGTCTGACAGTTTAATGACACGCATATACCCCCGCAGAAGGCCCCTGGAGCGAAGTCACCAAAGCTATCCATGACTGCCACGCCGCAGTCCATGAAAAGGGGGCCCCGCGTATTGCTACGGATATTCGCATCGGCACTCGAGTTGATAGGGACACTGCCCCAGGCGACGGTAATGCTGGCAAAGTCAGGCGCGTCGAGGAGATACTGGCTAAAGATTGATACAGCGCAAGAAGGATAATCACTTGTTTGTACAGTAAAAGATTAATACAGATGATTGGCTAGTATCGACCTCCATTATCAGGGTTTCAATCTTTTCAACACACGAAGCATCACTCCATAAGGTGGTCATGCTGGCTAGGGATTAATTATTGCTTGGAAACAACACAAGAAGAACCGATGCTAGTGTGACTTTGTAAAGTAAAAAATTACACGGATGATTGACTAGTATCACACCATCACAATTTCAATTACTGTTGCGACGAGTTCTAAAACCTTCCAATTTGTGCTTCACTCTATTGTCCTACACCTCTGGGCTTCCCCTTCTTTCCTTTTCTGCCCAAGTCTTGATGAGTGCCTGACCCAGGGACTTTCCTAGTGCAAGTGCCAATGGCACTGGCACAGCGTTTCCGATTTGTCGGTGTTGCTGCAGCGCAAACATCAATAACATTAACAAAGGGGAAGATGTGCGCGTACATCAGCAACTATTTTTTCAGGTCCTGTGTTCACCGACAAAAACTCATAAGAGTCAGGAAAACCCTGGGCTCGAGCGCATTCTCTAACGGTTACGATCCGCTTTTGCTGTATGATACGAGGTAATGAAGTAGGTCACTAAATGAGAAAAGTCGTTGTACGAGCATAAATTGGACTTGCCGACGGGTGTAAAAGATTACCACCTTTCGCATTTGGGGCAACTGTCGTGAGTGCCGTCTTGAACTGGGATTCGCCATCCAACCTCCCATATAAACCTGTGGAATGAAGTAGCACGGCTTCAAGAAGATGGTTTTAGCTTTCACTCACCTCTAAATCGCTCCTTGGCGCCCTTTTTATCGAACATCTTCATATGCAACTTTTTGGGAAGTGCTGTAGAAGACAGAGATGTTGTTATCCATAAAAAAAGTATAGTGGGACAGGAAATGTCACGTACAATGATAATCCGCGTTTGGCTTCAATGGAACATTAATAACACTAAAGGAGAGATGCTTATCATCGGAGGACACTCGCAGAAGATTTTGAGAAAACATACCGTTCTATTATACCATCACCGAATCGCCGGGTATATTGATATTTTACTTTCTTTTGGCTACCTCTAATCCATTTCTGATATCTAGTCATCGGCTGGTGGGCATATGACATGGGCTTCGAATACCCAGGATACTTTTGCGAGCGTCTATCTTCGTATCCTGCATCAAATGCCAGGATGCCATGTTCAGTCTCTCGAGTGCGTTTCTCCGTTTTGTCTCGCGAGGTGGAAGGATACACTAAGTGAGGGTTGATCCTGAACGTAACGAGTCAGATAGGTAAAAGCCTGGACGCGTTGATAGATAGTGAAAATACCAATCAAAGCCAGGCTAGGGACGGAAACAGAACATTGGTTAATCTGATTCAGAATATGAATGAGATATCGTTGAGGGACGGACGTACCAGGTCCCCGATAGCGTCATTTATCGTGACAGCGCGGAATGGCGAGCAAAGGTGATCGTCAGTGGGATCCTTTGACCGTGTCATCCGAGGAAGTCTGGTCCCAGTCGAAACTTTGTAGTTACGAGAAACAAAACCGTGAGTTGGAATGGGCAGTTCGGGGAGCAAAAGTCCTCGCTTTGCGCCCCAGAATATCACACGCTGACGTCCTTGTGGAGCCCCATATTGGCCAGCCTGCAACTAGCGCTGAGAAAAATGAGTAGCTACACCTGATAGTGACGAACCTGCAGCACGTTGAATCTGATTTGGTAGCTGCATGGTCGTGCTCAGATGATTATACGAAACCAAGGATATAGTAGAGCTCACCCCAAAGCGGCCAGTGACCGGAGGATGAACTTAACGACACCCATCTCGATACCGTCCACTGTGCTGCGACCTTCCATGCGACCTTTCAAACGATAATTTAATATTCCGGTCACGTTTTCCAGCAGGAAGTACGAAGGTCGATAAAATTCGACATAGGAAAGCATATTACAGATCAGAGTACTCCTAAAAAGAGATTGTTAGACTTGATCAGTGAAAACCATTGAGACAGTAAGACTTTTACCGTATATCGTTTGCTTTCTGCGAGTTATATATCAGCAAGGTTTTGGAGAGTTAGCGGCAGGACTCACTTTCCAGTGGTTGATACCGCTGAAACTTTGGCACGGAGGACCTACACGAAAATTTAGTTTTGCTTTTGATTTCGCTGATCGGACTGATCACTGACCTCCGTATATAAAATCAACGTCCCCTGGCTTCGGCATTCCAGGTAGGACTTTACCACTATGAATACCTTTGAGAGGCTTTGGATTCTTTCCTTCGTGTGTATCAATAGCATGTTGAAGTAGCACATTCGTACACTGGTTGTAAACAGTAGTATGGGAATGATTAGCCCTGTTCAGGTAATGTGAGCTGGGACCTAAGACGGAGAGAATGGAACCCACTGGTAAGTCATTGCAGCGCTAGGTGAAAACTCGACAGCCCAACGCGTTTCGACGAAACCAGACATATCAAGCCCGGTCCCAAGACCACCAGCGCCTGCAACGAATTGATACCAAACTCAAAGTGTATTTCATTGAGATTGTGAACGCACCACTGAATAACTCTAGGCCTCTAAGCGGCTCGTTTTTCTGGAGCAGCTCCTCCGTGTGACGCAGAGTCTGCTTTCGATCTTCGTAGCATTGTTTACAGTACGTGAAATTCTTCTCTTCTAGCTCTTCTAGCTCTTCCAGCGAATCAGTTTTCAGAGAGTTAGCATATTGGTGCACATAAAAATGATTGTCGTGTTTGCACCAATCGTCGATTGTATCGTCACGACTACTATGCATCACGTAGCACATGCCATCTATAGTGTCTGTGGTTACCGCCTTAAATTTAGATGTTTTGAATAGACGACGCTACAAGGCAATGATTAACGCTCATTGCAATTATTGTTAGTAAACCTCTCACATCATCAGATCCCAGAACCTGAAATTTGTCGCGTTTGCCGCGAACGCGGCGGACTATGTCATCGTAACGGCCATACAGCCTAACAGTAATAGTCGGTGGTCTCTCCATGGCCTTGACCTTGACAATCTGTCCAATGTCGTACTCCAGAATGTTGGGTGAGCACGATTTGATGTAGACGAAATCATGCACATGATATTTCACACTGTAGTGAGTAAAGCCACAGCCTGGTAGAGGACTCGGGCTTGCTTCTGCCTCGCGGCTATTCCTGAGACCACAAGAAAAGCATGGCTCCCCTTCTGTGCAGTGAGCAAGAGCGCGGGCGACGTCTTCGGGATGAAGGTCAATCAACGAATGATCATGGGTATTCCAAGCTAGCCTAAATAAATATGACCTCGGCGCATAATACTTACCACAAAACTTTATGACGTACCCGCTAAAGAAATCGTTTTCTTGGGTAAAGCTGTTTTCAGGCGGTTCGTCTTGTTCCACTGAAAGCTGCCGAATATTGCACTTTTGTGATATGGCTTCAAGGTCTATATCTTCACAATCAGTGGTCATGAGAAATAAAGCGTGAGGATGACCGGTTTCTTGCAACAGTGTTTTAGAGCTGTGAGCGAGCCACTGAGCATGGAATCGTTTATGTCCGTCTGATGTCTCAAATAAATATTGTATCACACAGAACCTACAAGGACCATAAGACACGAGCACTGGAGAGGAAAAATAAAAGAGACCATTGAGTGTTTCCTAGTGAGTTTCGTGACTGTGTATGATCACGACTGTCGTTTTGTGCACGAATAGCATTTTCGTCTATACCAGGCACAACCATGATAGTATCTCCTACCTTGTAACCATTTAGTGTAAATATATTCAAGGTCAGAAGTAGACCGGTACTCACTGAATATTGGCGCCCGTCAATAAGCACTGAAGTAAAATAACCTGGGTGATTGGCCTGTTCAAGCCACTGTATTGAAGATGGGTTTGCGGCGTGAATGAAAGGTGCGTGATGAGCTGGGCTAGGCTCGTCTTCTTCCATATGGTCTTCAGCGAGTGATTTGCCGGCAATTTTGAGAACCCGCTCAAACAGCTGTTGAGAAATACTTGCCACGACAGGTGTGACGACTGTCTGGTTCCTGTGTTTCAGTACGTCCATCTCAATATTAAATCTACTGGTAGAGGTCCTCTTTAGAGGTGGTCGCTTGGTCCCAATTTCTTCATTATACAAGAATTCTTGTCCGAAAAGGGTGCGCATTATCGGAACGCGAAAGAGATTTATTTTTTCATCTTCCCGAAGCTCTTCGAGTGTAGCCCTCAAATACGACGTCTATATGATTTTTTGATATTTGTGCGGAATTATAGATAAGCAAGAGTGTGACTCACAACGTCATCGGACAGCAAGTCACTTTCACGAAGTTCACGCCCTAATATCTTGATAGAAATTGCGATGTCGTCTGGGGTCGTCGGTGTGATTTTTAACGTCTCGACAAAATCTTCGCATTTCAACCTGGGGCTTTCAGTTGATTGTTTAACTAAGAGGTGAAGAAACCTGTGTTTTATCCAGAAACCAGAATAGAAAGGCATGTATTGATCCGAGGGGACATCTAGAATGTACCATGCTTGGGTTAAAATGTAGAGTTTGCTAAGTGATATATCGGAACGCTTGAGAGGGAGATGCAAAGTTGAACAATCATGATAATACCTATCCAATCCACGACCAGTTTTCTTCATGTCATGCAGGGTGAATTTGCGAATCATGGTCAGTCTGACGCGCTGTGTTTGGTTTTCGTCAGAGATCGAATCTCCTTCAGCAAGTTCTTCTTCGTCAGCGTCGTCGTCGTCGTCGAGTTCTTCGTCGTCTATCCAAGGTTTCACGACACCAGACGCGCCATATGACGTAGTTTCCGTGAGATTGACATGCAGCAATTCAGCTATAGGGACGAGCTGCATTGTATTCTTATTATAAATTGTAAAGTCGGAGAGTACGCGGACTGGGACACTCTCTGCATCATTAGAGTCTTGATATTCGATAGGATCGGTTTCCCCGATGATTTGCAGGTTGTGGTCTTCAAGCAACTCGTCGTCATCGGCGTCGTAAAAGATTGGCTCTGCGAATGCCAATGAACTTTTACGACATTAGTATATATTAGCGCATGCTTGCCTTGCGGGATTGTGTGGTCATCTATATTGCTGGTGCCACTTTGTTGAACGTCCAACGCGTCGCCTTGCTCGGAAGCGCTCAAAGATGGCACGCGGCGGTCAACACGAGCTTTTAATGGGACAGTGTCACCCTGTGAAGGGAGAACGTTAGTAGATGGTTTCAACAAATGTTAGGAATATATACTGGTTCAGTCTCTGAATCCGAGTCTGGTTGTCTGTGATGTGATTTCTTTCTCTTCCTAGTAGGGAAAGAGTCTGATTGTGAGTCTTCAGCACCGCTCGGTGATGCGCTCCCTGGCGCCTGCCTTTTGTATTGAGGACCTTTGGAACGAGTGTTTTTTCTAGGTGACATGGTCGCGCCAGAGTCTTTCCAGAGCCTGAGAGTCTGTGAAAAGACCTGTAGCGGAAACAAAGGGTTCCAAATGCTTGTCTTCAGACGTGACAGGAAACTCCGCGATTGTGGCTGTGTACGTATGTTCGCCCCACGTGCACGTGCCCATTATAGGTAACTGAGGAAAGCACTGCGAACTCGCCAAAACGCCTCCATCCTCCCCGCCAAGATGCGAATATTGCCATTCTCACTCATTCTTGCATCTCTTGCTTCACATCTTGTTCTCGCCACACCAGAACGGCGCTCATATAACACTCATGACTACTATGTTCTCGAACACGACCCTCAGGCAGGGATATCACTCGAAGAATGCACTCGAACGTTAGGTCTACAGGTGGTCGAGCAAGCTGGAGAACTCAGAAATCATTGGCTGGTACGCTCTCCAAAGTCACCGTCTAGCTTGTCAGGGAGGGCATCGCTAGACACAGTCATGGGTAAATACGAAGAACTGCGTGCCATCGCTTCGTCGCGGCGGGAGACCGCTCTTTTTACACGATCCGACGAAAGCATCGAAGCTAGACGTGTCGTCTCATCTATCAGACATATCTCTCCTCAGGTTCCCCGCCAGCGTGTAAAGCGAGACGATAACCTCCTGGGAAGAGCACCACCTCCCATATCACCAGGTGGGAACCACGAATCAACTTCGGAAGCGATTGCAGCACGCCTGGGATTCGTTGATCCTTTGTTTACAAAGCAATGGCATATCGTCAATGACGAATATCCACAGCATATGATGAATGTGACTGGTGTTTGGGAGATGGGAATCACTGGGGAAGGTGTCATATCTGCTCTGGTGGACGATGGCCTGGATTACAAAAGCAACGACCTCGCTGCGAACTTCGTTCGTTAACTCTCATGATCTTTTCGCAATCACGCTAATACGCATCTTCAAGGATGCTCTTGGCTCTTATGATTTTAACGATCATGTTGACCTACCTACACCGGTTTTGAGTGATGATCACCATGGCACTCGTTGTGCTGGACAGATAGCCGCTGTTAAAAACGACGTGTGTGGTGTCGGCCTCGCATACGGTTCCAAAGTTGCTGGTCTTCGCATCCTTTCAGGTCCCATAACAGACGTGGATGAAGCTGCTGCTCTAAATTACGCATACCAGAACACGTCAATTTACAGTTGTAGCTGGGGGCCTCCCGATGATGGGAAATCAATGGAAGGACCAGGATATCTCATCCAGAAGGCTGTAATAAACGGTATTCAGAACGGTAGAGATGGGAGGGGCTCTATCTATGTGTTTGCTAGTGGAAACGGCGCAGCTTTCGGAGACCAATGTAATTTCGATGGGTATACTAACAGCATCTACTCGGTGACTGTCTCTGCGGTTGACTACAAGGGACTGCATCCATATTACTCGGAACCATGCGCAGCAAACATGATAGTCGCATACAGCTCGGGAAGTGGCCAACACATTGTACGTTGTAGCTATCATACATTCGGTGGAGTTCTAAAAATATCTTCTTTCAGGTTACCACTGACGTCGGCGAGAACCAATGCGCACTTACACACGGTGGGACTTCGGCAGCAGCTCCAAATGCTGCTGGCGTATTTGCGCTTGCTCTGCAGGTTCGGTGAGTGCATTGATGTTGGTGACTTATCTTTTTGCTTAGATATTATGGGCAGACCTGATCTATCGTGGCGTGATATTCAACATCTTTGCGTGAAAACTGCTATTAAAATCAACCCTGATGACCCAGATTGGGAAGATACTGCATCAGGCCGCCCCTTTAGTTACAAGTATGGGTTTGGACAATTGGATGCCTACGCATACGTCACAGCTGCGCAAGACTGGGAGCTCGTCAAGCCGCAGGCTTGGTTTGAACCCCCGGCCATCCAGCTTGCCAATGGCACCATGGACGAAGATGAAAATATGTCTGGAGGACAATTTATCGCTGCAGGAGGAGTGCGTAGCACTTTTACAATGACACAGACTATGTTAGAGGAGCACAACTTGGAGCAATTAGAACATATCACGATCCGCGTATGGATCACGCACACGAAACGCGGCGACGTTGAAGTCGAGCTCGTTAGTCCGAGTGGTGTACGAAGCGTGCTGGCAGCGCCTCGTAAATCCGATCATTCCAGAACTGGTTATCCAGGCTGGAGATTTATGTCTGTCAAACACTGGTGCGTTGTTTTGTTTATATGAAACCATATGAAACTTTATTTAACGTTGTTTGTAGGGGTGAAAATCCGGTTGGAGACTGGACAATCCGAGTCTCTGATCAGGGTGACGAAAATCATAATGGCACCTTTCTTGGTTGGAGAATGATGTTCTGGGGATCTACTATCGATCCAGCGGGAGCAAAGACATACATACTTTCCCAATCTGACGATCTCCTTCCGTCCCCTGAAGACGAACAAGAATCTGAGATACCTACACCCACCACGACAAAATCACATCCTAAGCCCACATCTAATCTACCTGGAGATCACGGCACTGCAGAAGGAGAGGCAGATAAGCCAGCTTTCCCCGGAGGGCAAGACGACGCTGCAGAGTCGACCGCCAGTGCCACTATGACGCCTACCCCCGACGAAGGCTGGTTTGCTGACATGTCCAGCCTCGTATCAGGCCAGAAGTGGTTCTTTGGTGCCATTGGAGCCGTTGTACTATTCGGTATAAGCGCTGGTGTATTCTTCTGGAGGCGCAGGCTAGTTCGTCGAAGAGCTCGATATTCATCCCTCCGGAACGACGAGGACGTTGCTATGGGCTCCATGTCCCAGAGTGGTCCATCTAACGCTGGAAGACCCCGCACCAAGGAGTTGTACGATGCATTCGGGGAGGTTTCAGATGATGAGGATGCTGATGAGGAAACTGGGCTGAGGCCTAGTCGGTCTCCAGATCATCCAGGAGCACTAGAGTTCCATTCTGGATTTTTGGATGATGATGAACCGTCTACTGCTGGCCCTGCGCCGTTGTATAGGGACGATCCTGAAGAAGACCGCTTAGCGGACCACGTTTCTGAGCGGCATAGTCTCGATGGCAGATCTACTAGTAGCGGTAGTGGGGATGGAAGCTGGGAACATGCATCACAAACACAGTGAACTTTAGTTGTTCCATTCCATTTATTCGGAGAACATTGTATTTATGCACTACATAATATATACCACAAGAAGCTACAGGTACATTCAACAAGATATCGACAGCATTTATGAAAGGTTTTATGAAACATTGTCCATGAAACGAATTTTTGCGCCATTTGCTACACGTATCCAGACATCTAGAGCCTCATACTACGGATTAAAAAAAGTCAGCACGCCGAATGTCTTGACTAGAATCCAAAAACATACCTCTACAATGGTCTCGTGTAGTTGGGCCTCCGTGTATCCGGCTCCCAAAATGCGGGAGCGGATATCAATGAGTGGGAGTTCGTCGCTATTTTCGTCATCATCCGAATCGTCATACCTATCACGTTGACCACCGGGCCCTTTCCCCAATCGTCTCTGCCTCTTCGGCTTCCGCCCACCTCTGCGAGCCATACCTTTGATGAGCCGGAATATTTGACTGACTGCAGACCTATCCGGTTCGTATTCCTTGTCTTCCTCGTCATTTAGACTCTCTTTGCTGCACTCCATTAACCGCAAGGCCTCATCTACGTCTGCATGCTCAACGCTATCTGAGAACCGCAAGCGAGCAAGGGCTTGGGCAAGACGCAAAACTCCGAGTAACGTCCGTGCAGAAGTGTAGGAATGTGATTTCTTCTGTTCTTCCTCGTCTTTGGAAAGTTTACGGAGACGAACATACGAGTCAACGATATAGCTAGAGACCTGGGGTGGTACGGTGGGTCGCCTTTGTCGCGCTTGTGCAATATAATGCCTAGTCCCAGAAATATGAACCGAGGTAACAACTGGTAGTAATGTTTAGAATTACCTCATAAGCAACGGGTCCACTGGCTCATATTCCAACTTGGGGTGCGTGTTATACATATGCACGTATGTAACATGCTGGGCAAGCCGTTCGTCATCGTCTCTATTTGGCTTATCGAGTATAAGGAAGAGAAGGTCGAAACGTGACAGTAAAGCAGCTGGAAGGTTGATATTGTCTACTGGAGAGACCTTCGGATTGTAACGACCATATAAAGGATTAGCGGCAGCAAGAATGGAGGTCCTAGCATTCAAAGTGGTAGAGATACCAGCTTTGGAGATTGAGATAGTCTGTTGCTCCATTACTTCATGAATTGCAGTTCGGTCTGACTCCTCCATTTTATCGAATTCATCAATACAACAGATTCCGTTATCGGCCAGGACGAGAGCACCTCCCTCTAACAAATTTAATAAGTATGATGAACTGGTTGCTGATAGAAAATGCCATACCTAATACCATCTCGTCCGTGACAGGATCACGCATGACTGCTGCGGTCAAACCAACCCCTGAAGAACCTTTACCGGTGGTATATACTCCTCTGGGTGCGATTTTCGAGATGTATTTGAGCAATTGAGATTTGGCAACACCAGGGTCACCCATGAGACAGACATTCAAGTCACCTCGGATCTTCATTCCATCTCCCATTGTTTTAGTAACACCGCCCACAAGAAGCAGTAGTAACGCTTTTTTGACATCCATATGACCGTATATTTCGGGGGCAATGCTTTGTGCAAGCTTGTTATAAAGCGAAGGATCTACCTTCAATTCATCAATGTCTCGCTGGATTTGCGGGGTTACTTCCATATCGCTATATTGTTTCTTGAGTTGGTTAATGTGGTGTACCTCCAGATAGGTATCGGTAAGCAGACCAGCACGGATAGCTTGGAAACCAGTGTATGGAATGGGGAGAAAAATGCCGCCGAGATGCACAACGTCCCCGGGATTCATCATGCGTGTGAGGTTACCGTGAACGTGCACAGTCATAGAACGTGGTATATGTCCGACAGGTACTTGATCGGCCTAGAAATGCTCATCAACGAGAGCGGACAAGATTTATAGACTCCATACCATTTCCTGGATTTTCACCTCCTGGAATGGGCTAAACCGACACGCACGGGTTTGCATGTGAAGAGACCCTCGGATGTTGTTTTTCTTGCATTCAGACTCATTTTGACAATCAGCGATAGGAGTGAATGATTTGTTGGATATATCTTGAAAAGTTTCGGAGCCGCAAACATCGCATGTATAAGCATTTACGAGAAGTAGCGGCTTGACTTCTGAAACACGAGTAACGATTCCACGAACAGTGATGACTTTTCCCAGGTTGACACCTTTGACATCGCGAACAGCCATGGCTATATCAGAGCGTAAAGGCTGGAAATATAGGTTGCTGGCTTTTGGCTGAGCCTTGGTGAGATAGCGAAGCCGATATGATCACTTACTATCGCCTGAGAAGATGCTTCGGGAAGCCATCTTGTGTACCCTCTGTCTGCTCATTCCTCTCCCGCCTTTGATGCAGAATAACATCGATAACTTCATCTTGGTCACTAATATCCTTTGTAGGGAGTGGCATGAGCTTGTCCACGACTTCACTGAACAACATAACATAACGGCGTCCGTTGTTTATAATACGGGCCACTAGTTCTGCGACGTTTTTCTCGTGCTACTTCACGGTTGAGATCCAGTGTGAAGTTCGTTATATGTGGCACCTACCTGAGAAATGTCCTCGAGGTCAATGGTAAGCATTTGTTGTTCTCTGTTCGCTATTCTTTGCTATTACAGGAATACAGGTTACAACAGAGACGCGTTCGAGGACAAGAAGACGCACAAGTTGATCCATGTACTTCATTGTTCTACCTCGAGATGATTGATCTTCATCTTCGGCGTCACTTATACCAATATCGGCGAAGCGTCTGTCGAGGTCCTTCTCTGGACTGACGAAATTGGACAGAAAGTCCTGTATCTTTTCTGAAAAGACAAAGATAAATCTTCAGATGCATATAAGGAGTAAAATTTTCGATAATGGCGTACCTCGTTCATCGTCGTAGCTAATGTTGATGTTGATTACGGGCAAAGACATCGTCGTGGATCGCGTCCAAGTCGCGTCCTATAGTTGTCACGTTGTGTCACAAACGCGTGTGGAATCAAACAACGTCAAACAAACGCGTCCCCAATTTCCAAAAAGGGTAAAGGACTTGGTCTGATCCTATTTGAACGACTCCTAGGCTTGTTTGGGGGCAGGGGCGTACTAGTGAGGCGAGCCTGCAGTTCCTTGGATACTTTGTTGCATGGGGCTCTCTTTGGTACAGCCGGGGGGAAGCAGAGCCCAAGTCTGTTGCAAGCTCCACCGTTGAATGCGAAACTGAAACCTCGACGTATCAGTATTATCACGCGCCCCGAGATAGGTTGTCAGCAATATTACCTCTTTCTGCGCGAGTATCATTGTAAAATATGCATTATTTCCAATTTTACAAGGTTTTGCAGAAGACCAGCTTTTTTCTTTCGACATCAATGGACTGAAGCGGGGCCACCTTCGCGATGCTGAGGCTGAGGCTTGCCAGTGACTTGACCTGCGAAGATTGTCAATGAGCAATCCATATGCTACCTACTCTTCGCCTGACTCCCATGGAAATGATCCATGTTACTTTTTGTGATGGCTTCCAACAATCCAAGAAGGGACGCCTCTTGTTCTTAACACCTCACCTTTTCAGCATACCGACATGTACGACAATATTTATGAAGAACATAAATCCTTCCGCAGGAACACTTCGATTATCGTAACAGACTCACCAGTAATCGCAACGACCCAGTCTCTAACTTTGGCGCAGAACCTTATGTCCCATCACGCAATATGTTCCAGTACGTTCTTCATCGCACAAGCTCCACTCACCTGTCGCATATGCTGCCCTCGTACTCTTGCAATGACTGGTGAACAGCGTCTCAGATGATATCATAGTAATCTTGTGTCTCAGGCCCCAGTATGGCACTATCGTCATCGTTATATGAATCCAACAGCCTCCGACGACTGGCAAAAAGTTCATTAATATAGCACAGTACATAACATTAAATATGCGATAAGAAATACAATGAGAAGTAATGCATTACTGGAAAATATGACCTGCAGTCCAGAGGGATATATAACCACTACATTACTACGAGGTCCTATGATCGATGAGACTGTATGATCGCGCATTCCCATCTTCTATCTCAAAACTGTCAATCGTGAACTCGAGTTTTGGGGTCACGACATCAATGATGTTTGTCTTGTCAAGCCATGACTTGTGAGCATCGTCCAGATTGCCAATGACAGGTCGTAGGCGTTCCGTAAACATTTTCAGGGCGTCCTTATTGTCACGAAGGTCTACCGGTGGAAGGCCTTTGAGCAATGGACACTAGAACCGCAAACTATGAGCTTTAAAAGTCATATTCTACGGCAATGCACGTACCTCCTCGTTACACACAGCCACTTGGACATTCGCGCCTGAATCGTCTTTTATGTTTAAAAAGAAGCGATACAAACACTTCACATTACTAGTGGCCAAGTCGTCGCACTTTAAGCATTGTCTGCAATTTGAAGGTACCCTAGGTAGTAAGGTTTGTTAATTCAAAGGGCAAATAATGTATCAGGTATGGTACTTACTCCGTTTCGCAGTTCGTACACCAGAGAAAGACAAAATCGTACAGATCAAAAGGGAAATAGTCGGTAACGCGACCAACGATCCGAAATGTATTTGGACAAGTATCACTGGCAAGCACGTCTTTGATTAAGATAGTGTTGCTTTGTTGAGCTGGCTCGGAAGCGACCACAGCAGCGCTATCTAAGACGTCATTGGACGGTACTTCCGTATGTGGCACTACAGGTGTGCTTGAGCATCTATCCCGTTCCATTTCTCGCTTCCACTGATCTTTTCGTCTAATTAGAACACGTCAGCGACGTGGGTGGACACTGTTAATATCGCTTACTTGAGCAATGTTTTGACATCATCGTCCATCATATCATCTATCTGGGTGATTAGTTGCTCGTCACCACCCAGACGACCATGGATATGTTTTGCGTTCGCTTTTTTTATCATCCTCAAATTCTTAATTGTATAGCAGCGACCTGGAATCAGATCCATCGCTTTGGATTTCTGACCGCCTTCTAAGAGGATCTTGACGACGCGACCTTCAAGCCCGGCTGACCATCCAGCAGAGAAAGACGGCAGATCAGGGTGGAAAGAATAATCCGTGACATAAAGTTCGGTGTCTTGACTGGAGCCATGATGGATATGTATGACCTTCAAATAAACGTTAACATCATTGTGGCTTGACATTTAACCACTGTACTTGCCTCTGCAGTGCAATTGAAGAACGTGACATCTCCATCAACGTCTTGTATGAGTTTTGTGTCCAACTTATTACAAGGGCCATTGGGCAGCACTTCAGTATGTGGCATTACAGGCATACTTGCGCATCTTGCCCGTTCTATTTCTCGCTTCCACCGATCTTTTCGTCTAATTAAAACACATCAGTGATTCGTAAGGAACACTATTAGTATCGCTTACTTGAGCAATGTTTTGACGTCATCGTCCATCATATCATCTATCTGGGTGATTAGTTGCTCGTCACCACCCAGACGACCATGGATATGTTTTGCGTTCGCCCTTTTTATCATCCTCAGATTTTTAATCGTATAGCAGTGACCTGGAACCAGGTCCATCGCTTTGGATTTCTGACCACCTTCTAAGAGGATCTTAACGGCACGACCCTCAAGCCCGGCCGACCATTCAGCAGAAAAAGACGGCAGATCAGGGTGGAAAGAATAGTCCGTGACGTAAAGTTCGGTGTCTTGACTGGAGCCATGGTGGACATGTAAAACCTTCAAACAAACGTTAACATCATCGTGGCTTGATATATAACCACTGTGCTCGCCTCTACAGTGCAGTTGAAGAACGTGACATCTTCATCAACGTCTTGTATCAGTTTTGTGTCGAACTTATTACACGGGCCATCAGACACATTATGGGTTTCGTAGAATTCTTTCTTGCGACTGTAAAATAATGAACACGAATAGTCAAAGTAGCGGAATGCGCATACGTACTCGAGAAGAGCCTTTAAGAAAGGCTGAGAACCCAAGTCCTTGTCGTTCAGCTTGACTACCCTTTCGGCTTCTTGCAACTTAGCTTCCAAATAACCAAGCCTGCTAACTTTCATCTTCATGTTGCGCAGGAACCAATATTCCCCAGGCACCATCGTCCGAGCAAGTTGGCCAGCTTTATCCCATGCGTCGATTCTGAGTGCCCGATTTTTAAGATGCTGTGGACACCAAGAAGACTCAACCTTTGCCATCTGGTCGTTCACCGTATAGTCAGTGACATAAAGGCAGTATGGACCATTGTCATTTTCAAAGCCACGTAAAATCTAGTTTCCTGTGAGCCTAGTGTATGAACACAAAGCCAAAGAAGGGAATTACCTCGGCAGTACAGTCAAAAAATCCATCCGGAGGTAAATCCGGTGATGCATCTGCGATGAGCCTATGCTGCCTGGTTTGTCTTGTACCGGCTCCTATTTGGATCGTAATTGTATCCTTTCCTAAAAACCGTTGTAAATCCTGCCACCAGTCGACAAGTCGGTTACAGTAGTCAATTTCAATTGCTTGTGGAGTCCAGAACGGCGAGTATTCATATCCAAAACCATTATCAGTCCTTTCCGACTCGGGCGCATTTCCCCTATCTCCGTGGTATGCAACGCGCGTCTCCGCATTAAAATGGGTCCATCGGAGTTTGTCGTTATAGCCAATAGCAATCATCGTGGTACCTCGAAAGTTGGAAACCTAGCGGGGGTGGGTCTAGGTTAGTAAAATTGAAATCGATGTACGAAGATGGCACATGGACACGGTGATGTAGAAGTGTAAAAAATAACTTTACTTTTAACCTGCGTAAGATGATGACGTCCCCAACCGAAGGCGAAGGTAGCCATTCAAGGTATTTGTCTTGAAAACAATTCACTGCCAAACCTTCATTCTGCAAATATCCTAATCCTTGATCCGCTCCCAGGTTTGAAAAGTCTGCGATAGTAAAAGATACAGACCACTCTGGTACAGAAAAGTAAGTTCATACATATGAATCAAGGTCAAATATCCAACCGTTTGAACGAGTCCGTACAGCAGATCTGACGGAAGTCACGACGCCTATTGCATTGAACATACTACTTCCCTCTTTTAGTTTTACAAGGGGGGTGTATGACTCTCCCTACAAATAGAAAAACAATGCCATTCTATAAGATAAGATTAACTTGAAGTATATTGTTCCTTGTACTTACTGCTTCTGTAAAACATCCCGCTCTAAATTGAAGTGCATCTTTACGAAGCTTCTCCTCGACCGTGGACATAGACGTGGTTCTGGCCACAGGCGGTGATGCGACAGGGATATGCGGATGCGCATTATCAGCCGAAGAAGGTTTGACGGCTTGAATATCCGACTTCGGGACAGGTAGAGGAGCGCAGTTTTCCACGTTACTAGTTGCAGCTACAGCCGTCGCTTCGAGATCACGCTTGAGTTTCTTTATTTTGCGAGCCTTGCTTTTCGTTATCTTGTTGGGCTCCCTTTTGGGAGGCTTTGTCGAGGATAGGTCCCTATGGTCGAGTGGAACGTGGCCACTTTGTGTATTACGTGCAAGAGTTCCTTCATTTTGGAGCCCATCCCTAACTGAACTTGTGGATGGTTTATAGGGGTTACCTAAGGTCTGTAAGTTCTTAGTAGAAGGTTGATCGCTTCGAGCATCACTGGCGAAGGCAGACTGAGGGACCATCGATCTAATTTCGTTCGGTCCAACTGCAGCATCGTCCACGACAGCTCTTGAAACACGAGGGATATATCTAGCGTTGCGTGGAGTGCTGTACCAAGTACTTGAGGGACATTGTTCTTTTTCGACTTTGGGTGAGTGAAATTCATTGAATAAAAGTGGGTGAGCTTGTCAAGATATAATAGAATAACTCTGCTCACGTTGCCAAGTATCGACGACCAAATCCTCTGTGCCCTCTCGGGTGATGAATTTGACAGCGAGACCTTTATTGTAAATCAGACTCAAGGGAGCAAAATTGTGTGCTGATGATTCTTGCTTGTGTTCCACGGTAACACCTTTCAGCGCGAGATGGAACGGGGCGTGACACTTGAAATTAAACATGTCGACGTAGTCGATATACTTCCCAGAGAGCTGGATTCCAAAACGATAGGTTTTGTCGTCTTCTTTTGCTTCAAAGTACATCGAGTGAACGCCATTGCGAGCGGGCCATATCATGAATATCCTCCCTGTGATATATCCGTTGTCCGGATTGTCAGAGTCTGGACGTAGCAAATCTACCATTTTTCTGTGCAAGGACGGGTGGAATAAATCCGTGTCGTCAATTTTCGACCTTTTGGAATTTTGTTGGTCAACCTGCACATCTCCCGAGTCCGCTGGAACGCGTTTCATGGTGGAATGAGGTTAAGTAGTGTTACTAGTAGCACTTCAAGCTCAAGGAACCTCGGATCGGCGCTGGCTGCAAGAACGGAGCCAAAACGCGGGTGGACCCCCAGCCACCAGAAAGTGGCCCCTTCCGTAAAGATAACCAAGAGCAAGCGAGACCTTCTGACACCCATGGCCGATATTCCTTCCACATTGTTCTCGAAAGCCCTTTCGACAGCGGCGAAAGCAACAAACCTGCCCACAGTTGAAGATGAGACTCAGGTATTTGTGGGATTTGATGCTGTATATCTTAATAACTGATACTGAGCTTATAAGGATCTCATCAAATCAGCTTTGACTGACCTTCTCCACTTAAACTCGAGAATCATTGCACTTTCTGTGTTCAGTCCTAATGAGACCCTCGAGGATATATCCACTCGTGATCTTGCATATCTATCTGTTCCCTATGTATCAGCCGAAGTAGAAAATCGTCGCAGAACCACGGATCCAGGGGAACGAATGGCCCTTCTTGATCAAGTACAGGCATGTACTACATTTTGTATATCCTTTAGTCACCCCTAAATCAATATCTCCCAGAACCACCTAAGATCATATTTAGAAAATCTGGATAACTATGAAATAGTGCAAGAGGCAGAGCGTGCTCTGTACGAGCAGAAATCTATTGCAGTCAAGGATGCCGCCAAACGTCGAGATATGAAGATCAAGCAATATCAAAAAGAGAAGGATTTGCGTGCTAGGATCGAGTCATTACGAAAGCGCAGGCAGCAAGTTCCTATCGTACCCCATTCCAACACAGACTTTGGTCTTATTTTATCGCTTTTGCCGTCACCTTCTCTATCCCCAACTCCTGACGATGAAGACGATTCAGAAACTGATGAACTTCTCCGCGAAACCTCTCTTCTTCTACTTCGGTTATTTTATGTACAAGCACACGCACAACTTGAGAGCTTGGACCAAGAGGTAGAATTGTTGCGTAGTATTCCACCTCCACCCAATCGACAGTCAGTGCCGTCGGCGGAAGACCGAAGGAGCAAGCAGAAAGAGTCAGATGACATCTGGAAACTTGATGCACCAGTGTCCCAGGGTGGTCAAGGTCCTTTATTAGATCCCAGCGGGAAGGTATGAGTGTGTACAGCCGCTGCGCGATCATGCTTCTGATTCTTGAACAGCCTTTACGTCCGTTTGTTATATTACCTGCTGGAGCCTCGGAACGTGCACGACTTCAGTCACAAGTTTTTGGTCCAGGACATCGCTTACCAACTATGGCAATTGATGAGTATTTGGAGATCGAACGTCAAAGAGGCAACTTCTTAACCGGTGGAGGGTCAGTATTTTTGCCATTTGCTCGTCATTCGCCTTTCTGTACTCAATATCTATATTATAGTGCACAATCTGCGGCAGAACCTACGTCCTCTGAACAACTAGCTGTCGATGCTGAAACAGATGGTACGGCATTCGGTGAAATGAAAGCAGAGGAAAAGAGACAAAAGGATGAGAACTGGGCACAATATACAGACACGAACCCCAAGGGCGCAGGAAATACTATGAATCGTGGTTGACGTGGGATGCAAGAAGCGGTTTACAATCTTTACTATGATGTTAAATTGCGACACGAATTTGAATTCGGGTGTCTTGTAGCGCCAATTCTTCCAATTCGAAACCTGATAACGATAATAGATTAACGACTACTCACCAGGACATTCCACACCGTGTGAAGATTTTTCACAGCTCGTCTTTCCGGTACATAGAGAATTGCATGCTTGATACAGTAGAAGCAAAAAGACAGATGGTATATAACAACACAGGATGGGGATGGTAGTGTATGGCCCTCGTATAGGACCTAGATTAACAGCTGCATTGAGATGCATCAGGAACTTGGGACGCCTCTGCCGTAGTGACATCAATTTCTGCAAAGAAGCCTAAATTAGAAGCGAGGGAGTTGACGTCGACAAGTACTTACTAGCATTTTGTACGTCTGACTGGCCCTCCTTCTCCATACCAGGCAATGACATGGCGATCTTCTTGAACAGACCTTTAACATTATGACCAGCTTTGGCCGATGTCTCCATGAACATAATATTCAGCTGTGTCGATTTGGCGGTCGCTTCTTCTAAAGTGACTTGACTAAGACGAGGTATATGTCAGCTTCAGAAAGAGGATAATGGTATATTGTGGCTAACCGCTTATCTGACAGGTCAGCCTTATTACCAACCAAGACAATGATAACATCATTCCCTCGCTCCGATCGAACGTCGTCTATCCATTTGGATGTTGAGAGGAAAGATTGACGATCTTTACTAAAGCGTTAATACACGGATACTGATCTCAAGGAACGGCCTCGCTAACTTGTGATATCAAAGACTACGATGGCCACAGAAGAATCCCGGATGTACGATGGTATTAGTGAACGGAAACGCTCCTAGAGGTGTTAAAATGAAACGATTGATTGCCTGATTTCCAGTAGTCCAGATGAGATATACCTGTCCAGCAGTGTCCCATAATTGTAGCCGCACTGTTCGATCCTCCAGATACATAGTCTTGCTCAGGAAATCAATGCCAATAGTGGCCTGGTATGTATTGTCAAATGTGTCGTACATAAATCTGTTTTCCCGTCCGAGTGAAGCTGTCAGATCCCGGAACACTGTCTTGTATAATGTTTAGAACTCACCTTGTTATGAGACTGGTCTTCCCGACACTTTGGTCACCAAGGAGAACGATTTTGGTGCGTTTTGGGGGAGTGGATGAAAAATCCGCTGTCGTAGGAGTTGACGAGTTGTCCATTGTAAATTATACTGCCAAAGAAAGGAGATATCTGGTAAAGGGAGTGAGAATATGGTCTGATATACAGCTTTGGTTATGTCGGTCTGTTCTGAAATTCCTAGCGTCAGCGGTAAATGTGTTTGCGGCTATTTGCGAAGGCGTTATCGTGGGATAAGAATACCTTTTATGTATGGCCTTCATGTTCCCGGCGGGAAATCACATGACTCTATAGCGTCTTAATTGCATAAGCGCCGGTATGGAAGACGCATTTCAGTCAAAGGTTTATGCTCGGATCCGTTATAAGGTCCTTTTACTGTTCGCCGTTACAGCGGTTTGGGATACATTTTGGGATTTCCAGTCCTATCCCGGAACAGCCATGAAGCTTTCTGAGAAAATCGCAGCCTACAATTCTCCTCACCCATTCTACACATTCGAGTTTTTCCCTCCGAGAACAGATCAGGTTCATGAATTTTTTGCTCGTAAGTAGCCGACCTAACAGACGTTCGTACAGGGATTCGAGAATCTGATCACTCGGATTTCACGGTTGTCTTCTTTAAATCCAATCGCCATCAGCATAACATGGGGAGCTGGAGGATCAACTAAGGAGCGTAGTCTTGACTTGGCTGGACTAACTCAAGCAGAGTACGAGATCGATACAGTGCTGCATTTGACATGCACAAACATGAAACATGGTATGGTAGATGACGTGCTAAAGGTAGTCTATATTCAAATTGTTCGATATAACACATCTGAGGTAACTCGCAGGCAGCAAAAGCCCGAGGTATTCAAAACATACTCGCTCTGCGTGGAGGTATGTGCCGTTTCTTTGTATATTAACTAACTGATTTTTGTGTCCTGTTTGTTTGATGTCCAGATCCTCCTAGAGGTCAAGAACACTGGATTCCAATCGATCCTCGATTCAATCATGGAATAGACTTGGTTACATACATTCGTTCTCATCAGTACTTTTCTTCCGACTTCTGCATCGGTGTAGCAGGTATATAGTAATAATCTGTAATTGCATCATCTAATATTCTCGTAGCTTACCCTGAAGGTCACCCCGATGGAGAAACCGACGAAGATAAAGAGCTAGAGTTCCTGAAAGCCAAGGTTGACGCAGGAGCTGACTTTATCGTCACCCAACTTTTCTATGATGTGGATCGTTTCCTACATTGGGTAAAAAGAGTGAGAGAAATAGGTGTGTTGCCAATACCTAGTCGTGGATTCTATTCATCCGTTCACAGGTATCACCGTGCCTATCATACCTGGGATCATGCCCATACAAACATATTCATCCTTCCTTCGATTGATCAAGTTGTGCGGTGTTTCAGTCCCATCATCCATAATGTCAGATTTAGAATCAATCCAAGTGGGTAGTGATTCATGCCAGGCCTACCTTTTTCAATAATGCATTTATTATTTTTCGAAGCATGATGACCAGATGGTGAAGGATTATGGTGTTCAGCTCGCAATCGACACCATTAAAAGGATAACAACCAAAGGAACAGTACCTGGTATCCACTTCTGTACCCTGAATCTTGAAAAGAGCGTTCAGCTTGTACTCGAGAATCTCCAGTGGGCTGGTGGGAGTCCTGTGACAAAGAACAAGCTTATTGCCGTCCGTCTCTTTCGATCGTGTTAGCATAAACATCATCATGACCCTAGATTTATCACAGGAAACACCCGGCTCTATTATTCACCCTCTACCTGGTTCTGAGCTTATAATCACGCCTAGTAGTGCAACGTCTTCGGCTGCTAACGCCCTGACAACAAAGCAAACGGCTGATACTGAAGTCGGTAGGGGAGAGGTCAATTATGCTGCAACATGGGATGACTTCCCTAACGGTCGATTTGGTGACTATAAGAGTCCAGCATTCGGTGATCTAGGCCCCTGGGGAGCCCCTGTACTATCGGTTTGTTATTCACCTCTGGTTCGATTCTCCTCTTACACGCTGTTGCATTTCTTTAGCGCACCGAAGTTATTGATGAATGGGGCAGCCCAAAGACGGAACAGGATCTGACAGAACTGTTCGTCCGATACCTTCACTCTGAAATTACGACAACACCATTCTCTCCTTCTGCCTTGTCTCCAGAGTCTCTCAGAATCCTTTCGCACTTGGAGCGTCTAACTCAAAGGGGATGGTGGACAGTAGGATCACAGCCCGCTGTTGACTGTGGCAACTCGACAGATCCAGTATTTGGATGGGGACCTAGAGGAGGCTATGTATTTCAGAAGAGCTTTGTTGAATTTTTCGCTGATGAGGAGGCAGTTAAGGAGATTGTACAAAAGATCGAGAAGGAAGGACAAGGGGTTGTCCATTATTTCGCAGGAAATATGCAGGTTCGTTTTTTAATGTTAATGCAGTACTTACTCAGATTTCATGGATTACCAACCGATACCCCAGGGAGAATGTCGAAGCAATGTTCCTGAGGATGGTCGCAATGCAGTAACTTGGGGAATATTTCCAGGACAGGAAATTGTCCAGACCACGATCATTGAGCGGGAATCCTTCTTGTCGTGGAAGGTGATTCTCATTTACGCTTTATTTTTTTTCACCTTATCATTTGCCATGGTTAGGACGAGGCGTTTTCTATATGGGCGGAATGGGCTTCATTCTACCCCCCAGGCTCTCAGGAAAGAGAATTGTTGGACGTTGTTATGCAAAAAAGATGGCTAGTAAGTATCGTACACCACGATTACAGAAACCCTGGTGGCCTGTGGACATTCCTGTTTGGCGGAAATATTGCGTTGTAATCAAAACTGTACTCTAATGTATAAAATTGGTCACGTGACCTGAATATGAAACTTGACATGATTGCCATTGCAACAAACGTAGTGATTCCTGTTTTGCCCATACTCCTTGCTATGAGCCAAAATGTCCATAGCTACGCCAACCGCAATCCCAAGAGATCCCATCATTCCTCTTGTACTCCCAAAAGCTCCACAGCCAAATTCTCTTCCTTTGCCAAAGTCCAGTCACTCTCCTGAGCGCATGAATCGTCGCCGCAATCTACAACGCGAGATGGATGATTTGAGTGATGAGGAGAACGAGCTTGAAGATGCTGTGAGGACTGAGTTTATCTAATCACGCGTCACTATGTTCATATCAAGAGTCAGAATACACTTATACGGATGAGAGGGTACAACTGGCTAATACCTATCGGACGACGTACAACGCAACAAGAAGAAAAGAATGATGTTCATAGCATGTTTATTCTTTGTAGCTTGATTACTGACGAGCCATCTTTCAAATTCTTTACTAGGCGGAGGACGAGACAGATGAGTCTGAGGCAGGTCAGTCTGGTGCACCCGCTTCTTCTCTGATAGGGGAAGGAGATGGGGAAGGAGAAAATGACTCTTCCCCTGATCTCGACGCCAGCATGGAGGATATGGATGAAGGTGATATAACGGGGGAGACCGAGGAGGGCCTTACAGAGTATGAGGAAGAACCATCAGATATGTAAGATTCTGAACCGGTGGAGTCTTTTTATCATCTAATGTCCCTCATTGAAGGCAAAACTAGTTTGACACACAGCATATCTTAACATTCTCTGGCTTTGAGAACACCCTTTATATGTCACCAAAGTCCGTTGTCCACTGTAAAACCAACATATATACATGATGTAACAAATAATTTAGGGACAGTAAAGATTGAACAATACCCCGGTCTCGCCTTCCAATTAAGCAACTATGTCCTGTATGTCCGTAATAGAAGGCCCCCGGTGGTGACCGTGCTTCAAGTGCCGCGATTTCATGGCAAGAGGGCGAATCCACGATTTGATGTGCCCATTCTTCCCTGCTGTAAGGAGTGCGCGTGGAAGAAACGAGATAGCAGTGAGAATATCGCTATCGATATTTTTTACCTGGAGGTGAATACATGAGGCTATGGACCTCTGGAGTAAGACAGTAGACAAACCAGAACGGGTTGAACCACAGAGACTTCATTTCTTGATGGGGCAGAATGATACCGATACGATGGGGACGATGCATCTGTTCCAGCTGGTGCAGGTAAATGAAGAGTAGATCGACGGAATGCAAGCGATATGGTGGATGACATTGATATCCGCGGATGATGTGTTGCCTTAGATCGATGTCAGGAAAGGGTATAAACAAATACATATAATGCTTACTTGGAGCTTTGGCCTATGGAGAGCACTACTTGAAAAATCCCACTGCAAGACTGTATTATTTATTACCAGTACAGTAAGTTTGGGTTGACAAACCAATATGAGCTTGTTGTCTTCGCCTACACTGCCAAATCGATATGTTCGCCCGTCACATCGAACATCGTCAAAAGCAACAGCAGACACAAATGACGAGTGTCCTTGGCATCGTGCCACTACGCGTTGTTCCCAAGGCGAGAAGATCGTCAATAGATCATCTTGTCCTCCTGTCTGTAAAAAAAATTATGCTGTACGTTGGCAAATACACGAATGAGAAGAATGAGTCTCCTTACCAATATAAAACGACTGTCTGGTGACCACGACACGCATGTCAGCGATCCGAAATATGATGCATAACAATCGACAAGTCTGGGGCTGTATTAATGAAAGGGTACATTGACTGCACTAACCACTCACTGCTCTGCTTGTGCATCAATGACTCTGAGGCACCCGTCCTCTGAGATAGCTGCTATATGTTGCAACTTGGTATCAGGGGAAAATACAAAGTCTGGTGTCTGTTTAATCCAGCGCCAACTAACAATCCATAATAAAATTTCGTACCTACTACACGACGCAAAGAAACACGCCAATGGCTGACGGGATTTTTAGCTTTATCCTTATCAACCCTAGCGGGCATTGGTCCCCCAGTCGCCGACACTGGATGCCAAGGCGGTGTAGTGACGAAGATGTTGGCTAGTGGGTTCCAATCTGCATCAGAAGATTGAGCCTGTTGTGAAGTAGAAGGATCTGACAGAGAGGTAGTAATATGGGTGTTTGGATTATGGGGAGTAAAAACACCATCTTCACGTTCCTTATCGTACACAATCATTGTCCCGTCGGCATACGAAACCATGAAAAGAGATGTTGAGGATGGCACCCAGCGCACAGAAGTGCACGCGGCACTGCATATGCAGCCCTAGTTAATGTTATTCACTGGAGATTACCAATGATTACATTGGCGAATACCTGTTTATTAAGACGTCCGTAGCGGTGGTATATGGGATCTGCTGGTAATTGAGCACCTATTTTACTGCGTGTTCCTGCAACACACACCAAACCAGATCAAGTCGCCGGAACTAAAGCCAATAATAACATCGAGGCGTTCTGGTGATGCAGTTGTAGTATTCACATCATGACATGTAGGGTGTGCTGAAAAGCTGATCCGTGTCAGCGCTTCCTGTCAACGATATTCCGCTCAGTGATATGGTTGATCCGCTCCACTATGGAAAGACGCACTTTCGCCTTTGAGCCGACCTCCACCCATAAGAATGATTTGCCCGTATTATAAAACAAGAACGTGACTTCACCCTGCTTGGATTGTAGTGTTCTGCTTAATCCTTCTGTACTCTGCACCCGTGTGATAAAAGTTGAAGATGTTGTCCGTAGGTTCTGTTTCGGGCGAGAAACAGGCTTCTTCTTTCCTCCAATGGCTGAGTGGGAGAACAGAGGACGTTGTTCTTGATATGATGTGGAATTTTGAGAAGTATCAAGTCCTGGTAAATTTGACGTGTCTGCAAAGCTATTCTCGGGAGTATCACTGCTGGACAAGCTGACAACGTCGTCCTTTGGAGCTTTGTCTCTTCTGAGATCCTTGTTTCCTCCTAGCAGCTGTGCAAGTCCCGGAGTTGCTCCGTGTTTTGTTCCAGGAAATCGAACGGTAATGGTGGAAAGACGTGTTGGGTATATAGGTGAAGCTGCACTAACAGAATGGGCGGGAATTATGAGAGGCTTGTGTTCTTCGATAACGGAATATACGCCTTCAGGAGCGACGAATGTCAGTTCGTTCTCCATCGTTCAGCTCGCCGCCGACCGCACAATTGCCAGTGATGGCCGTTGGGAGAGACGTTGCCGGCGTTGCGGGGCAAAGGACGGGCCAGTGGCACAGACGCCCAGTTGGGCCCTGGCTATTACGATACCCGTTCGGATCTTACATTATGGGGACTGTTACTTTTCATTTCATTACTAGCTTTCTATACTATAACTTTGCTCTCTAACCATGATCATTTCATCCGGTGTTCTTGCTCGTCGCACAGTAAAGCGACGGATACCAGGTGTAAGTATCCAGAATGGTCATGGTTTCATTCAGAGCTTACTAGTATTCGTTTCAACAGTTCACCATTCGTTGGCAGTCCACCACTGGCGTCGAACCACCGCCAGCTGGTGGTCATTTGCCTTCTGTCGCCACATCGCAATATCTGCGGCTCACTCGCGAGGCAGCGTTTCGTACACCAGGTCTATCGTGGGCAGATGAAGATGGTTCAAGCCCGGCGCGGAACATTGTTGGTGGACGGGAGACACGGAAAATGAACACCTACCAAGCTGTTCGGGATGCAATGAGGTTAGCATTCACGGAAAGCAACGTATACTCGTAGCACGGACCTAACAGTGTATCACCAGTGTTGCCATGATGAAGGACGATACTGCAGTAGTCTTCGGTGAAGATGTTGCCTTTGGCGGTGTGTTCAGGTGCACAATGGTGAGCACACAAGTGCTTTCACGTGTAGCGGCGTGTGATTCATGACTGTCTTCTCTTGGAGATGTAGGGTCTCGCTGAAGAATTTGGTGAGCTTTGACTTAAGGGGTTTGTGGATCTATCTGAACATTGATGAAGGTCGGGAACGTGTCTTCAATACACCATTGACCGAGCAAGGTATTGCTGGGTTTGCAATTGGTCTTGCTTCCATGGGCCAGACTGCCATTGCAGAGATCCAGTTTTCAGATTACATATTTCCCGCCTTTGATCAGGTATATCTCTCTATATACTTCTGCTAAGTAGGTCTTCACCGAAATCATACTCCAGATTGTCAATGAAGCTGCCAAGTTCCGCTATCGTTCCGGGGGCCAGTTTAACGTCGGGAAATTAACCATCCGCACACCTACCATGGCTGTCGGGCATGGTGCCTTATACCACTCTCAGAGCCCTGAGGGCTTTTTCATGGGCGCATCAGGACTCAAAGTTTGTCTGATTATATGCGTACTGATATACCTAGCTCACATTTATATCGTGCAGATTGTCATTCCACGTTCTCCCATTCAAGCCAAAGGCCTACTTCTATCATCGATCCGGGATCCAAATCCAGTCATATTTATGGAGCCAAAAATACTATATAGATCTGCAGGTACGCCGATCTATTTCTAGTATCAATCTAACATCTGATACGTCCATGCAGTGGAACAGGTACCCATAGACGATTATGAATTACCTATCGGACGAGCTGAAACGCTGACGGCAGGTTCAGACCTGACTGTTCTTACATGGGGCACTCCAGTGTACCATTGCGAGGCCGCTTTGCATATGCTTGCTGACCCACCATCCTCTCTCGAACGCTTAATTCCACCATCGCTGCGATCCGCTAAGATTGAGCTTATAGATCTGCGGACGATACTTCCATGGGACGTCGACACTGTCACTGAAAGCGTCAGCCGTACAGGAAGATTAGTGATAGTTCACGAGGCTAGCCAGACGGCCGGCGTTGGAGCAGAAATTGCTGCTGAGGTTCAGAAACGATGTTTCTTGAAACTCCATGCACCAGTTAAGAGGGTGACAGGTTGGGAGTAAGTGCGGTCGTCGTATGCATCTGACATAGCTGATATATCCGAGCTAGCGTGCCTGTGGGATGTCAGTATGAGAAGTTTATCATTCCCGATTCCCTTCGCATACTTGATGGCATTATGGAATCCCTTAATTACTGAAGGATTTCATGACTCTCACCTGAGCAAATGGTATAGGGATAGTGTAAGAAAGACGGGTTACGTGTTACAATGAATGGTGCGCTCCACAACGATCTGCTAGTCTTATGCTAGCAACTGCAGTCCATCGAGAATATACAGCTTATATATTGATCGGCAACCGTTCAGTTGTGCTGATGGAATGTAATGCATATTATACACAAGCCACCAGGACTACGCATTTACACGACAAGTAAAACATTATATGAAAACAGTTTAAAGCATCACTGCCGAACTTCGATGACCCATCTCTCAAGATGCCCCATAGTAAATAGACTTGCCTCCCAAATGGTCAAAAAACGATGTTCTCTCCAAGCTTGTAGGCCCCATCTGGAAACGAAAGAAGCTCTGATATCTCGATGGTCTTCGAGGATTTCGTATCTATGGAATAGTATCTCTGTGTATTGTCTGGACACATTTGTGAGTGATTCGACAACCAGCGGAGAAGGACCAGTGCTAAAGACATCTAGCAAGCTTTGTGGTGAAACGAGAAGAGCCGTGGAGGTGCGTTGAGGTACGTGAAAAACTCCGTTAAGAGAGCGGGAATATCGTCGAGGAAGGATTGGTAGAGCACAAAACACGAACAATTTGCTAGAAAACGGTACGCTAGGTGATAATGCTGTAAACTCAATCTTTGCAGAACTTTGAGGGAGGGAAGCCTTGAGATAGCTGACGAACCCGTCCAAATCCGCGTACGATAAGGTATCCAGGCAAAATAGGGGTCCGTGGCCTCCTGTGACGACTGGGAGCTTGCAGAGCGAGCCTAAAGCGCTAATGGTGTCGTCCAGACTAGAGAGTAAAATGTATTAAATGGAGAAGATACCAGCAGAAGACCAAGCACTCATACGGGACGTTCAAGTGCAGGCTGCAAAAATCTCCACTGGAATAATTTTGTTTGAGAGCTGTGGTTTCGATATCAGTCTCGGGCGAACTCAGTCGTAGAATCCCAGATAATTGGCGATTCACGTACCTGACATGGGATGCTAAACTCCTCGTGTTTAGACCATGCTATTTAATGAGGTATTTTGGCTTAATCACCTGAGAAGGATACATCCAGTTCCACACTTGAGTCCACCATGCCCACTCAACGTCAATTTGGAGCATCCACGCATATACCCGAATATTGTTGCGAAGAAGATCGGGTAGATCGTTAATGGGATCTCGAAGTTCGATATAGCCATCGTAGATGTCGTTCAAAAGGGATGATAGTGGTATTTGAATTGTTTTACTGGATGACATACTTGCATTTCTGGCGACGACCGTATACTGCGTGGGCCATAGAGAAGTGCTGGGTGTAATGACGGCTAGTAAAGCTTGCAGAGCGGTACGTGTCCGTGAAATGTCCTCTCGGCGAGTGAAACAAGGCCGATAAGACCAGAACGAGATTGAAAAACACAGGAGAAAAACCGAAAAAACAAGAGATGTACCCTTGCAAAGTTGAAGATCCCGTATCGCATTAGTTTCCAGTCCAACCCGACGTTGCAAGGATTCGACGATACCCAGGAATGACTTGGTCAGTATATGAGAGAAATCAACACGTTGGATAAAGGGATACATCACTGGCACTACTAGCATCACGGTGAACTTGGACCTAAAAGTCTTAACCTAACAATGACGTCACAGCGATAAGCAATTTTGGTGAAAGGGGAAAAAATTCCACAAAAACGACACCAGCAGGATTTGAACCTGCGCCCTCAAAGAGGAACAGATATCAGAGAAGATTCGAATCTGTCGCCGTAACCACTTGGCTATAGTGCCTTACGATAAGGGACACGCATTGTTTGCATATATCTACAGAGGTTTTTCTATGACCCTCTGGCTTCGAATCAAGTTATACGTTGACTCTTCTTGCGATTTCATTGAGAGGCAACCTTGCAGGTCCCAGCAAAGTTATCTAGTCATGGACTGGTATGTTTTCAACGAATTTCAAGCACGATAGCATCACTCACAGCACAGCGCAACCTCCAAGTCTCGAATTGAATATACACCAACAAATTCTCTCTGACCTCGCGTCAAGTGTTATAGTCGAGGATGGGGCCAGTTTGGCCAGCACAAAGTCCATCATAGAAAGCAAAGTCGTAATTACAAAGGCAGGTCAGGACGTCGTCCCGAATGGCTCAGATGACGGAGAGGACACGTCGCGAATGTTCATGGTATGTTACCGTTATTGTAAATGTGGCATGTCCCTATTCATCCCAAGGAAGTCTGCATCCAGAGTTCATTGCAACATAGCATACGGGGAATTAGCTATCCATTTCCCAACTGACATTATTTCTGAGCATACAAGTACACTTATTCCGACGCTCATCGATATTCTACGCGGTATTCCTAGGACTGAATTCGATCAATGTCTATCGTGGGACGGTAATTTACCATCATACTGTGATAATATAACCAGTCTACTTATATCTCTGACCGCAGAATGGTCCTTACCAGATCAACTGGTCTTTTCCACCGTGTCAGCCTTATTGCGTATTGCTCACGCACAGGAGCAATATGCTGAAGATGTTATACTTGCCATCTCGGAATTCATCACAGCGACAGTAGAGCAGCTCAAAACATCGACTTGTGAGTCCTCCACCCAAGTTCAAACCATACAGACTGCAACTAACGCCATCCCTTTAGCTACCGATGTCCTTACTCAAGTAGCACCTTCGGTCCATGGTTTGTACCGTGCAATCACTTCGACCTTATATCCATGGTCTTGTGATCAGTGGCAGCAGCTTTCTGAAATTATACGAGGCCTGGTCGCTCCTGATGTTCTCGAGCGGTTGAACCGTTTACTTCTGGACATCAGTCGAGAGGAGGACGCGGATCCTGAAACGATGCTATTCATGCAAACGTTCATTGCGCGTTATATCTCCCAAGGTCGCCCCCTCAGTGGCCATTTCATTGTCTGCTGTGCTTTGGAGGTACAGTGGACTGTTCTCGCTCAGGTATTGGCGCCTCCACAGGGCTTGCAGAGTGGTCAGGTCGTCGAAGCAGCAGCAGCGAATAAATCTTGGCTCTCGCTGATGCGCAGAGCCGCGATTGATCTGAACATAAGTGATGAAAAAAGCAGAAATTCGTTAAAGTCTACCATCCAGTATTCAATGCAGTGGTTTCACGAGTTACTTGCCCAGCTTGAGGAAATGGATACGGAGCCGTCGATTGATATCTATGCTTGGGAAACCATGTCTGAGTGTTTGGTAGTTTTCTCTCTTTGCCATATGTCACCTTCATAACTAAAGATTGATACTGACAGAAACTTGCATCCGTTTGCTCAATCGCTTTAAGGGAGCTCGATCGTTACTTGTACTCTGAGTTAACGCTTCTGTTGAGTGACGAATCGCCTGTCTCGGATAACCTAGTGCAAGAAGCTGCGCTCAAGGCTACAACGGTTCTAGTGCAAAGGTCTGTATCCCCATATCACGATTGGATGGAGTCTGATTATTCATTCAAGTTTTCCGGAGATTGCTCCTCCCATGGTGAATCATCTACGTCGACTCGTCACCTCACCTCTTCCTATATTCGAATGTGAATATGGTTTAGAAAATCGACCTCCTCCTGCCTTGACGGCTGCTGCTAAATGTTTGGCTCTTTGTATTAAGGTTAGTTTACTGATTCCCACTTTAAGTCGCCCAATGATTTTTCAATGAATTGTTTTAGCTATCACCAGGCGATGATTCTGTGATGTCTAATATGTATTCTCTTCTGAACTACATTGCAGCCACAAGCAAGGAGATCTACGAAAGTTCAAGTAGCTCACAGATGGTCGATAATCCCTTTTATACTTCATCAGACCACGCGACTCTCCACTCTGACGATACTGGCCTCCGAGGGAGAACGGACGAAGAGAAAAGGCTCATTGGTATAACCACGATTTCGGTTGTGACGAGACTTTCTTTTGAGTTTGAGAACGAAGAGGTGTGTTGGCTTTGTCCTCTTGCGTTATCAATGCTAATGGATTCCCTTAGGTGACCAAACTGACGATCTCAATGCTCTTACAAAGGCTGCGAACCGCAGAACCTACTGTTGAGGCTGCAATTGCTCATAACCTTGTAGATTTGGCATTGTCTGCACCAGAGGGTTCATTTGCTGATACGATTCGCGTTTTCTCGTCCATCAATCGCACCGCTAACCCAGATGACCCTAGATTTTCTAATAACATGGTGAGAGTAGATGCTAGTTTTATAGCGAGATGATTAATGATATACTGTTAGGTATTGTCAGCTCAAACAAGGCTTGCTCAAGAATTACGTCGTAGACCAGATCTTTACGACTTATATCTGGTTGAACTTCTCACCCTTTTTACCGATAAAGGCATTGCTATACAAAACGTGGTGGCCTCCAACCATCATACCAAGGTAACTGGAAAATGTTATGGACTAAAGTTCATTTCTAAAATGCTTGATGGCAGACGGAAGACATGGTTGAGCAATTGGCTTCTCTTTTGTTGCCAATCGACGCACTCCTGGACCATGATGACTTCAACCCACACATCAACGCTTCTCCAGAGGCTGTTATTTTGTTCAGAAACATGTGGTTCCTTTGTGTGCTCTTCGGCTTTACAAACGAGGAAGGAAAAGAGAAGACTGCGATGGACTGGCAGCAGCCCGCACTTGCTCGTATAGCCTCTAAAACACCCTGCATGGTGTTAGAGGAAGCTCATGATGCTGTAAGTGAACTAGAGTATAATACTGTCGTTCGCCGTGAATATGCACATTCGGTAAGTCAATCTGTTATATGCAGTATTTCGTTCTTTAAAAGTTCCTTCTTAGGAACTGATTAAACATCGTGGTTTCCTGACTCGACATATATCTATTCGCGCGGGCGAAATTCGTTCTCTGTCATCCGGTCAAGTTATATTTTTGTTGACTATGCATGACGTAGAGAGCATGCGTTCAGCATTGGGACTCCCCTCATCGTTAGTTACGTACTTTACAAACAGCAATCTGAACATGCATGCAAGCTTGAGCGCATGTATGGAATCTATCGCAGAAAAGGTGCGTACGTGCAACTCTCAGTATAAGCACATGTTTTATTTTTGATGTAGGTGATACGCGGATGTGTCAACGATTTGAATATCCAAGCTTCAGAACAATCTTTGCCTGACTATCTGTCTGGAGAGTTGCGCAAATTGTTGGTGTATAGCACTCACCGTATTGCAAAAGCTCGGGATATTGCAAATAAATATCTGAACCGACTCATCACATCATTCCCATCACTCATGTGCGATCCTCCTCTTGTCTACGGAATCCTGGAAACATTGACATTACTGCGTCGTGCCTGTGAAAACGAGTTTACCGATGAGGTAAGATTTTTGACTGTTGCAGTTTGCATTAAGGTGACCACCAGGACAGTATAATCCGGTTTACGAATTCCATTCGGAACGCACAGGTATTACTCTACAGCTTACCGACAACTATAAAACCAGGAACGAGATTCTAGCTCAACTTCAACGTAATGCCAATACTTGGCTTGAATTGGCATTAGGGCGTGCCCCTATTGAGCTACAATCGACTCTACAGGTATATCGGACTTCACCTTGGTTGCACGGATCATTATAAAATTTATTTCAGAAATATCTTGCCATCAACCAATCTTTGTCTGGAGCTGATTCTGCAGAGCTCGGCGCCTCTATCGCAGAACAGTTCGGAAAAGCTATTGGCCCGGTGCAGCGACAACTTAGTGAGTTCATATGAATGTTTTTGATAAGCGATCTAAGCGTTGGACATCAGCATCACTCTCAGCTCTGTCCAACTGGAAGTCTGATCGTGCAAAAATACTAGCAAGCCAGCTTGCAAGCAAAGGGTATTTTGCAGGAGAAGTTGCTGGTCTCCGTCTCGCTAATAGAGCAGGTGTGTCCTATTTGATTATGAGGTACTGATATTGAAAGAAGTACTTATCAGGCCAAGATAAACTTGAGGAATTACCTCCACAGAGTGCACCTTCTACCGAAATAGAAGCATTGAAAAATAAACTCGCTCACACCATGGACGATATTCGCGGCAAAAATAGTACTTTGACTGTCCAGGACCTCAAGCGTCTCTTATTTCGTTGTGCTGCTATCGTCATCTCCTCGGACAAGGTATATTACCTTTTGCTTATGAACTTACGAAGTGAATGCTAATTGATAATTCATTCTCAGTGCGAGTACACATTACTACATTATTTAGTGTCTCTGCCTTTCGGTGTCTTCAGTCCATCGGCAATCTCAGCTGGAATCGAAGTTTGGACTTGGGTTATTGCGGAAAAACTTGCTTTGGAAGTTGCTCTCATGGCAGAAATATTATCTTCGTGGTTTGACAGTGTTAGGGAACGGAAAGGAATCTTCTCGACTTCATACAAGTTAGTTCAATCCACTTTATTATGCTAGTAACCTGACAAACGCCTTGGTACAGTTATAACGACCCTTTCTTTCATCCAATAAGCTACAGTCCTACTGATAAGGAAGAGATTGATCGCGCGACGACGCACGCTCACCGCCTTCTGTTTCCTCACACTCTTATCTTGCAAATGCTATTTAGCCGTCTACAAGCGGCCAGATACTGCAGGCCGACTGTGATGTTCCTGATTCAACGTTTAGTGCTACGTTCGGCTAGTACTCCAAAACTATTCAGGCAAGTCGTACTACACAGTTAACGGCGCATCGTGGTGACTTTATTCTACAGCACCCATCCTCTTGCTCGAGAACTACGCTACTCTTTTCTTCTCTTCGGATTTGAAACGCTGAGAAGCTCTCATTTGGATGCTTTCTGTGAATGCCTCTTACGAGAGAGTCTCTATCAAACAGCCTATTCTTGGTTTGCTGTTCGTCCACAGTAAGTTGCATGCAATAGCATTGTGTTTCTCCCTAACCTCACCATTGAAGATGGTCATATGGTGCAAACCGGGTGCAAATAGATGCAGATATCAAGGTTTTATCAGAATTCTTGTCGTACTTGCAGAGTGATCTTGTGCGAGGTACGGTTACGCTATCAAGTTTATCCCCAGCCCAATCTGCATCTCGGACATCCGGTGAGCTTTATCTCAGCAGAAAGAAATATCAAAGGCTTATCTGACACGTTATAGCTTATGTTTCTCGCCTCAAGAACATAAATCAACCTTTGAGACTTCTCGTTGAAAATGAGATCTTTAAACTAACTGTTTGGGCCAATCCCAGTAGCGATGCTAAAAGAGGGACCGATCCTTCTGGAACGGTTGAGCGTAGTATACTAGAGGTAAGTTCATATGCCTTGTGGTGGACACATGATTCACTAAACCAATTCAGAGTTCCTGGCCGGCGCTTATCAGGACAGTATGGGAAGTTGATCCCTCTGTCGCAATTTATATGACCGAGCGTTTCAAAAGTCTCGCCGCCCAAGGGGAAGTGGGGAAGCTTGTTCGCTCCAATACCTCTGAAATTCTACACATACCAGAAGCATTACGGTTCTTGCTTGGAGATAGGTTGGAAGGAAATGCTCGACGAGAACTCAAAGTATGGACACTTCAAATCTCCAAATGTGTTGCTTTGTTGATATACCAAATTTTTCAGCACCTCCTTATTTGGGCACCTGTCCCTCCGGTTATCGCAGTGACCTTTTTTGAGAGACGTTACAACAACGACCCTCTGATTCTGCAATATGCACATCGGGTTTTGAAACAACATCCTGTGGATTTAACATTCTTTTTTGTCCCACAGGTCGTGCAGGCTTTGCGACACGACGACCTTGGTAATCTCGCCTCTATGCGCAGTGGTTGTACATATTGACTGATATTCTCCAGGTTACGTGGCTAGATTCATTTTCGAAACTGCAAGGATTTCCCAGTTGTTCTGTCACCAAATTATATGGAATATGAAGGCCAACTGCTACAAGGATGATGTTGCAGAGATCGTAAGCCTTCGTTGACGTGATCCAGTGCAACACTAACGCTGTATGCAGGAAGATCCCATGAAGCCAGCCTTGGACGAGATGACCGACATGGTAGTCAACTCGTTGTCTGGTGAGGCCAGGTTATTCTATGATCGCGAATTTGGATTTTTCCACGAAGTCACTTCGATATCTGGAAAATTGAGGCCTTTTATAAAGAAAACCAAGCCAGAAAAGAAGGTATGCAAGACAAAGAAATAATTTAGATGAGTTACCCATCACGCTTGCTTGTAGGCCAAGATCGACGAAGAAATGGCGAAGATCCCTGTTGATGTTGGAGTATACCTTCCCAGTAATCCAGATGGAAAAGTTGTCGACATTGATAAGAAATCTGGTCGTCCTTTACAAAGTCACGCGAAGGTAATTGATTCACTGTCTCACTCTTTCACGCTAACGAGGTTTGCATAGGCTCCATTCATGGCAACGTTCAAGGTTAGAAAGGAGCGTGTCACTATCGCTTCAGATCCTGAATTGCTCCTGGATGGCGTTGGTGAGGAGACGCGTGAGGAATACGATGTCTGGCAACAAGCTATTTTCAAAGTAGGAGACGATTGTCGGCAGGACGTCCTTGCGCTACAGGTCATCGCGATGTTCAAGAACATATTCACAAGCGTTGGCTTGACATTATATCTTTATCCGTACAGGGTCACTGCCACTGCTCCTGGTGTATGCTTCCAAAAACTCTTAGGTTGGATAGCTCACTGACCTCTTTGTATAGTGTGGAGTCATCGACGTAGTACCTAATTCAACATCACGAGATGAGATGGGACGCGCGAAGGTCAACGACTTACTGGATTTCTTCATAGCTAAATATGGTGGTGAAGAGACTGTTGCCTTTCAACGAGCTCGCCTCAACTTTATACAATCAATGGCTGCATATTCTGTTGCTTGTTACATACTGCAAATCAAGGATAGACACAACGGAAACATTATGATTGACGGTGAAGGTCATATTGTGCATATCGGTAAGCACCTCCGACTTGGTATTGCACTGCTCGAGCCTAACTGTGTGTTTGCAATAGACTTTGGCTTCCTTTTTGACATAGATAAGTGTGTTTTTGCATTGGCTTTATTCATAGACTGATGACTTTCCGCCATTCCTCTACGGCCCGGAGTAAGTTGCATTCGTTGTTTACTTTGAGGTCATTGACACATATTTTGCTTGATGTTAGGGTGTCAAATTCGAGCCGAATTCTTTCAAGCTTAACCATGAAATGGTACTTCTAATGGGCGGACGATACTCTCAGGGCTACGAGCTATTCCAGCACCTGACAGTGAAAGCGTTTTTGGCCATACGGCCTCATGCCGACCAGTTGATCAGTACCGTGCAGCTGATGCTTGGAACTGGTCTTCCGTCCTTCAAAGGCGAACCGACAATCAAGAGGCTCAAAGACCGTTTTGCACTCGGTCTGAATGATCGACAGGCAGCTGAATGGATGATGGGTGTCATTCGAAACGCTCATGAAAACGTCCGCAGTACTGCATATGACGAGTTTCAAAGGGTGAGGCTTGATATCATTATGCTACATATCTTGTTAACCGCTTTTCACAGTTACAAAACGGTTCGTTTGAAGATTATTGGTACCTTCTGTCTTTATACTAATTGTCTTTTAGGTATCCCATACAAGTGAAGACCCCACAAGTGTATTTGCAGGTATCCGTTTGGATTATTGGGTACCACTGCCAGCGTCTGGCATATAATATCGCTTACCACTACGTATACTTGCTACTATCAACTATCAGTTCAATGTCTCCGATTCAGCGTGACTTGTCCGAATTTGGGATTAAGCATGCATTAAAATCATGAAATACTTGACTATCAAAATAGCCTGTGGTACTCTCTGCCTGAGGAGCGCTGTAAACCCTTCTGTGACATGAATCCCTTATATAGCAAGCTTGGTTCTAAGTCGGAACGCGCTTGCCCAGATAGACCTTTCAGTTACCCACGAAGGGTCCCTGGAACGCGACTGGAACGTGTCCGGATCTTTGAGTCACCATGATCATGCTACTCGTTATCGATAAACGAAATATATAAACAGCCACTGACCTGTCCTAGGACCCTATTGTTCTGAGACCCCGTCAGACTACGAAAACATGGAATTCGACATTAGGAATATTGGCTTCGAGGAGAACGAGTGGAGTGTCACGAAGGCCATCTCTGATGTGCTGCATACATACCCAGGTCCTTTTGTGTCTGACCCAACCCAGCGCCCACTCAACTTCAAAGTTACACTCAACAAGGGTCACAGTGGCGTTCGCAACGACGGCTCTGGCACACTCACATTACCCTCTCGAGACTTTGGCCGGCAGTTTATCAAATGGCAAAAGGATTCAGAATGCAATCGCATACGAGTTAGCGGCGTTCCCCTCAAGTTTTTCCCCAACAAGACCATTGTTGGGCGAGGACTTATGATGACTTTGGAGAAGGCCCCATACATCGACCCGACTATAGACCAGGAGCGACAGCAAAGGATATGGGCTCTGTATCCTGCATTTCGAATAGCAACACTTCAAATAGGTATGGACTTCTAACACTTTGTGGCGTCATTGCCACCTTATGCCAGTGCATAATCGATAGGTACATATTATCGCAAATACACATCTTCACCCACGGCTCCTCGTGCATTCTCTATCGAATGGGAACGGCATTACACAAAGCAAGGCCTTGCTTGGTTAAGCTTCAACTACGATCACAAGGCATTCCACATCAAGGTAGGAACTGCCTCGATCATTTAAATTTACCAAACACTAATACTGTCTTGTATGCAGCTCGGTGATCCTATGAAGCATGTCGTTGAACACAATGTAACAGTGAAGTTCTCTAGTATCAACAAACTGGCTATTGGGTATGATTACGGAAATCAATGTAATTATCTACTCGCATATCTATAATTTACATTGACATATTACTTTTAACAGTTATTTGTTTCGATTTGTTGACACCGCCAGATTTTGAAGAAACAGACATTCACAGATCGTCCGAAGGGGACGAAAAAAAGGCTAATGATAAGACTCGCCGCCGTGTTAGCGCTTTGCATCCTGGTCATGCAGCCATTGCTCCCTATGCTCATCATCTTCGCGTTATTCTGTCAGAAGATGGCGACTTAGAACGATTCGAACAGTTCTGCAGAGTGGCAGAACTCAGACGCCCGATCAAGGGCGTTAATATTGAAGCTAGTGGGCAGGCTTTTTTTTCGAGCAAATATATCGCCAAGGTGAACAGATGGCTCCGAGGACTAGATTGGCTTGTGGCATTTCAAGTGGAGGCTCTTCTTCATAATGGTCTTTTAAGCACGGTGGAACTTGACGATCTTCGTGCACCTATCGATAGACTTGTTCAGGAGCATCGAAAGCTTGCCGGAGAGATACTCCGCTATTTCACCGAAGCACTTGCCTCGCGTTCCCCGAACGAGACACCTAGGCAATGTTTTGACCTGGTGCGACACAGTAAACTGAAATCAAAGCTACGCACTTCCCCACAAGGCCGATTTTTTTGTCATCATGTTACGTTTACGCCGACACGTATGCTATTAGAGGGTCCTTACATCATTCAGTCCAATCGAGTTATTCGGAACTATGAAGGTTATGAAGATCACTTCATTCGCGTGGATTTCCGCGATGAAGATCGCCTCAATTATCGATGGAATCGTGAACTTGACGCATTGGCATTTCTCGAACCCCGCGTAGGCGGCATTCTGAAAAACGGGTTCGAGCTTGCAGGAAGAGATTTTGAATTCTTGGCGTATTCCTCGTCAGCATTGCGTGAGCACGCTGTATGGTTCGTGAATCCCTTCAGCCATCCAACAGAAGGATGGGTGACATCTGAAAGCATAAGAAGTGGCCTTGGCGATTTCTCGGGTGTGATTTTCCATCCTTCCAAATACGCAGCTCGCATGGCAGTATGTGCCCCGAATCCTTCTTGTTGTCTTGCGCTTATTCCTCTTTAGCAAGCCTTTTCTGCAACTGACCCGTCTGTCAAAATCCATAAATCTCAATGGCGAGAAATTCCTGACCTGGGAGATGAAACAACATGTTTCACGGATGGTGTTGGGACTATTTCAAGGGAATTAGGCGATATGATTTGGGGAGCGCTATGTGAAGCTCGACGAGATCATGGGGAACATACCATCAAGCCTTCAGCGGTCAGTCAAGATTGCCTTCATTATTCTCTTAGCCTCATAAAAGCACGATGATACAACAGTATCAGATTCGTTTCTTAGGATACAAAGGGATGGTTGCCATCGATGCACAATTAACGGGCGTCCAGATGTGTTTGCGTCCTTCCATGAACAAGTTCTTAGGAAAAGAAACAGAATATGCTGAAATTGAGATTGCCCGCGCATTTGAAAGGCCAAATCTGCCTCACCTCAATAGGTACGTTGCACTGGCCTAGCGTTATCTCAATTCCCTCTAACCTGAAGCAGGCCTTTGGTTATGGTTTTAGAGGATCGTGGAGCTAAGAGAGATAGCTTTGTAAAACTTCAGGACGAAGTTATAGCCGAGACAAGGATGGCGAACGACTCGATCGAGCGCTTCCGCAGCCTTTTGGAAGAACATAACTTGGGCCACAATTTCCGTCTATCTCCAATTCTCCAGCAACTCAATGCTTTGGGTCTGGAACTCAAAGCAGATCAAACTAAAGAGGCCATGGACAGTCCTTTCTTGGCTCAAACACGATCATGCGCTATCAACCATGTCTTACGCAGCGTGAAGCACGAAGCACGAATACAAATACCCAAAAGCTATATGCTTGTAGGAGTCGCTGATGAGGGTCCCGCATATGTCAATGCTGGCCGAGACAACGTTTTCTGCCTTCCTGAAGGCAAAATTTATGGTTCGTCTTTATGAAGGTAGTCTCATGGTCTATGTTCTGATATCTGCAAATTTTAGCTTGCGTTCAAAAACCAGGGGACATGGAGCCAATCTGGCTAGAAGGGCTTTGTGTCATATCAAGGAGTCCTGTCATTCATCCGGGCGATGGTGAGTTCAAGGCGCGAACCTTGGGCAGCAACGCTTAGACCATTTTAGTTCAGCGTGTATATGCCATTGGTAAACCACCGGCGAACAAGTTATGTCTATTTTCTCACTTGAAAAACGTTGTGGTATTACCCTCCGTTGGTATGATATTAAATTTTAGCTATCAACCCAGGAATAAGCTAATCTGGTCCATCAGGTGCCCGCTCACTAGCTTCATGTCTTGGTGGTGGTGACTTGGACGGGTAAGTCTAGTATTGTCCGTAAATATGATAGTTGGCTGAAACATATCTATATCTTACAGAGATCTTTATGAAGTTATACAGCACAGTCCATTCCTAGTTACTGAGCACCATGACCCTGCGGAATACCCTGCGGGAAGCATATTTACACTCGACAGGCCTAGCACTATTGAGGATGTCTGTGACTTCGTGGTGGAATATATTCATTCAGACGTTGTGGTAGGCCTGATTCATATAAAGCACTGGATTACAATCTCAGTCTGTTTTTAGGGTCTCGTCTCTGACAAGCACATCGTGATTGCAGGTGAGTACACTTAAGTTCTGAAATATTAATTCTCGTACTTAATATGTTAACAGATCAATCCAAGGTATTATATCTTCTGTATTCTTTTTGGCAATAACTGAATCGCTTCCGGTGTAAAGCATGGCACCCTAGATCAAAATTGTCTCAAGCTCAGTGCATTGCACAGTCAAGCTGTTGATTATCCAAAGAACGGCATCAAGGTTGACATATCATTTCTCCCTCGCTCACTCATCCCATACAAGCCCGATTGGCATGCTGCGGAAGTGGATTCACCCCGAAAGACAGACTATTACGAGTCCAGTCGCGCTCTTGGCTACCTATACCGGAATATCACACTTGAAGATCTTCCTACTTCGGTCCCGCGCAAACCGTATGAACCCCTAGACGACCCTATCTCGAAGGTTCTCAAGCCTCGTGTGAAACGGCAAACACCTGGATACACTGACCCAGACGGCGAAAGTAGCGAGATGGAAACTATATTCCAGACATACAGAGATGAGCTCAATTATATCTCCGTGACACACTCCCTTACGAATATTCCTGGCGCTCGCCTACGCGAAGATGAAATTGTCGTTGGTACTATCCTGTCTAAATGCTCCCAAAAAAGATGGAGGAGCGACCGCATGTATCGCATGAAGGCACACGCCTCATTCCTTGCACATGAGACAAGGCGCGACATACGACTATTGGATACTTTGGAGGACGCGTCCGAAGGTGATATACGAAAAGCTCTCTTACGAGCTTGGACGGCTTGGGATCTCAGCCTGAGGAAAAGTGACCCCGGACCTGATGAAGCCCATTGTTTTGGTGCACATAGTTTTGGGCTTATTGCTTTGGGTATCGTACTAGATTGTCTTGAGAAACTTGGCAGCCTATAAATGTTGGTTCGTACCTACGAGATAAATACCCTCGCTGACTTCTCGTAGATTGAATTCTGTCATAGCATCGTATGCATCCATGTACTTTTCTGTCTAGTGACGTCATCACGTGATTCGTACACAATGGATATTTTCTTGTTCCGCGACTTATCCGCGACCAATTCTGCATGAACATTTGGGATCTTGAAGTTGCTCTTGTAGAAACTAGCCAGCCCCCCTAATCTTCTAGTTTTTCCCAGAATAAAATCATTTCCACAATCACGGAAGGAACTCGTTGAAGAGGGAGTATCGCGTATTTTCGAAGGTAAGGAACCGTAGCAAGTCGTAATCATCCCTATTTCTACTCACAAGTCGCGTTTACTGGTCTTTGACAATTATAGACCTGAAAACCACACTGTATAATATACGAACTTATATACCATGAAAGTAAAAGACACTGGAAGACATGGCAGACAGCGTCACGATGACACCGAAGAGTGAGACTTATTTAATCAACCCAGGTCTCCTCAGCTAGCTGAAACCTCTTATTGGACGCTAACCAGTGCTGAACGAGGGCGAAATAGTAAGTGATATATCTAACACTACGAATTCGTAGCATATATAAGTACGCTTAGAGGAAAAGTCAAGAGCATCGTCGACTCGAACCGGTCTTTCTTTTCACGGGAAGACTGAGGGCTTGTTTTCGAAGGCTAGAGAAAATGCGGTGATCCTCACGAAAGATATCGATGTATATGCGTATGTCTCTCTTCGCTCACTTTTTCTAGTCCTTGACATAGCAAATTTTATCATTTCAGCGATCAGATACATGCCACCATAGAGAAACTATTTGACCTTCATAGCGCATCGCAAAAGAACATTGATGAATTGATGACTCACTTCAAACTCCTCAATGTGTGTATGTAGATCTGGGACTGGTGTCACATATATTGAATAAGGCTCCAGGAATCTTTTGAGTCTCAACTCAGCATATACCCCCACTTTTCGGAAGACGTAGTTTCCAGGAGAATTGCACAGAGCGATGCTGCATATTACACACGTAAGTTCTCAATAGCAAACCCTGCATTAATATAACTGTGGCCTTCATTAGTACAAGCACAATCGGCGGAAAATCGGAAGTCCAGAATGAAGTTGATGAAGAATACCAAAGATCGCATGGATGAGAGCAAAGAGAGACAGTCAGTGCGTAATAATTCGATCATGTTACCTCTGTTGGCTTTGCTTATATGCGCCAAAATGACATAACACAGCTTGCGGTGGACGCGTCAGCACTCATCAAACATTACAAGTCTTTGCTCATAGTTTCTAAGTAATGCACTCACCGTTCTCGCAGTTTACGCGCCTTTGCCATGCAAAATTGTTTGTTTCGTCCTGCAACACAATAACCTTATTGTACACTTTGCTACTGATAGATATCCGTGCGTGATGTTTCAAGATGAAGTGCATTTTCCGGGCCAGGCACAAGGTATCTATTAACTCGTTGCGGAGACATCTATTCCGGGATGCACGACCACGTTTGACTATCTAAAGTTCCAACTACTAGTCGGGTGAAGTCAATTTACAAATCCACACCAGCGAAAGTAGCATTATCTCACAAGCTCGGCGTTCGAACGTTGAAGTCGTTCGTGCGTTGGTGGGGATTCTGAGTTTTCCGGAAGCAGATTCAGGTATTCTGCCAAGAAGACGCGTAGGATGAGATTCCAGCGGCCCATAGTAGGAATGTCCAAGGCGGACGCATCATCCTAAGGATACGAAGGTAGAACGTTAGCTACGGTTACCAACGTGCGGTGTTCTTCATTACGCACTTTGAGAGCATGCCATACAGAAGGAAATGGATAAGCTATTACATGCAAAATGTTGACTCCTTTGTGGAGAAATGGAATATGATCGTCTCCAATATAGCCATAGTTAAACTCGCTTCCAGTTCGAGGTATGAAAAAACTTGGCAATGAGCTAGCACCATCTTCAACCATCTGGAAAGCTCCAGATTCTGCCAATCTTTGTTCAGCGGAAACCATGGCGTCGAACAGCCATGCAGTGTCAAGGAAGTAGGAGCGAATTGAAGGTTTTGAGGCACCCAGGAGGTCGAGCAGAATCAGATGCTCAATTGTTGATATTTCTGTAGAGGTTGCATGGCCCATTAGGCGCCGCTTAGTATTGGGAGGGATATAAGTCGAAGACCATTTTTCTGCGAGATGTCTAGTGGAGAATAGTCGGTCATTGGTTTGTGCATAAACGTGATTCAGAATATATTACCGTGCACCATAGACCGAATCAGTATCGGTCCAAGTCATGAAAGCTTCTTCTCCATCAAAGAAGACTAACTGTAGAGTGGTGTCAGCAATATCTTCATCGTCTTCAAGCCCTTCTTCCAATCTAACTTGGCGACTTTCGAGCAGTGGATTGAGGGCCTCTGCCACGTCAAGCATCATGGCACATGGTGCAGCAGAATCCGTGGCCCCTACAAACTGGTACGTGTCAATAAAGATACAAAATATATCAGCACTTGGGGGTAAATGAACGTCAGCTGCACCTGGTTTTCAGGGTATTTTGGAAAGTATTTACTGTCATAATGTGCAGATAATATGACGCGTCGTGAAGCAGAAGGGTTCTTCGTAGCAATAATATTGGTGAACGTCATTGGTCCGAGCGGCGTATTGTCAGTAAATCTATCCTCTTCGACGTGCCAGTTAAGAGACTTCAGCGCTGAAACTATGTGTCCGCGCACGGAAGTGCTATTCTCTGTTCCAACTGAAGACGGATATAGGACAACAAGAATGAACGAGACCCGGGTTTACAGAACAGGGTCTACAACGCACCTACTCGAGGTATAAGTATCTTGGATAGATGCGAATCAGGATTTCTGGTGTCCACATTTTTCAGCGGGTCTACAGAAGATACGAGAGCCAAGATTTGTGCGGAGGAGAGGGGTGAGAATTCTCGAATTCCTAATGCAGAGCGTTGTAGGGAAAATGCAGGCAATGATAACAAGAAGAGGAATCCCAGAAAGATATAATGTCGACAACAGTAATGCAGTAGCATCATTGCCATCTGGTGCCCTCAGCTCTTGGCCGCCAGCACGGAGAATCAGAATACGGCGCACCTCCGTAACCGCAGCGGGGGTCGCCGGCGGTTGAGTGTCGGGAACACGCGACGATGAATCCTGCGCTTAGTACTTCTGACTTTCATGGCCGTCTTTGGCCTCTGGGTACATACAATTTCTGCTACTTTTCTGGACATGGTTGTCCATTCTGATTCACGCCTTTAGGTGATTAACAAAGCAGGAGGGCTTGTCTATCAGCGTAATTTCGCAGGTATATTCCAGTTTGATTATACACTTCCACTTGCGATTAACGCATTCTTTGCATGCAGATGGACTCGCTCAATTGACATCCAACGAATATTTAGTACTTTCAGGAACACTTCATGGTATTCATGCCATCACAAGTCGGTTGTCGCCCACGGGCTCTAGTTCTGGTGCACAAGTTATTGAAGGGGAATCATTCAAGATGACCATTCTTTTGACAGCTACTGGTATGCATGGCCACTATAACAGAATGTTTCAAATTATAACTGGCTTTGGAAGGGACGAAATTTGTGTTATTAACTTCCCTTGCCGAACCGACCGCCGATACTTTACTGCAGAAGATATATGAAGCTTATGCTGACTCAGTTATGAAGAACCCTTTTCACACTCCCGAAATGCCCATTCGAAGTGAAGGATTTGACTCACGGATAACTGCCCTCCTTGCATGATACTGTTGAAGGACGTGCTACATGGTACGTAGGAGAAGGCTTTTACTACCTGCTGTTCTCACAACTTCCAATTACAGCGTGCGGGGACACTACCGATCAGTTTCGAGATCGTCTTTATTCCCATTCTAGTGGCTATGGATTATATAGTATTGCTCTGAGTTATAGAGCTCGTTCAGGAAGAGGACCGGCAGTTAACTTCAAGATTTTCAATTTCTTGTGATGGTTATGTTGTGTGAGCTGCTGCGTGCTGTGGCCCACTGTATATTCCACCGATTGCTTCGCCTATACTCCGCTACGGGTGATGTACCCAATCCCTGTGGATCCATATGTCTATGTTCGAATGCATCAATTCTTTCACCGAGTAACAGTTAAGTGAACTCAAGAATCACGTGGTGCTGCACGTGCTATAAAATGTGACGCGACTGGGCGCGTAGCAGGAGATTTCTTTCCTCCTCCCCACCACCATTTCGGTTATCAACTCTCAAGACTTACCTACTAGGAATAATTATGCAAGCTCAAAGCATAGCTACACAGGTGACCGTTACTTATAGCAGTTTCATATCACAACTCACTTGTACCAGTCTCTGAGCTGTACTCAAAGCCTGTTATGTGTTGAAACATTACTCAAGGCGGGGATAGCCTGTGTAGCGTATTTGAGGTATAGACCAGTACATTTAATATAGCTACTGTGATAATCACATCTTCACTAGAGGTCTCCTTCCCCTTGAGAATTTCAGTGAATGTGAGTTCCATATTTCACAGAAGCTGACATCGTGATTTACTTCTTTATAGTCTATCTTGCGTCTGAAGTGAATGGCTCCCTATCATCTCGGCCATCGTCTTCATTTTCCATCGATGATCGTGCAAGGCGCACGCTCAGTGGGGTCTCCATTATGCATATCAATCGTGGATTTACAAACGAGGGTGACAGAATTATGGATTACTTGGTGAGTCTCTATATGCGCAAGTTTATCAACCTAGGTGCATATAGCCACCATTCCCCGCTTTCTCAGGAACATGGCATTTTTGATGCACTGCAGAAGCAATACCTGCGAAGATTCATATTCGCTATATACTTGGTAAGCTATATTCTGGAGGAGTCTCAACCAACGACATCTGATATACCTATCGCTGTGTGTGCTCAGGATAGCAAAGATCCCAACAAGTACGTGCTTATCATGTACGTTAGGCTGATAATGGCGAAGCTAACATCACTTCCACAGCATCATTGAGGCATATACCTTCAACTTTGATGTAAAAATTCAGGCATTGAAAGCCTATTGTCGTATTCTGAATATCAACCATATAGTATTATACAATAGCAGGAAGCAACGTCACTGTGCCAATCATGTCTTTGGGAGACCAGCTTTCAAATATGTCTCTAAAGGTCACTTCAAAATCAGCTGATCCATTGACTGAAGCTATCAAGGGAGGGAAGGTTCCCACACTTGGTGAAGTAAAGAAGAGTTTAAAAGTGCGTCTCGAGTCTCCCAAAGTTTGTGTTGTCATCCTAATTATGATCTTGAGATGATGATTAAGACTTTAGTCACAACGATTGCATCAATGGAGTCCTTACCTAGTAAGCCGCAGAATAGCACTTTTCTCGCTCAGTACTAATGTGTTTTAAGAGTGCCGCTATGGAAATTTCAAGCTTTTTTTCAACGAGAATACTCCTGACGATTATCAACCTAAGTATTTCCATGCTGGCGACGTTAACAAGGATAAATGGTTTTTTACAACACATCGTCGCAACGAGATACCCGAGAAGTGTAGTGTCGGGGATTTGCAAACAGGATGGCATGGGTATGTCTTAAGCTTTGCTCATCAGGTTTTAATATCGGTAACATGGTCTCTGGATGTACGTTTCATACAGCGTCAACTTGAAAGTAGTCTCCGTGTCCTCATACTTGCCTTCTTCTACTTCTATTGAAGATAACAATGTTTTGTTTACTGGAGTCACTTCCCAGTCGGCCCCACGGCTCACACCTGTCGAAGAGGCTGAGATTAGAGCTCAGGATGCAAAGCTACAAATGAAGGATGCTCTTGAACGCAACATCGTTTGGGACGCGGATGACGGGGAGGTAGACGCTGAAGGAGAGGAAGTGGGCGATGATTTGATAGTGCTAAATAGGATCACCAATGGTATATCCATGGTACCTATTGGCCTGCGAACTGAGTGCGGAGAAATTGCACCATTGGATACTGGTATCAATCTCTCATCTGGTCCAGTACAAGCGGAAGTGCAATTTAGTGGCCGGATAGAACATACACCCCGGCATGTGGGTGAACTAGTAAGTTAATAACTGTCCTTTGGTGCGCGAAAACAGCAATTCACATCATTATAGAAGTCCAAGTTGTCTGGAATGGAAATAGAACAGACTCAATTAATTTCGCCCATTGTTACACAAAAACCCACCTTTCGCTCAGGCAGCCCAATGGATCGTTCAATTGGTAGATCGTTACCACCTTCGGATATGGCTGAGTTTCGCAGTCGGCTATTTCTTCCCAGCAGGTCGACACTCAGTTGCTGAAAGACATGCTCAATAATCCGGACACTAGCTCTATAACCTTAGATGCAGAGATGCTAGGTTAGTAAACGCCTTTTCTTGCTCAGTATCCTGCGGACAGCACAGGGATTTATCAAAACTTGACCTGTCTCCTTATATAGATATGGAGACGCAGGTTGTACCTGATCTAGACCCCATCGAACCTTTTGAAAGTCAAGATAACGCAATGGATGAAATCACACCTGAACCGGAACTAAAATCGCTTAGAAAGAGAAAAGCAGAACCGGGGGGTGACAATGGTCGTCTAGACTGTGATTGCGGAATCTCGGCACGTCCTTCTTAGTTTCTAGAATTCTTCGGATTAATTATTTTTCACGTAGATGGAAGATGACGGGTGTTGCTTCTGTGAAGGTGGGTGCGAGCGTTGGTATCACGTTTGGTAGGTGCACATTTTATTGTTTGTCAGCACCTCTTTTCACCCTTAAAATCCGATGCCATCAGGTGTTTAGGGTGAGAAAAACCGATACATGAGACTATTATCAAGTGGTGATCAAATACAGGTATCACTCCCCGGATGATGTGCGCCTCCCATCTCAATTTGTTTGTTTTGACTGTCGCCTACGTGCGGGTCGAGACTGGGATATCATCGCCGGCAAACTACATACCGACATGATCACGCGATACAAGGACATCGCCCTCTTCAGGTCTTAAGTTTGAATCTTTTCGTCTGGCGTTTTTGCTCATGAATCTGTGGACAGGAGGGCTATCAAAACATTTGAAGTGTATAAACCTGTGACAGCCTTACAATTCAGGGAGCGTATTGGTTAGTAATCGACTGTCCACCTCTCACCTTTATCATGAGGTGATGGCTATTATAGGATGTGACCCGGGCCTCGCCAGTCAGTTGCTAACAAGGTTGGAAGTAGAAGGTATTACCAGGTCCAAGAATCAATTTTCAACTACTTAAAATCTGTGAATATCAGGTTTCGTAGCGACGGAATTGATAATCAAGGATGCCATCGGTTTCACGGCCACACGTTCACGTGCCAAAAAGACTAAACAAACTCCAAGGAGCAAGCCGCCGAAGAAAGAGCTGCAAAAAACTAGATATGCGTTCGTTCATACTTCGAAGAAGAGCCAAGCGTATTCGAATTACTTCGATCCACGCCCTGAAATTGAGAATTGGTTGATGGGTTTAACACAGGCGGTAAGTATTGATATACAAATCAGTGTCATTGACAGAAGATGGAATAGAGCTCCCTAGCACAAGGCAGGAGGACCAGATAAAAACGCGGAGAGAAACAGTACATGGTGCGCTCGAGATTGAATGAAAAGGAAAAGACAACTTATAACTTTTCTGTTATTTCCACGTTGAAGTTTTGGTATCAATACATCTGAACGCGAATCCTTTACTGCATCACCTCGAGCCAATGGTATAGACTCGCAGACACAAGAGGAAACGCAGGACTTCCTGGCCTTGACCGTTACGCGTAAATCTGAGGTAGAGCTCAGACGAAAGATAGTCATGGCAGCATCAGGGAAGGCAAAAAGGATCAAGGTCTCCCTCGGCTCTGGTGTCGATCTATGCGACTAGCAGCAGAAAGCTCCTGGACTGTCAGCCTTCTCTCTAATCATACAGTTCGACTGCGCGGCTTTTCGTTTTACTGCATCCCCCCAAGTTCCTTTTATCGCAGTGGTTACTCTTGGAATAAATGTCCGCGTGGTTGGTCATCTCCTGCGTAATTCTCCCTCAGGGCGTCTACTCTTCTGTGGGAGTCTTGCCATTCGTCAGTGGTTCAAGCTTGATTCGCGGCTCCATCCGCTCACTTCAAAGCCGACTTATTGGGGTATTCTTCTCGCGATCTTTTCCATGAAATCATGTAATTCCAGCCCAGCCTCCTGGCAGCTGGTGCTATCATTGTTACAAGTTTGTCAAATGAAAAATGCTTTTGCGGGGTGAATAAATATGCGTCTATATAACAAGAGCCCCATTGACCAGATTGTTAGTAATATCACAGTGAACTATTGATACGAGGTTACTTATGCATAATGGCTTGGATCAGTCTTGCAAACTTTGTACTCCTGTGACTTGCTGTTTGTGACTTGTGGGGGCGTTTAGCTACAACTTCGGATCACCTAGGTTGAAGATGAAGGGCCTAGTACAGTATCTGTCGATGGTGTCCAATGATTCTGGACTGAACTGATCGACGATTCTAGACATGCAACTGTAACGTAACGAAACAAATTCCAGTGAGTCTGATAGTTTCTTGTGGCGGCGGTTGTGAAGATTACGGCACATCGAGTCAGTGAATTCACGCAAAGAGAAAACTTATGTCTTGGCATTACTCTGTTTGATACATAGCTTCCCTCGGCTGAGCCAAGGAATGTTGACAGTCCCCATAGTGTCACCCCGGGAAACCGAGTGTTAAGTTCAATAGTATCGGTCTATATGTGAGTGGGGCATAAGCTTAGATTGTAACGATTTGCTGAAGCCTGACGCCGCCAAAGGTGCCGCAGACCGACATGCATTTCTAGCTGTGTATTCTACCAGAACCAGAATAGCATGCGATTCAACTGTCTTGACCTAAATAGGTTAGTATGAACCTCAGCTGCTATCTAACAACTCTCAGGCCGCTCCATAGTGATGCCTAACAAAGTATTTCCCAGGATCCAAAGCTGAAATCTCCGCACGAACGACGACAATCACCGGTCAAAAAATGTATATACCGGCTCATACTCCGAGTTTGCAGCTTATTGCAAATGTGGGATAGAATATGAGTGTCACAGTCTCTTTCAAGAAATGCTATACGGCAGTTCATGGGTATACCTGCGAAGGCTGGGCCAAGTATTGCAAATACTCAAGAAATTGATCTACGCCTGCCTCCTCTTGGTAGTGGCGTTTCCCTTGAACTTTTCTGCATGAGAACCAAACGCAAAAATCCAGGTCCGATATGGTACGGTTTCTCTGGCGCCGCAGCTGATACCCTTTTTGCTAATCTCCTTGGCTGTAGAGTGTTCCCCCCTTTGCCTGTCTGAGCCACGGTGCGGATCACAAAAAATGGGACCTGGTATTTATTGGCACGTCGTAGGGGGACCACGATAGAAAATGCTGCGAGGCACGTTATCCCGATTCAATATGACATTGTACGGACTATCAAAGCTGTGGGCCCGGTATGTACTTAGTACTAAATCTTGACTCTATTTGTATGTAATAGGATACTAATCAAGACCCATTACAGTAAGTATACCACGTCAGCTGTACCCTTGATCTGATGGTGGTTGTGGGTCATGGCTGAGCATGTGGCCTCCAGCGCTTGAATAGTATCTTGGACCCAAGGCGTATGGAGTTGCCAAGGTCAGCAAACAGCTTACAATGCTCTGCAAATTGAAACTGATATTTATACCGCAACGGGTATGAGGAAATACTGCTTACGCCTCGTCTTATCCATACATTACTGTGACAAGTGTGGCTCCACATGTATGTATGAGCACTTTTTATTTAGTCGAGTATATAATCCCAAAGATTCTCCGCTAAGAGAAGTAGTCCAAGTCTGCACATTTTTAGAAGTTACTCGTGGCCCACCTTTGTTGCCATTCTACGAGCGCCTATCGAAGACCTGTGGAAGCGGTGAGAAAGTATAAGTGACTCACCATGGTCTGCCCAGTCCGATGATTGTGGAGCCATCGAAGCAGTGTGGTACGTCGAGCCAGGTTGGTCCAGAATATTTGCATGGAGGTTCCAGCACCGATTCACGTTAGCATCAAGCTTAACGTTCTTGCACCGCCGGCTGTAGCGGGGAAGCCTGCCCTGAAGCGAAAGTGATTACAAAAAAGAATTCTGACCTGTATGTTCTGCATCCCCTCGCGATCTTAACTTTTGTCGTACTGTCTTTTTTCAGAGTCGATGAACTGGATGGTGGGGCCCTCGCAGGAGATGAAGTAATGGTGCAAGGCATAGACTACACCTCCGTATCTCCCTGCAGCTGCTATCTACGGCTGTGGGGCTCGTTAGAGTGGTGCACATTTTCGTAACATGGAACCTTTGATTGAGCGCTTTTGCGTTGTTCTGTATGTAGAGTGAATTGCAATTGGGCCTGACGCTGTCAGGTGAATCGTACCGGGTGTTGTCGAGAATGAATGGTCTAGGGATGATAATAATGGAACTGGAAACACTGGATTGGATACTAAAAGGGATAAGCAAAGGATGGCCTTCACGTACGATACCGCGGCTGCCACTTGGACTGTTCTAGCCTTTTTCATGTCGGAACTCCAAGTTTCTTAAGTACTTTGCTTCGCCACCCGTTCCCCGTTTCCTGGCCTTTGTGTTCTTGAACTCTTGCCTTATTTCTTGACTCTGGTCCCCTTCGTAACAGGCTTGTCCTCTTACCCTCACCCCATCCTTCCCCGTCCAATGCCGTACAAGCTCTCCGCTACTTTATCAGCTCACTCATCAGATGTCCGTCTCTTGTACGACTCACAGGTACATCCCATGTCTAAACCTTCTGTCATAGGTTCGAGCCGTAGCGTCCCCAACAAATACTCTCGTTCTATCTGCTTCCCGGGATTCAACAGCGATATCCTGGTTCAGATCATCGTCTTCCTCGCCTTTCGCTCCAGCTGCCATCCTGAAGGCGGGGACGAGATATGTCAATGCAGTAGCATATATCCAACCATCACCAGACGCCCCGCAAGGTGAGGTCTCGAAATCCATAGCATCGCGCATCTATGGCCGTTTATTAAGCTGTTGGATCAGGATATGCGGTTGTGGGAGGGCAAGACACGGTTATCAACATATTTTCCCTCGACTCGCCCAACCACGAAGATCCTCAGTTTTCTCTTCTAGGCCATACAGACAATGTCTGCGCTTTAGATGTATCAACTCAAGGCACAATCATTTCGGGTTCTTGGGATAGGTGTGTTTTATCATTTTGAAAGCCCTTTATTATCGTACGAACCAGCCTTTGTAGAACTGCCAAAGTATGGAAGAATTATCAATTACAATATGACCTAACAGGACATCAACAATCCGTATGGGCAGTTCTTGCTATCGATGAGCAGCAATTTTTGACAGGTGAGCTGCGATCTATCTCGGGTTAGCTCGTTTCATCGACATGAATAACTAATCGCCTTCTTGTTACAGCGTCCGCTGACAAAACCATTAAATTCTGGATTCAACACAAAGTGATGCGGACTTACCAAGGACACAAAGATGCGGTTCGTGGCTTGGCTTTAATACCTGACATTGGCTTTGCCTCCTGTTCCAACGATAGGTATCTCGATCATCACTTCCTTGACCAACATCAGATGACTTGATGCGATTACCAGTGAAATTCGCGTTTGGACGATGGAAGGCGATGTTGTGTATTCTCTTTCGGGCCATACTTCTTTCGTGTACAGTCTTTCGGTGTTGCCCAGCGGCGATATCGTTTCCGGAGGGGAAGATCGCACGGTTCGGGTTTGGCGTGGTACGTGTCCCACTCAATCTGTTTTCTTCCTTCCTATTCCCCCCTTTGTAAAAAATTAACGCGGGTTCCTAGACGGTGAATGTACTCAGACGATTGTTCATCCCGCTATATCAGTGTGGGCTGTGTCTACCATGTCAAACGGTGATATAGTGAGCGGATGTAGCGATGGTGTCGTTAGAGTATTCAGCGAGTCTGAGGATCGATGGGTGGGCGCTGAGGACATGAAAATATATGAAGACCAAGTTGCTAGTCAAGCCCTACCATCTCAGCAAGTCGGAGATGTGAAAAAGACCGATTTGCCTGGCCCAGAAGCTCTCAACAGTCCTGGTAAGAAGTCGGGTGAAGTGAAAATGATAAAGAACGGGGACATTGTCGAGGCACATCAGGTAAGTAATTATATTGGTATAACTGCCGATGATGTGTTCACGACATACAGTGGGACAGCTCTTCTGGCACCTGGCAGAAAATCGGTGACGTTGTTGACGCCGTTGGTTCCGGGCGCAAACAACTTCATGAAGGCAAGGAATATGACTACGTTTTTGATGTTGACATCCAGGATGGTGTCCCCCCTTTGAAGCTGCCCTTTGATGTCACAGGTGCTGTTCTTATCTTAATTGAAATCGAAAATCTGTCTATTAACAAAATTGACCACGTATAGACAATCCGTACGCTGCCGCACAACGTTTTCTCGAGCGTAATGAGCTGTCGCTAAACTATATTGATGAGGTTGTCCGCTTTATTGAGAAGAACACGGCGGGAGTAAATCTTGGAAGTGGTGGAAATGAATACGTTGATCCTTATACCGGTAAGGATAATCTCAGCGTGTTTCGTCTCCATGTTTACCTAGAGTGCAGGTGCATCCAGATACCAGGGTTCGGCGGCTCCTGTTCCTACTGCTGCACCGCCTTCCTCGTATATGGATCCGTTCACAGGAGCGTCGCGATACAGTGGTGCCCCTGAGCCTTCTGTGCATGTGCCTGCACCCCCACCATCGTTACCTGTCCCAAACATCATTCCGTTTGTGCGTCCGTTGGCACTACATACATTATCGTGTTACTGACTTCTAGTACAGACTAAATTTGTATCTTTTAAACAGGCTAATGTCTCAGCCATGCAAATGAAATTGTATCAGTTTGATGAAGCATTGCGGCACGAGATAGTGAGTCGACTTCTCACTGCCTCCCATTAACCTCATAGTTATGTTTACTCTTCCTAATGCAGTCGACAGCATCTCTCGCGATGTATCCTGAAGAACACATGATGATTGACGAAGCGTTTACGTATCTCTCTCAAGCGATATCATCGCCCACACGACCCTCTTCTGCCCTGGGATCCCCCCACGTTGAAGCAATAATACAAATTCTAGACAGATGGCCTGCTTCTCAGCGTTTTCCTGGTACGGATAACATACTGTCTACTTGGTATTCCAGAAATTGACGATATGTTCTTAGTGATGGATTTGAGTCGTCTAGTAACTGCATTCTGCGCCAATGCGGCTGCGGCTCCAGGTGGACGGGAGAGATTCTTTGAATGCTTATGCAAGGCTTCTGACTGGACGGACGTTCAACGTACGAAGCCCTTTTCGAAAGCACAAGAGATCAACATGTTATTACTATTCCGCACGCTAGCAAATGCCTTTCAGGAAGGTACACCAATTGCCGACGGGCGGTGGGTCCCTCAGGTAGGGTATATAGACAACGATTTCCGTGGATAAATGTTGAACAACCATCATTGTGCCCTAGGTTTTCGAAGCACTGAGCCAAGCACCTTACAACTTCTTAACGAAGCCGCAGCGCGTGGCTCTAGCCACTATCTTGTTCAAGTTCGTCGTTCAAACATTTACCGTGGCCATAAAGATGACAGATATCTTCCTTCAGCTTCTCTTGTGCATATTTGCAGACACCGGTTGCGACAACCGTGCGGACGCAACATCTGTCCTTGATCCTACAGGTAAGCCCTTAGCACGTGCTTCACTACGCCCAGTAACCCATTTCACAGTTGCTGCGGTCGGGTAATAATGACTCGGAGGTCGTCTACCGCTCCTTGGTTGCACTTGGCAACGTGGTCAGTTTTCTTCTGGGTGATTAGCTTATCTAGACATGTCCTGATGGTTTTTCTCGACCCTTTAGGCATACGGCGCAAAGAAGCATAATGCCAGTATTGACTCCACCCAATCACAAGAACTGAAACAATACGTCGCTGGGGTCCCTCAAGCTTTCCCGGAGGACAGGATCAAGAATGTCGTCTCAGAGATCGTCGGACTTCTATAATGCGACCCCAAATTCAAAGTACCATCTTGACGATCAAAATTCATAGTCGAAAATTATACCGATTCTCTTCTGTTTCGTTTGGGCTAGAAGATATACAAGATAGAATGTACATGATCATGACGTTGTTCTAGTGTTCAGCTGCGTGGGCACTGCTGGTGTATTTGGGCAATGTGTGACGGACTTTTCCCGCTAATCTCTTGTTATATCGATAACATTGTATTGTGATGATGTATTTCCGTGTCAATGCTGCTTCCCCTTATTCTTAGAGTATGATAGAGTTCATGATAGTATGCGCCGATTTGCAGGGAACTGACATTGGCTTAGGGTTAGGGTTCTTTCCTATCAGGCGAAATCGCGTTTGCCAGTGCAAGTTAGGTTGACTCTTCCCGCCACCTTTCATGACTGTCATCGCTCGGATTTATATCCTACGACATGGAGAAACAGACAGCAACCGCAATAAGATAATCCAAGGTCAATTGGATACAGAGCTTAATGCTCATGGCACTACACAGGCAGGACGAGTTGCGGAGGCATTGAAGGGTGCACACTTTGATCGTGCATTTTCGAGCGATCTTCAAAGAGCTGTGAAGGTGTGTTAAATCATTCAAGGAGTGGATGGGATACGCAGTCCAACATAATACGGACAAGGCCCTCTGGGAATAGATGGATAGAGCAGGGGGCGAGTGGGAGGACACGGGAGAATCCTTAATCTGATTTGTGCCATACTGTGCAGACCGCGGAACAGATCCTCGCGTATCACCCGGGTATCGCACTCGAGAAGCAAGAAGCCCTACGAGAGAGGGTGAGTCGCTAGGTTGCGCTGTGCTCACTCTCACGCGATTATCATAACGCATGTTTGCTGAAATAAATCGCATATGGGTGGAATTTCCGGTTTTGCGCTATTTCTTTGTCACGACTTTTGGCTCCTCGGCCTCTCTTTCGCCATTTAGTTCATGGGAGAACGCCAGGGGGAACTTGTATCGTCGAACAAGCCTGCGCCTTCACTTGAACAAGGAGATGCCTTCGTGGTACGCTGTCTCAGTTGGTGGAATCACACCATCTTGGGATATGTGTCTTCTATAGTACCTGACGCTAAGCTGGATGGTCGATGTCGTTCCGCTCTAGTAGTGACTCATGGAGGTTTCATTGGCACTTTAGTGCGTAGTTTGGTGGCCAATAGAGCGCTGACTTGCGCCGATGGAATCACTATTGGGAGGTGCTCAAATACGAGCATCACACTCGTAGAATTCCGGAGTGTTGGCCGCCCGAGCTTGGAAGGACGGGTTCTGAATTATGCTGATGCTAGCCACCTGGAAGGAATGAGCCAGGTAGAAGTGAATGTGGACGAGATATAGAAGAAAGTCATAGACGAATTTTGGAATTGCATGCAGAATACATATCGAATACCCTTGGTCATATCTTCTCCACAATGTCACTAGCGACGGCCTGCCCTGTTGTCTTTCACGTCAAAGCGGTAATTTTTTTTCATCACTTATCTGAATCGCGAACCTACTTGTTCGACGTTTCTCAGGTTATAAATTACACCTCAGCTCTCTTCTCATAGCTCATTCCTTTTCCCTCCTCAGCTTTTCGACATAAATGAATGTCACGAGTATTATATCTAGCATGTTTGCATCCAACTGCACGTCTAGACTGCTCTCTAGCTCGTAATCCGTGTAACGATCTATGTCAATTTCTCTGGGGTCCAGATTCTGTTTCGCAGGAGGCTTGACTGGCGGACCGGGATTGATCTCGAGGTACCCTTGTTGCGGCTTTGAGCCAGGAAGCAAAGCGATTTTTCGCCGGTGATAGCGTGCGATAGGTGCCTTTGAAGAGTCATCGCTATCAAGACGAAGCTTGGGACATATGACATTGTTACTTTTGGTGAGTGACATGTTGAACAAGGCGGCTCACAGAACATGCTCGTTGGCCAAGGTCCCAACGATATGATCGACCGTCGGGTCCGGTGAAAATTCGCTTTCTTGGGTACTTTCCATCAGCTTAAGAGTTCAATTTGTCAAGGATAAACAAACAAACCTTCGAGCGAAGCCTCTTGTTGGAATGAAATCTTTCGTCTCTACCTCACTCAATGGCATCCCATTCACCCCTTCATTAGGGTCAAACCATCGTATTCGAGATGAAACTAATCTACGCCGTTCTATTTCAGCAAGTCGAGTAAAGTGGTCTTGCATATCAATATCTTGGTTCTCCCCTTCTTCTTCTGACCTAACTTCAACTTCATCGTCATCTGGTTGATCGTCTTCATCTTCACGCCCGCCTCCATCAATATGAGTGTTATCGTAGTCGGCGTTAGTGCGATATATCGATGCAGAATTTGGGCTGATCTTCCATATAGTGCTTGGAGCTGCGCCCCACACGGCCTTGAGTGGAGTAGAGACTTTGTACAAAACTTGGCCGCTGGAGCTGGTGATGATCACATTGCGGACGAAAGCACTTGAGAAGAACAGTCTCATAGTTGTTAAATCGAAATCTGTGTCACGTTCGAAAGAGGTATTTAGGCGCTGAGGGCTACACAAATGGATTAATATTATTCGCTATATAAGTATGCTGCGGACACAGTGCTGAATGTATGTGCATGTGATTCTACGTAGCCAACAGTATTGGGTCATAGATGTACAAAGAAAGTCTTAGTTTTTCTTTAGAACCAATCAAAAGAGTAAAAAACCTGAGCTGTTCCGTTGGTTAGTTCAGAACTACGACAGCACTGCAGCATATAATACCGCAGTACTTCAGCAGAACCTTTGCCTTATCCAATAAATGTTTAAATCCGCATCATCAGCTTCAAAGCTGAGTCTGCAAGCTGACCATACCATGACCATTCTCTCGGCATAGTGATTGAAGCAAGCACTTGAAGCTGCACGAGCTTAGTGGAGCAAGGGTCCAGGGCTGTACATCTTAAATGCCATTGCCCGCATGGCCGCGCGTGGGATAGGAGGTAGCTTTTCGTTCGAGCCTCTTTAGTTTCTCCACATAAACGAAAGTTGTTACAATGATATCCACGATGTGTTCCCCGACAGCAAATATTTCGAGACACGGCTCAATGACTGTGCCGCCGGTGCTCCAGCTACTCCCGTGAAAGTGAGCTACAGGCGTTTCTGACCCATCGTTTAGCTCAAGCTGTCGGTCTTTCGATCAGCAGTTTTCACATCAATGTATATTAAGACTTACAGAAACATTATCATACAGTCTCCATATGTATGATCGTGCATCTGGACCAGTGAATACAAACTCTCTGCCGAAAAGTTTAGTGAGCCATGTTTTCACCTCGGGAGGATGCGTACTCACCGTTTTCCATCCTTCTGTATATAATCTATCGCACGAGGCCCATTACTGTGTAAGCGAAATATTGGCGAATTGAATGAGCTCCAAACGATCTCAGATAGAACATCGAATCGATCACTTTTGGGCTGCGCAGTGTCATTCCTGACTTTCCGTATCGTAGTAGTACGCGTCTGCCATGTCCAAGGCGTATTTGTTATGAAGATAGCTCGACCCTCCGTGTTGGTCATGGTGGAATTACGGATGTGCCGACTTGAAATAGTGAGAAGCATTTTAAGTTGTTGGGAGCGAGTGAAAGGCGATAGAGTGCGAATTGGAACATTTGAGTAACAGTAATGTTTTATAGAGATAAGCCCCAAGGCTGCGCAGGGGGTTGAATGACTAAACAACCGGTTTAACTGTCAATGCGGCACTGTTGACAACTACTTACTCGGGAGGTCAGCTTGAGTGCGAAGCTGTGCAAGGTCCGTACCGCTCCGCACTATTCGGGCACTATTAGATGCGTAAACCGATATAACCAAAACAAAATGACGACTGGTGAACTTAAGCTTCTTTCACGTCTGACTCATTAGACATACCTTTGGGCATATAACAGAAAGAGCTTGGGTCAGTCTTCGATTTGTGCCAGATGGGGCTGCAGGCACTTGCCACACGAGTTTACTAATAGAAATACTATAAAACTCAGAACTGCGATTTCGTCCCATTACGCCGTACACCAGAGGCATCACCCAGAATTGTACTACATGCAAGCCGCCATGTATTCAGTACGCGCGCATCAATATCGGTGGTTTATATCAAAATGGTGGCCTTCTATAAGCAAGGATCGAGACCATAGCTACTAGATGCCAGTTGCCATAAAAGTTGCAGTTGCAGCAGAACTTGCTTGCGCGGCAGATTGAGCAGCAAATTGGGTATTTTGAGCAGCGAATCGGGCGTTGTTTCCTCTTCGTCGAGCAGCTCTTTCTTCGACCCTCCTCAATTTTTCCAGGTAGATAAAAGTCGTAGCGATAACGTCCACCATGTGTTCACCCACGGGAAATATCTCAAGATATGGATCGTGTCGTTTCCCAAGGATTCCCAAGCTTCTCCTGTGGTATCGAGCTATGGGGGTTTTTGAACTATCGTTGAGCTCAAGCTATCAAATTTGTTATTACAGGACCTAAAATAAGCCAGATCGAAACTTACAGAAATAACGTCGCGAAACCTCCATTTATAAGGTCGCCCATCTGGACCAGCGAAAATGTACTTTCTGACGAGAATTCAGCGTTTATCGACTTCACCCAGGAACAAAGACACTCACTGGCTGTTACTCTCCTGCATAAATCGTTTTACTTCAATTTCGGCGCCATGTAAGCGAAATATCGGCGATCTGAATGAGTCCCATAACGCTAGATTCATTTTCTACGCTGGACTGTGTGTCATGTTGAATCGCCGTACTGTGGTGGTTGTGTTCAGTGACCACGCTTGAGGCGTGTCTGTAGTGAAGACAATTTGACCTGTTGAGTTGTGCGTTCTTCATCCTACATAACCTACCAAAGAATAAGTTTCGGTATCATAGTGAGAAAACAACGTTGGCGGGGGCGAGAAGAGTCTTACCACAGAAGGCAGTAAATCATGTAGCTTGGGACAAAGAAACTGATGAGTACAATGTAAACGAAGAATCCAGGTAGCAACGTACTGCGTACCTATGCAAGTATCAGAAAGTGAATTATGCATGTTGGCAACTCCAGCGACATACTGTATAACAAAATGATGTCTGGCAGACGCCTATGAGGAGCAAAGCCTCAAACACGAGCCCGAATGCTTGGCGCGGTATAGACAACAGACTATATGCATGGTGATAGCAACTCGGATAATGCAGTATGTAACAAGAACACTGAATACATAACGTAGCGATCAGTACTGCAACTTCACAGAAGGTCACCGTTCAAGATGAAGTACTCACACCATATTTCCCAAATCGAATTCGGAATTCCGAACTATCCAATCAATGATGCTACCAAATTCGTAAGAGCTGTCTATGTCCAATTGGCATAACCTCAACGTGGACAGACAGCATGGAATAACGATGCAACCGAATTGCGCGAGCCGGGGTGCCAGTACGGACTTGAAAATGCATCTGTTGAGTTGAGAACGATTATTTGATGACACCTCGAGCTCATCATCATCATCACCATCATCATAGAAGGCTTACATTTTACCACAGCACTGCCGGTCAAGGATATGATGTTTGATTGAACTTCCAAGTTGCTGTCAGTGCCATATGTGCATACTTTTGATCATACGGCGAGAGCCAGAGAAGAGAAGACGCAAGCGGCCTTGGCCGTGACTGGTCAGAAACCGCGGGGTGTCCGCTTGGCTTTAAAATTGACACATCGCCACTCGAGACTTGAATTCGAACTCACAAGTTATATGATGATAAAGTCACAAGAATATCTCGCGCATTCTGCGGACGTTCCTATATAATTGAAAAGAGTAAGTATTATATCCGCCAAATATATGAAATGAAAACTTACACTAATCTTCCGCATTCTGCCAATGAGTTCCCATCATTTCAAAATTCGCGCATTATATGTCTTTGAAAGGGTATCACAGAAGACTGTCCTGACAAGCTTCCCCGCCTTGCAACAGAAGACAACCCTATATCTATGTCTGGTATAGAACTTCTTAGTAGAAGTCGTGATTCTTGCGGACCTTATTGTTAAGCGTTGCAGCGAGTGACCATTCAAGTTGATGTTGGCCCAATATGACCTGACATGTGGTACGCCAGATCTGAATGTTCCGGCTTTGAATTCCTTTTGACCTCCACTTGAAGCCTGATTCAGATGTTACTTACTGGGAAGCGATCAGTGGCAGGGTCTTCCGAGCTCAATGCGATACTCATGAAGTTGATGCCTATCAACTTGGAATATTTATTTAACAGTCCAACAATCAGCTGAAATAAGTTTAAGCTTGACAAATCAGTAGTCACTAAACATCAGACGCAGGCTCATCGCCAGAGAACATGAAGTTTTCAATCTTGACTTGAGGCTGATATAGTTGTGAGTAGGCGCCCATAGAGTCCAATTTGGTGTTGACTCGAAGCTAGGATTTTTGCTCCGACTAGAAATGTGTTACGAGTTTTTAGCTCTTCTCGGGCCCCACCATTCGACCTGTCATTTGTGGACAGCACCCAGACCTTATGGAATTACCTGTTGGACATCGTGTTTCTCGAGGGCAAGGCGTAGAACTGAATTGAAATCAATCCTATCTGTGGTGGCAATATTTGCATATCTCGAAGGCATTGCGCTATAAAAGACGTGACCTTTTACCAGCAATACAACCCAACATCCTGTTAGTTTTGGTGATTCTGCACCTTTGTGCTACCTATATATTTTCATTCCTTTCTCTATCTATTCTTCTATCATTCACTATTGATTGTGTTCTCTATTATTTTGCCTTTGTGGCTGCTTTGTTTACCTTTGTTTACAAAACTTCGGACAGTACTGCAGAGTCCAATGCTTCCTATTCTCTAGTTACTCACATTGGACTCTAGTTCCAGTCCCTGATTGCTCTCAGCAAGTGGCTAGACACTTCCTTCAAGCTTTGTTCTTAATACATCCCACTTGCCTACCTTCACTTTACATTTTAGTCTCCATTAACATGTCCGTAACTGACACACAAATCGCCGAGCATGGTCTTAACCTTTCTCTTGTCCTTCACCCTCTTCACAATAGCGACCATCCTCTGGGAGCTCACCTGAGGAGTGTGGTCAAGGCAGGAAATGTCTCAGTTGATACTAATGCTCAGGTTAAAATCACACCTCATGCTATTGGAGGATTGAAAGCTACTGTGACTGTTGGTTCTCCTGTCTACAAGGAGTTCCAGGGCTATTTCGCCACTGGAACTGGTGAGTTGCATTAACATTCGGAGTTTTGTTTATTGAGTCAGCTTACATGGCCGCTTGTAGCATTCTCCAATATCAATGTTCAAAACGCTAAGGGTCAATTGTACTACGTTGGCTCTCCCCCTGCAGATGGAGACAACCAGTTCTGGATTCAGCAATATCCAGGACAAACTCCCGAGGAACCAGGGCGACCTGTCCTTGAGTTTTATGATGAGGACAAGATCTTGTTCCTACCTATCACTTTCCTACGCAGTTCAAGAGTAAGTCAATACAAAACCTGGGTATTGTATTTTGCTCATAGTATTGTCTCTTTACAGCCGATCATGGCAATGGAGGCACGGGAGGTTCTGGAGCGTGGGGAACTATCAATTAGATGCAATATGAGACGGGAGGAAAACAGCAATTATCTCTGGACTAGTATCAAGTCTGCCTTGCTTATGAACAATTTAAAATGCGAGAATTATTGAAGTTTCAGGTCGAACTTCAGACTCCAAACCAGTCGGCATATGTGTCTATGCTATATCCTACAGTGCATTGCACTTAGACCCGACGTCTCTGCCCAGAGTCAACTAGACCTTATTTCAGGCTGATTTCAAAACTTTGATAGGAAATATAGCTAAAATACTCATTCATATGAAAAATTAGAAAATGTCTACATTATATAATTGTTCAGATTTTGTGTTGCTAAACTGACAGATACCAGACACATGTTATACTGGAATAATGCATACAGCTGGTGACAATAACTGTATACAGCCTGTCAACCAAAAACTGTTCACTATGATGCTCTGGTTGCACTTTTTAGCACTTTTAATTAGCATGGTAGAGAATCGGTATACACACAATACACAACCAAATTTATGTACATAAACACCATTCTGCAAGTACAATGTGTTGGCATATGATGGACATTACTACAAATTCTCCATTCTTTCATTCATTCTCATTGAACTGATCCAATATTTTGATACATTGCATAAGTTTCCTAATTAGGATACAAAAAAGCGGACTGCATCAGGAAATTTGTGAAAGTATGATAAGGCCTTATAATGCCTCTTAAAACAATCTAGTCAAGTCAAAAGAGCTAGGTACAGGAGTAAGTAAAGTTAAACTACACATATAACCTATCACAACAATGGGATCCGCACCCATGTACAGTGATTCTGGACCTTCTGGGCATGCAACCAATCAGTATGCTTTCCAAGTACACCTTGGTAGCTTAGTTGGTAAAGCACCAGACCATAAAAGCTGGAGTCCCAGGTTCAAGCCCTAGCCAATGCATGTTTTCTCATACTATAAACAAATGTCATAATTTGTCATTACCAGGTATATACTCACCTCAGCTTTTGGGGGGAAAGACTGAGGTGGGTGTGGTTGCTATCAAGACTTGTAAATTGCCAGCAAAACGGAAGCAAAGATGTAAGTAAAATTTTCTCCATCAACATGCACAGGCCAACTCAAACACAACTCCTTCCTAATCTAGTATTTGCGCCACATCCTGTCTTCTGTCAGGCAACGAATATGAAGCTATATAACAACAACGGATGTCTGGTCAAGTCCCTGAAGAGGGCAGTGAATCAGAGTACTGAGGTTGAAGTGTATCAGTATAAGTGCAAATCCAAACTAATATTGAACTAAGGAATAATACATTGAGTATGTACTTCCTTGTATAGTGAACGGTCAGGCCAAAAGAGGGAAGAGTTAAGAAAGTGGTCTGACCAACCAACTAACCAATAAGAAAAAAGGAGAGAGAAAGTGGTCTGATCTATCGTATTTGCTAATCGTTGTCGATGATGAGAACTGCTGTTAGAAAACCACACACAAAACAAACTAACACACAATCTTCCCAGATTCCACGGAACTTGTTTATGTGCTTTGCCTCCTAGAACAGTGGAGTGGTCTGGTTGTTCGTGGGGTGGTACATATAAAGATCCTTCAAAGTAAAACCCAGAGGTGTATGAGTGTGGGTTTTGAGGAGGAGGGATAGTTGAATTTATAGAAGGATAGGGGCTTTGTGACGAGTATAGATGAGCACTACCTTGCTAATTGTAGCACAAGGTAGGTTTGAGAACAACAAGGATGACGAGGTGACGAGGTTCCCAGTGATAGCAGGCTCCTGACGCACAAACTGTAGTGCTCAGAAGGACTCTAATCGAAGGGGATGACAATCACTTTCAAAAGTGACGAGTGACGATGACAGCAGTTAACAATGGTAGAAGTGGGAAGTGTTGTGACCACACTGGATCACAAGTAGCAGAGTAGTGAACTTGAGAGTAGAGAAGAAGTCTGGATTGGATTTCTTGTTCTTTTTTTTTACAAGGTAAAATACAGGGGTTTATATAGTAAAAGAAAAGTAGGCTATGCACAGTATAGCTGTGCAAAAAGAATGAGAAAGAATATGAAGGAAGAAATGTACGCTGACGAATCCTGCGTAGGTAGTACAGGATAAGATTGTCAAAAAAAGGAAAAGAAAGGGATAGAACAATAAATGCTGTGAGTAATGTCACAGGTTTGTACAGCCATAAAGTAAAGTCCAATAGCAAAAAGAGAGCAGGAAAATCATGATGTCATGGGAAGATGCAGTAAAAAGAGGGCAAGGCAAAACACTATCAGTATCAACACAGTTCCTTTATTGTCAGTCAGGCATTCTAAAAAAATATGTGTCCATAAAAATGATTCAAAAATCAAAAATAATCGCACTGTAAATGAATGTTCTGCTGAAGAAAAAGAAACTGGAGCCACCGGTCCACCACCTAGTCCAAATCCGACAGTTCCATGGCCTTACCAATGGACTGGTTGTGTTGGACCACCTGATCAAACGAGGGAGGGAGAGGAGTAGTTCCAATTTGGAACAAGTGAGTCCCAGGCAGCGTGTGGTAGGTGTAGCTGTAGCGAAGACGATGGACAAATGATAAGTGTACCCAAGTGAATGGGACAGCAATGAACATGGGCGACGCAAGGGGATGAACCTTCTCCAGCTCAAAAACTACCCACCCACGCTCCAACCAGGCAAGACGAGTGACCGATGTTTTGATAGTATATGATGGTAGATCGACGTCATAAAGATGGACCTGTTGCCCTATTTGAACCGGCCGCCGGGGCTTTGCTGATATCAGCAGTGGCACGTGGTAGTCAACGGATCGGCGACGGAAGCGGATAGGAAGTGGTGACATCAGAAATGGTGGGGGTGCAAATAAAATGAGGAGGAGGAGGGTGGAGGTGACGAAAAAGTGGATTAGAATGGGGATCCAGAAACGACCGTCAGGTGAGAATAAAAAGGAGAGGAAGGGCCCCATGGTGGGGCTAGGCAAAGGAAGGGGAGTAAGGGAAACGACAAAAGCGAGGGCGCAATGCAATGTGTAGCCAGTGGCGACGCGAAAATTTGCCGAAATGCCGAAATGCGGAAAGTACCGAATGGAAAAGCAAAGGTGAGTGTGACTGGATTGCCTAATAAAGGTGGTGCTGATCAGCCACAAGTTCAAAAAGGGCAATATTAATTACTATTCCACGTGGCACTGTGCCTGTGTGGCGCAAAGGCGAGTCTTTTTGAATATTCGCTTCGTTATTGACACCTGTCCATGCTACCAATCAACTTTGGTGCATGACACTGCTGTGCACTGGGACATAGTTTCAATTGGTGTCCCATCCGCAGGGAAGACGAGGATAGGATTCTGATGGAAGGATTACATGGAGATGTCAGCTACGATGACAGTTACAATATGGACGGCGAAGGTACTGAATTTCAGTGAAACTCGGAGCAAGTAAGGGGGTAATGTTACGATCTCTATTGGACATTTAAGGACTACTCATTTCTTTTTACTCATTGGTTATACCATCGGACCAATGACTCATTTCCTTCACGTACACTTCCGTTCCTCTTGCATTTACAGTACCTATTATAGTACTTAGTCTTCAACAGACGGACCTGCCCTAGATAGGACCTAACTCCTATCACCGATTCCTTTCCACTATAAATACCATGTAACAGCAGTAGTATTCTCTAATACGATTCTACGCAGTTTACGCTTACAAAGCTAGACTCCTAAGATCAGACTTCTATTCAGAAAGAAGACCAACTCCTGTTGGAAAACCTCCACTCAGAACTATGTTCTCGAACTTGTCTTCGGATAAGTCTCTTTACAAACCTCGACAAACCCTCAGACTTTGTTAAGCACTTCGTGCGTAACAGCCGCCTTCAGAACTAATAGAGGACTGTTCAAACCTCTGGTTATGTTTTTCGGACTTACGAACTCCCCAGCCACCTTTCAGACAATGATGGACCAACTTCTCCGAGACCTAATCAACGAAGGATCTGTTATCGTATACCTTGATGACATCATGATATTCACTGATTCGATAGAAGAACATAGGAAGATTGTATCCAAAGTTCTTCAGATACTCGCAGACAATCAGTTATATCTCAAACCAGAAAAATGCGAGTTCGAGAAGAAAGAGGTCGAATATCTAGGAATGATCATCTCTCATGATATGATTTGCATGGACCCGCTGAAGGTACAAGCAGTTGCAGAATGGCCGATACCACGCACAAAGAAGGAGTTACAGTTGTTCCTAGGATTTTCGAACGTTTACAGACGATTTATCAGGGACTATGGAAAAATTGCCAAACCACTGACAATTCTCACCGGAAAGGTAGACTGGGAATGGGCTGAAGACCAACAACAAGCATTTGACGTTCTCAAAAAGACAATCACCACCTCGCCCACACTCGCAATCCCTAACAACGAAGATCCGTTGTCATGCACCAAAGTTGATTGGTAGCATGGACAGGTGTCAATAACGAAGCGAATATTCAAAAAGACTCGCCTTTGCGCCACACAGGCACAGTGCCACGTGGAATAGTAATTAATATTGCCCTTTTTGAACTTGTGGCTGATCAGCACCACCTTTATTAGGCAATCCAGTCACACTCACCTTTGCTTTTCCATTCGGTACTTTCCGCATTTCGGCATTTCGGCAAATTTTCGCGTCGCCACTGGCTACACATTGCATTGCGCCCTCGCTTTTGTCGTTTCCCTTACTCCCCTTCCTTTGCCTAGCCCCACCATGGGGCCCTTCCTCTCCTTTTTATTCTCACCTGACGGTCGTTTCTGGATCCCCATTCTAATCCACTTTTTCGTCACCTCCACCCTCCTCCTCCTCATTTTATTTGCACCCCCACCATTTCTGATGTCACCACTTCCTATCCGCTTCCGTCGCCGATCCGTTGACTACCACGTGCCACTGCTGATATCAGCAAAGCCCCGGCGGCCGGTTCAAATAGGGCAACAGGTCCATCTTTATGACGTCGATCTACCATCATATACTATCAAAACATCGGTCACTCGTCTTGCCTGGTTGGAGCGTGGGTGGGTAGTTTTTGAGCTGGAGAAGGTTCATCCCCTTGCGTCGCCCATGTTCATTGCTGTCCCATTCACTTGGGTACACTTATCATTTGTCCATCGTCTTC